GCTAAAAATGCCAAGTTAACCCCTTACAATCTGCAATTTTCAAGAAACATCTGATTTTTCCCAATTTCGCTTAAAAAAGCAAGATTAATCCCTTTCAATCTGCAATTTTCCAGAAACATCTGATTTTGCCCTAATTTGCCAAGGTTAACCCCTTACAATGTTTGATTTTTCATACAAATCTGATTTTGCACATTTTGCTAAAAATGCAAAGTTAACCCCTTACAATCTGAAATTTTCCATAAACACCTGATTTTGCCCTATTTTGCTAAAAAATGCAAGGTTCACCATTTACAATTTGAGATTTTTCATGAACATTTAATTTGCCCAATTTCGCTAAAAATATAAGGTTCACCCCTTACAATTTGAGATTTTTCATCTAAATCTGATATTGCCCAGTCATGCTAAAAATGCCAAGTTAACCCCTTACAATCTGCAATTTTCAAGAAACATCTGATTTTTCCCAATTTCGCTTAAAAAAGCAAGATTAACCCCTTTCAATCTGCAATTTTCCAGAAACATCTGATTTTGCCCTAATTTGGCAAGGTTAAACCCTTACAATGTTTGATTTTTCATACAAATCTGATTTTGCACATTTTGCTAAAAATGCAAAGTTAACCCCTTACAATCTGAAATTTTCCATAAACACCTGATTTTGCCCTATTTTGCTAAAAAATGCAAAGTGAACCCTTTACAATCTGAAATTTTTCATGAACACCTGGTTTTGCCGTATTTTGCTAAAAATTGCAAGGTTAACCCGTATTTTGCTAAAAAAAATATGCAATTTTAACCCCTTTCAATTTGAAATTTTTCATAAACATCTAATTTTTACCAAATTTCACTCAAAAAAAAGTAAGGTTAATTCCTTACATCGGAATTTTTTTCAGAAACATCTGATTTTGCCCAATTTTGATAATATATGCAAGGTTCATCCATTACAATTTGAGATTTTTCATAAAAATCTCATTTTGCCCAATTTTGCTGAAATGCAAGATTAACCCCTTTCAATCTGCAATTTTCCAGACACATCTGATTTTGCCCTAATTTTGCAAAGGTTAACCCCTTACAATTTTGATTTTTCATACAATTTTGCTAAAAATGCAAGGTGAACCCTTTACATTCTGAAATTTTTCATGAACACATGGTTTTGCCGTATTTTGCTAAAAATTGCAAGGTTAACCCCTAACAATTTGAAATTTTTGATGCACATTAAATTTGCCCAATTTTACTAAAAAAGCAAGGTTAACCCCCTTACATCTGAAAGTTTTCAGAAACATCTGATTTTGCCCAATTTTGCTAAAAATGCAAGGTTCACCCCTTACAATTTGAGATTTTTCATAAAAATCTGATATTGCCCAATTTTACTAAAAAAGCAAGGTTAACCCCTTACAATTTGAAATTTTGTATTCACATCTTATTTTGCCAAATACCACTAAAAAAGCTAGGTTAACCCCTTACAATCTAAAATTTTCCAGAAAGATCTGATTTTGCCCAATTTCGCTAAAAATACAAGGTTCACCCCTTACAATTTGAGATTTTTCATATCAATCTGATATTGCCCAGTTATGCTTAAAATGCCAAGTTAACCCCTTACAATTTGAGATTTTTCATAAACATTTAAATTTGCCCAATTTTACTAAAAAAGCAAGGTTAAGCCCTTACAATCTGAAATTTTCCAGAAAGATCTGATTTTGCCCAATTTCGCTAAAAATACAAGGTTCACCCCTTACAATTTGAGATTTTTCATATCAATCTGATATTGCCCAGTTATGCTTAAAATGCCAAGTTAACCCCTTACAATCTGCAATTTTCAAGAAACATCTGATTTTTCCCAATTTTGCTTAAAAAAGCAATGTTAACCCCTTTCAATCTGCAATTTTCCAGAAACATCTGATTTTGCCCTAATTTGGCAAGGTTAACCTCTTACAATTTTTGATTTTTCATACAAATCTGATTTTGCCCAATTTTGCTAAAAATGCAAAGTTAACCCCTTACAATCTGAAACTTTCCATAAACACCTGATTTTGCCCTATTTTGCTAAAAAATGCAAGGTTAACCACTGACAATTTGAAATTTTTTTAAACATTTAAATTTTCCCAATTTTACTAAAACAGAAAGGTTAACCCCTTACAATTTGAAATTTTTCATACACATCTTATTTTGCCAAATTTTACTACAAAAGCAAGGTTAACCCAATCTGAAATTTTCCAGAAAGATCTGATTTTGCCCAATTTCGCTAAAAAATGCAAGGTTCACCCCTTACTATTTGAAATGTTTCATAAACATCTACATTTTACTAAAAATGCAAGGTTAACCCCTTACAAGCTGCAATTTTTCAGAAACATCTGATTGTTCCCAATTTTGCTAAAATGTAAGGCTAACTCCTTGCAAACTGTTACATCAATACATGAAGTGTCCCATTTGACTTTTTTAAAACAAATTATTTTTCCAGTTTTTAGGGTAAAGGAATTTTCTCTTTTTCCTTTCTCTTTTGTTGTTGCTATATTTTGCGAATTAACTGATTCGTATGGAATGCTCATAGTCAATCAAAGAATATTTCACACGTAGGGGCCTAAATTATATATTTTTAAATTTAATAGAGACGCATTGATCGTGCTATCATATACCATTCTATTACTATTGCGAATTACTGTATTGTTTGGAATGCTCACAATTAAAGACACGTTATTTGAAAGATGTATAAATAATATTTATATTACAATGCACATCTTTATTCTTTCCCGGTATAATTTATGGCGTTTCTTAGGTCAATTGGCAATCGCGTCATTATATAATGATAGTCAAATTGATCAAACGAAACTCCGTTTTGATTATAGTCAATTATGAAATATTCATTGATTTATGACAAACACCTTTGTTTCAATTTTGATACTACCCGTAGACCTGCCGAGCAGCTGTAGATATCAAACTAAACCAAAGTATAAAAGTTAGAGGGTAAAAAAAAATCAAAAAGTTATGTGCTAGTCAAGCTTTCAGGGATCGGTCTGAGCCATAACAATGCCCCAGCCGATCCCTTAGTTCTCTTCCGGGGTCTCGGCGTCCCCGACCAATACACACTTCCTTCCCTATCCATCCATATAACCCCGGAGGGCCAGGCACCATGTAAAAGCAAAGAGCTAAGGGAGGAACAGGGCGGCCCCTAAGCCCTGATCCTCCGAGTGGACCACATGCCCTGAACCTGTACGAAGGCGCCAACCTGGAACTCGCGGACAGTACCAGCAGCAGTGCTTACCGATTAAGCTAAGGTACTGTTGGTACTTTACAACGGGAAATTAAATCTCTTATAGTGAATAATTGAACTCATACGTTAAAAACCAAAAAGACACCAGCGGGATTCGAACCCGGGACCCCGCTAACCGTGTACGACGAATCGTACCCACTCGGCCATTTCGTTACCTTAGAATTTTCCTTAAACTAAGAAAAGTTGTCTTTATAGGTGAGCAAACGCGCCAGGAAGATTACTACTCTTTGTATCTGGGCACATATAGATTCTCACCTTCCTCTTCAGCTATTTCGACTTTCTTAAAAAGAAAAATAGAGACTGTCAGCGAATCTCCGGGAGTTGAAATAAGGATCGTCCCCTCGATAGACCTCAGACTCAGTAAAGTTCAACATATATTGGGCTCTTTTTCAACAGCTGTTTTTGCGGAAACTTTACATCTGGATTTTTTTTAGAAGCATCTGATTTTGCCCAATTTTAGTAAAATATGCTCCAAATTTTGCTAAAAAAGCAAGGTTAACCCCTTACCATTTTAGATTTTTCATACAAATCTGATTTTGCCAAATTTTACTAAATATACAAGGTACACCTCTTACAATTTAAAATTTTTCATGAACATTTCTTTTTGCCCAATTTTGCTAGAAATACAAGGTTAAGCCCTAACAATCTGCAATTTTCCAGAATCATCTGATTGTGTCCTATTTTGTTAAACAAAAATGCAAGGTTAACCCCTTACAATTTGAATTTTTTCATGAACATCTAATTTTTCCCAATCTTATTCAAAAAGCAAGGTTAACCCATTACAATCTGCAATTTTCCAGAAACATTTGATTTTTTCCCCATTTTCGCTTTAAAAAAATGCGAGGTGAACCCCTTTCAATTTGAAATTTTTCGTCACATCTAACTTTGCAAAATTTCACTAAAAAAGCTTTATCCCTTACATCTGAAATTTTTCGGAAACATCTGATTTTGCCCAATTTCGCTAAAATATGCAATGTTCACCCCTTACAATTTGAAATGTTTCATAAACATCTAACCCCATACAATCTGCAATTTTCAAGAAACATCTGATTTTTCCCCATTTTGCTAAAAAAAATGCAAGGTTAACCCCTTAGAATTTGATTTTTTTTCATAAACATCTAATTTTGCCCAATTTTACATCAGCTTATGCTAACAAATTATCAGGTAACTGGATCATTAAACTGGTGGAGATCAATGGGTCTGTATCACTGATCTCTATATAAAGACTGGATAGCGGATATGCACACAACATTCACACAGTAGACTTTGCATATTGACCAATTCGCCCCCGGTCTCACGAAGATGGCCGCGTATAATACGAACGTTCTACGCGTAAATACGCGCGCGTTGTATCAACAGTTGACGCGCATTTTGGTCACGTACACATATTATGATGTTCTTAAAGGGACACATTTCCGTAGTAATTATTATTTCAAAACGCCGAAAAAGTTATATTTGCGGCATTTCAGTAACCACGACGTTAGAAAAATTGTAGTTAACCTTGGTCAGTGATGGTGGTCAAAATATAAGTCAAGTGAACCGCGACGTTACAAAAGAAATCCGATGCTGTCTATAAAAACGACAACTTGTCCTTTGTAGATCACCAGCCGGTCTCACCAATATGGCGTCAAATTCGTACATTGTGCGGATGCTATCCAGTCTGTAGCTGTACGAGTACAAATTTTTTTTTGCGCATGCGTAGAAGTAACGAAAACTTTTTCCCGCGCATGCGTACAAAAAAGCCCACTGATAACAAAAATCGCAAAAAAAATGTTCCACACTGTCTGCACTGCAAATGCAATGAAGTAGATTTTGGCCTAACGATACATCCAAGACAGAAGCTTCAACCGGTTGTTAAACCCTGGCGGATAATTCAACAATAAGAGTGAGTGCAGGGAAAGAAAACGTCGAAAGTTATTGCAGTTGCCGTTACGGCAGCTGTAACGCGATTTTTAGCTGTGTTGTCAATAATGCGAATCGAAAAAATGGAGTCCCTGGCCCTAACAGGGCACACTTCGCGGTTTCCCTCGACGTGCGACATACTGTGTGTTGCTAAATCTCGTCTTTGTTGACAAATTGAAATCATTCACTTCAATACTGGTACTTTTACCTTAATAATACTTGCTGTTGCACCTTGCTTTTGTGAACAATTCCAGTGTCATTAGACGCGGTGGCGTCCGGAAATTGGGCACAAAATCGTCCGAGTGTTCTTAAACCGTAAACGTTGCGCACTTGAACAAATCTCGGAAAATCCCAAGTTAACATTTACGATTTCTTTAAAGTTGAAATATTCTCATAAAGTCATAAACCATTATTATCTCCAGTCTCCACTCAAATACCTAACTAGTACAACTAGAAGTAGAAGTTTGTCTGAAAAATATTTGTTTTCTTATTTTTGGCCTCGAAGTAGGCCTAGGCCTGAAGCCAAGGGTTCATTCAATCTAATTGTGCACTTCAAAATAAAATTGGAAAATCACGCTAATATAAATTTCTCTGTTAACTTTGTAACGAGAAGACAGTAGAAAAACACAAGATTTATGAACAGGGATGTTAAGACTAGCTTGATGACATTCCACTTACTGTGAAATTTGAGGTAAACCTTTTGCTCGATAGGAACTATAGTAGCAACAAATGAAAGTTCTCCATGTTATTCCTGCACCACGTTAGGTGACATAGACAGTATCACATTTCTAACTCCCATTTGCACTAGAGCGCTTTGGTAGCTCAACTAGTTAAACATTGGACTACCATGCCGAAGGTCCTGGGATCGAATCCTCACTGCAAGAATTTGGTTTTTTCTTTTCCTACGAGCAAGGCCTAACTGAATAGTTTTCTTTACTTTTCGAATCATACTTTTTTTAAATTAAATTTTTGTTCTTGGTGATCCATGGCTTTTAAAGAGAAATCAAGTTTAAGAACCAGTCGGTTGATAGTTTGGTTCCCAGAGCCAAAGATTCTGACATTGAATATTGTCAGGTCAGGGAACCAGATGGTCGTAACGATAGCCACTGCAATGCTTTGCCCTCAAAACTATACGTCTGGTGCTTTTACTATAGTTTAACTCTCAAGAACAGGTAGGCCTACACATCCAGTACCAACAATGCTGCAACTTTTCCAAGCAGGTCTGTTGTTGGTGTTCCTCTTTGGTCGGCAGTTTTTGGGTGAGTGTTCCTCTTGTTTTCTACTGACCCCCTTCCTCCGCCCCCCCCCCCCTCCCCTCTCCTCTCCTCGGGGGCTTTACCTCATTTTACACAAGAGTCACTCTTCTCCGTCTTGTTTTCTTCTTTTCTTTCTTTCAGCTATCAGAAATCCATTGAGGCCTAGGGAAAAGCGATGAGCATATTTATTCAGCATTAATTTAAAGGCATTTGAGTTACATTATTTTAGGACCCCTCTACTTTTTCACCTTTGCTGTTTTTGCAGAAGTGATCATTGCACATGCAACAGTTGTTAAACCAAATGGTTCTTGGACTTAAAAAAAATGCTGCAAAGCCATAAATCAGAAAGATAAAATTAAATCTGGCCTTCATCTGTTGTTTTATGGGTGAGTTCAAAACATAGAGGAATCCTAAAAGTAACTAATGCCGATTTTCACTCCTTTTCTTGTTTTATTATTGGGGGGGGGGGGCACATGGCCTTGTTGTCCCCCTGGTCATGGGCATCGCAAGGGGGGGGGGGGGGCAAGGGGGTGCTCCCCTTCCCTGGAAAAGCCCCTAAAAATGAGAAAAAAAAGAGAAAAACCAATCAAATTAGGTTTTGCCCTTCACCGACGTAAAGGGCAAAACCTAATTTCATTTACATCACCCCGACGCAAAAAATCCATCACCCCAACGCAAAAAACCAAGAAAAGAAAAAGAGTTATAAGTCATATTGCTATTAATTAAATATACATTTAACAAAATGGGCATCCACAGGGGTATCAATGTGGGTGGGTTTGAAAAAAAAAAAAATTGAGAATATGCTAGAGAAAGTACAAGGATTTTTTTTAGAAAAAAAAATGTGCTTTGCCCCCCTCTAGAAATAAATCCCGGTGACACCCATGCACCTGGATCTGCTCTTGTTCCTAAAATGGCATAAATAGACATGTTTGTTTTGTACATAAATTTCCTCAGAGACCAGAGCATCTGATTCGAGTAATCAAAGAGCAAGGCCCAGTCCAACTCCGGACCATCAGTGGCACGAAGCATTTGACATGACAGGTAACACACACACAAAAAAAAAAAAAAAAACAGACAGGGAAGCCTAATGTAGAGTACAAAATGTTCTATTCACTTGATTCAAGATGACTCTTCACCAGAAGTTTGTTTAAGCATCTCGGCCCAATTTCATGGTGCTGCTATTAAAGCACACAATTTTGAGTTAACAGAGGCTTTGCGTAGTTCATGGAGACCATAAGCAGCAAGCACAGCAAAAGGCACGCTTACCTCAGAGAAAAGATTCAGTTTGCTTAATAACCTACAGTGACGTAACAATGGAAATCTCTATGCGCGCAGCAGTTGGCACATCCACGTTGTGAAATAGTGCTTAAGGTTAGCGCAATTTTCTGCTATAAGTAAGCACAATTTTTCTGTAATTTAAGCAGCCCAGGAAATTGGATCCCGGTGTTCACAATGGGCCAGATTCAGTCCATCCATTGGCGTTATGTGGGAATCCTATATGATAGCACTGCCTGGCTGCTAAACCAGTCTACAACCGTGTCTAAAAGTCACAAGTGACAGTCAGTCGGGGAGTCAGTCAGTCAGTCAAATTGTCAGTCAGTCGGGGTGTCAGTCAGTCAGATAGATATGTACAAATTGGACACTAGGCTGGCCCTCTGGGACCAGCAAAGATTGTCTCATAAGGCGAATTAAAAAAAAAACCATGTTTCTCATCCCTGCCCGCTTCCCTTTTGGAGGCTGCTTGGATTTTTTAATTATTTTTTATTTTTGAAAAATATGCAGTAAAAAACACCGAAAAAGTCCACGGTTAAAGCAAATGCATCTAAAACTGTTCATTGTAGACCAATACAACTCTAAATGACACTGTAAATATGTTCAGTTCTCTTGTCCAACTTGTCTTTCATTTTAAAAGTGTCTTTGAACAGTGGAAACACCAACGGTTGCAGGAAATTTTAAAATGGCGGCCATCTTGAAAAAAAATAAATAAAACGCCCCTATTCCTCCCTTTTTTCCAAAAACCCGGACGAGAAACATAATTTTTTTAATTTGGCATGTCTTGAAGTTTGTCCTTCAACAGCAAGATAAATTGCAAGATGGCCATGCCCCTGGGCAAAGCTCTCAGCTGAAGATGCTTAAAGTTTAAAAAACAAACATTTTTTTGGCAAAATAAGAAACTCCAAAGCAAAAATGGATTTGTGTATATACACCACATCTTCCATTATGACAACTAGGAAAGATAAGGTGCAATCTCTGGGGAGGAGTTGGTGTGACGCTCACAGTTCCTAAATGGCCCTTAATTCTGAAATGGGTAACAGCTGTAGGCTTATTACCCTTAGTAATGGTTATTATCTTCAGTATAAATGGTTGTTGCCTTCATGCAAATTTTGTTTTCATTATGGCCATATAAAATTGCATTTAGCTTCTTTTGTTTATTTCTTAAAGACCTATTTAATATTTGAATTGCTTGAAAAATACTTTGAATAAGTCTTGCTTGTAAACAATATATTTTGAGTAAAAGTTTTTTACATATAGCTTGGTCAGTGTGATGATGGTAAAATGAATAGAAATTAATCTTTACTGCGTTTCAATGTGTGTGTTTTTGTATGCAGAACATGATGCTGACATCCTGAATGATAGGAGGTATGTATCTTAGATAGCTTTCAACATTTGTGTGTTTGTGTGTGTGGGAGAGAAGATGTAAAGTATATTTAATTTTAACAAAACCTTGAAAGGGGGGTAAAAAGTGGCTGTGGGGGACAATTAATTTTTGAACATGGCCTCAACAGTGGTGTAAGTATGACGTGGGGGGGGGGGGGGGCTTGTGGGTCACATCCCCCAGCGGATGTCCGTGCCCCCCTTTCAGATCTTCAATTCAAAGCAAATATTTGCCATCAGTCCCCCCCTTGAAAAATGTATTCACCCCAGGTGCACCCCTAATGTATAACCCAATATACAGACATGCAACTTTTCCTCGGATCAGCTGATTTCCTCTTTTTGTACTTCCTATATGTGCCATTAAAAATAGAAAAACACTGTACAAAGTCTTGGAAAGATTTGAATTTCCTCTTTTTTTGTGACTTTCCAGTTGCATGCCTGGATATAGTTATGCCACTGGCCCTCGAGTGTCTAAAAACTGACTGTTTTGAAAGATTCAAAATCGATTCCGAACAACTGCCTTATAGTTATAAGAGTTTAGGCTTTGCAAGGTGGAGTATCAGTATCATTTCTGCTTTTAGCTCAGCAGACTTAAGTTCTGATAAGAACTTGTCCTGCTTATTATCAACTTTCCCTAAGTAGTTTTTAGTTCTGACAAGAACTAAATAGTCAGACTAAAGACAAGTTCTGAACTAAGCAGGATGTTCTTATCAGAACTACAAACTACTTGGCGAAAGTTGATAATAAGCAGCTGGGCAAGTTTAATTCTCATCCGAACTTAACATCTACTGAACGACAGTAGTTCTTGTGTTATCGCAAACCAAAACAGTGCCTTCAGTGGCGGTTCTATGGGGGGGGGGGCTAGGGGGGCATTAGCCCCCCCAAAAATTCCATAAAATAAAATTGCACGAGCAAAATGTAAGAATTTGATGTACATGGGAACAGTCTCCCCCTAAATGAGAAGGGTGCATTTGTACACTTTTAGTTTATATAGTGTGCCTGATTGTAGGATTTTATCAGCGCTCCCCATTGAAAATATGGCACGAGCCCCCCCTCCCCCCCCCCCCCCCCCCCTATCTATTGATTTTCGGAGGCCGAAGTGTCCGGAGAAAATAACCGGTCTACATTTCAGCACGCCTCCCTGAAAAAAAACTGGATCCACCTAGCCCCCCAAAAATATTGGCTCTAGAACCGCGCCTGAGTGCCTTATACATGTAGTTAATCAATTACTATTCAGTAAAATATTTTACCCATATTATTCCTTGCCTTCAGCTTGCACGATGTTGCCGACGTTTACGATAATTTCTTCGTACCTGGCGCATCAGGATGGAGGGATTTGAACATGACGGCCATAATGCGCGAGGCCGAGAAGCAGAGGCAAGACGCCATGCAAAATGGCCACAGCAGTAGACCAGTATTCATCAAGCAACCCGTCATCCCTAATACTGTCTTGAAAAGGCTCAGTGTAAGTCACTCTTTCAAGCCAATCAAAAAAATCTTCCTTTTTTGTAATTTGCAAAAGGATAAGAATGGATCTAGACTTAGTATGGGCTACAAAAGACACCTTGAAAATAATCATATTTTTGAGGACCTGATGAGAATTTTGTTTTTTCAAAAGACAAAATGAAAAACTGCTTGGAACTGGCAAAAAAAGGACAGGAATTTTTTGGGCATTTTAAGGAAAAATGGTGAGCAGTTTGCAAACGGTTGACTACTTTTACTGTAAAAGAGAATGGTAATTTGTGTTAATACATTAGCCAGGAATTCAAATGCAGGGATGTTAGCACTTTTTGGCAACAAAACGTTAACATTTGTGAAACTGTTGGAACTTAAAGTCTCCATGAAATGAATTTTTCTCATGAAAACATTTTGTGCAACTTTCTACTCCTCTTAAATGTATGAAAACTAGCTGACATCCCTTTTTGGGTGATTTTATTCAGAAGAGTATTTCTTCAAACATTTAAAAATTGTCCATGCTTTTCCGGACACCTGACGGCACTGTTGCTGTGATGTCATTATAGGAAGACACTGCTAAGTTTAGGGGTTTTCTGTTCAAATGTGAACCTAAATCTGCTCATCGAAAGCATTTGTGAGAAAAGTTTGTTCACCGGCTAACTGCCATGTACTGTGGCAGCAATGAATCACCAAAGAAAAGAACATCAAAATATCCAAAATTTTGACAACTTTTTGTGCTGAATTAGCTCGTTTGTGCCTGAAATTACTTCACACTTTTGCTCACGATTATGGAAATTTGCATTAGCATAAAAACCAAAAAGGCATCAAAATACCCTTGTACCCCACAAAACTCTGTTAAACCTTGTAAATAAAGTTGAATAAACCTCAAGATAAACCTCAAGTCACAGCCTGTAACTCCAGGTTTTACCCTGAGGTACCCCACAAAACCCGGTTAAACCTTGTAAATAACCTCCAGATAAACCTCAAGTTACAGGCTGTAACTCCAGGTTTTACCCTGAGGTACCCCACAAAACCCTGTTAAACCTTGTAAATAAACCTCGAGATAAACTCAAGTTACAGGCTGTTACTCCAGGTTTTACCCTGAGGTGCCCCACAAAACCCGGTTAAATCTTGTAAATAAACCTCCAGATAAACCTCAAGTTCCCACATTAATTTTACATTCTCCCCTTACAGTTTTGAATTATATCAAACAATGACAGATTATTTTGGTAGAAAATAAGACAATTAAATCAAAACACAAAACACACAACAGGTTTTAAATGTAAGTCTTTGTAATATTTTGTGACCTCAGCCAGATATCATTCAAAACATGACTGCTGCAGAGGTGTTACAGCTCGCAGACGCCACCGAAATGTCCTACGAATCCATGACGCACCTCCTAAGCAACTTGCGGCCCCAAGAATTTGACAAGCTGCTTTCCCTGTCAAGAAATTATACTGACTTTGAGGTGAGAAATCTGTCATTTTTTTGGGGGGGGGGGGGGAGGGGGATGGAGAAGAGGGGGGGGGGGGGAAGAGTCATCCTTAACATCTGCCATGGTTGAGAGAAAAGAAGCTTACATCCATACTCAGTACACTTAATTCCATGGTTTTTTTTACCTCATAAACTTGGTCAAGCAATAGGATGAAGTGTTTGATTCTGTTATTCAGAATGGAGTTTATAAACAACCCAAGGGGGGGGGCCTCGGGGGACTTGAACCCCCCCCCCCAAAGAGGTTGTCAATTTTTTTGGTTTTTTTTTTTGGCCCACGATTTGACCTTGGTAATATGTATGTGGCCTACTTCAAGTAGTGTAATAGGGGTGTAGGTGGAGTCCCCAACGTGAAGTCTCCCTCCCCCCCCCCCCCCCAAAAAAAACCCAATGTTTTCTCTGCAGCAAAAAAAAATGGGCAAAATTTTTTGAACTTTTTTGAACTTCTATCAAATTTGAACAAAAATTTTTGAGCTCCCTCTCCCAAAGCCAAATCCTGGGTGTGCCGCTGATTCTGAATACATTATGACTTTAACCCCATATCCTCACATTGTTTAACCCATAATTTGGTAGCCGTGCCGCCAAAAACACACCCTGTCTGTTACTCCCTGTTTATATAGCCCCAAAACTGCTCCAGCACTGTATGGCTTTAATTGGCTTCATGACTCTAGATCTTTGGGTTAAAAGAAAAGGTCCCTAGAGTTTTTTTTTTAAATTATATGCTTGTTTCTCTTCACCAACTTGATGTTATTAGCACTGTAGAACTGTTTTGAAAGATAACGAAAAACTTGTAAAACTAAAACCTGTGACCTCCTGCCTTAAAGTGTAGATGTCTATTTACCCTGTGTTTGGACTTGGTATACAGTTGACGTTGGTCACCTAGCTCACGTCTCATTTTCTCTCATTTTCCATTCCGTAGTTATTAAATCAATAACCTTGAGGCTCTCAAATTCCTTCAACTTGGCAATGTGGCACTTTCACTTTTGATTACCGTTTGCTTCTCATGGATAAAACCTTGTTAGAACGGACAGCTGTAAATTTGCATTCAAATAAGACAAACATATACATTGCTAACTTTAGTGCAAACCGAATTTAAAGCCTGTGCCTCCAATTGTAAGAGTATCGAGTGGGGCAAGATTTACAAAGATGATCACTCACGAACTTAAAGAAAGGCAGTTGGACATCAGTATTTGTGACATTGCAAATATTTGTGACACTGTTAATATAACCTTTTCAGATCATGACTTTCATTTTAAAGATGGATTTTTCCAGAATGTTATAATAGTTCTGATATTGACCTTGGCAGACAAACAATATTTTTGAAATCAGAGTTTTACGGATGTTTACAACCCCCTGGGGCTCTTCTTGCCAATTTCCTCTTCCTGCGAAGTGCCCTTGAAGCCTGTCCAAACTTAGGTTTGCATCAACTGTCAATTATTCAACTCTTAGTTGGAAAACGTCCATTTCCGGAAAGAAATGACAGTTTCCCCTGCCAATAAGTACAAAATGGACAATTCACATAATCAAATTATACCGGTATCTGTCCCTCAGTGTCAAGTAAGCTTCATTGCCCAAATCGAATATGCAGGTGTTAATGCACAGTTATTGAAGTTCAATGAAGGAATTTTCTACTTTTTCTGAAGTTGTTCCTTATCTGTAGGTTTCCTGTGACCTTGGCTCTCTCAAACACCCCACCTTTAATTCAGTTTTCTTTTCTCCTCACTGGTCATTTGAAATTTATCAAGTTATTGAATGGAAAATTGAGTGTGATTTTCAACTGCTGTAAATCTGTTGTTTTTATCTATAGTTTCTTTCAAAAGCAGGGGCGTAAATCCCGGGGGGGGGGGGGGGGGGGGGGGGGTATATATCCCCCACTTTTTGATAAGGGGTGGATGGGCTATTGAATCATCCCCCCACTTTTGCATGATGAGAAAAAAAGAGTTGATTTTGAGGTAATTTTCAATATCCCAACGACCGAAATGTATTCAATAGCACTGAAAAGTGGTGAAACGAAGAACAAAATCTTTTAAAATGCGCAAATTTGAAACCACTATATACCGGTACAAGTTGATATTCGTCTACATGTGGTGTCAGCCCCCCCCCCCCCCCCCCAGCTTTTCGAATTTCCAGGGTCAAGCAATTTTTGGATTTTGGTCATCCTCCATCCCCCCCCCCCACTCGCGCCGGCACAGATTTACGCCACTGTTCGAAAGCTTTGAAATGCCTTCCTGTTTTCACAACAGCTACACATTTATTAAATCTGCAGATACATCTACAGGGTGAGCAAAAAAAAAAGCTGAACCCAAACCCCGAAAATATATTTCATATTGAAAACAATATGTAGCACCAAAAATGATAATGACTGGAAAGCCAATTTCAGAAACTACTTGTGGATGAAAAAGTTACTGAAATTGCTCAATCTGTTCAAAAAATATCACCAGCGAAAGTAATGACCTGTTTCGTCCGAAAAAAAAAAAATATTCAAGTGTGTTCTGACTGTTTGGAACAACAAAGAAAATGACACAGAATACTTGTTTCAACAACTGTCAACAACTGAAGTACACACTATCTTTATTAACAACCCTGCTTGTCGCTGGTGATGTTTGAAGAAAATTGTGACGACGATTCTTGAAAATTGATTTGTGGACGAAAGGGGTTTTAGCAATTTAAGAAATTTTTTTCATCTAAAAGTACATGTAGTTTATGAAATTATTTTTTTGGGTGGTACATATTTTTTCAAATATGAAATATATTTTCTGAGGTTTAGGTTCCGCTTTTTATATTACTCACCCTGTATACATTGTTCACGTCTACCATCGTAGAATTTCTTTAGTGGAATACGTGCCCATCTGCTTACATGCCTCCTCAAGAAAATGAGAACTGGCAAAAGCTTTTAGCAGGAAATGAAAATTTACAAACATGTACTAATGCAGCCTTACCCAATCTTCAATTTCTTCGGAGAATCCCCATGTGAGTTTCCAAACTAAAAATATTTTAGGTTTTTGAATTTGGCTGTGCATAAAATCTATCATGTGAGTGCATCCATAATTCGATAGGGAAAGAAATCTAATACAATTATGTGCCCTAGCTGTCACCGGAAAATGAGCATAAAGTGGGAAATTGCCATTTTGCTGTACAGTGGGGCAAAGCCATGAGGGATGGTCGATTCTTGGTTTTCAGATGAACCTCAATCTCTATAATTTCTAGCTGCATTCTACCTTTTCCCATTGGTTTGTTCTAGCAAACATCTTTAAAACCTTTTTCCATCCTGTTTTATTGGTTGACTGTTCATCCACTGTAATACTACTAGTTGTCCCACATAAACTGAAAAGTCGAAAACCAATTTAGGCCTGTATTTGCATGTGGGTTTTGGAATATTTTCAAATTACCCCTTAAATTCAGATAACCAATCTACCATACACATTTTATTTCATTCAAATTGATGCGTTGGAACAAACGCCATGCTTTATCCAAATCTTGGGCCACTTTCCTTGAAAGCGCAGTTAGAGCAATACAAAAAGGATTTATTTCCTTTGTTCAAGAGTAATAACGTGTGACTTTAATTCTACCGGCTTCGATCAGTAAACTTGATAAATAAAAAGAGTGACCCACAGTGTTGTAGGTCTCGAGACCGGTCTCGGTCTCGGTCTCGAGACCACTTTTTGCCGGTCTCGGTCTCGGGAGCTGTGGTCTTGGTCTCGGTCTCGGTCCCCTTTGGTCTCGATATTTTGGCTGGTCTCGAGTCGAGACCATGCAGCCAAAAAGTGAGGGGGGCGGATTCCGCCCCCGGCCCTTTTAGGGTTAAGTAAAGAATCAGTTTAGGGCAAATGTGACTGCAGTGTGATGCTAATGGACATGTCTCTCTTCACTTTCTAGTGAGTGAGGCATAGTCCAATAACCATTGCTCCTATTCTTATTTCTCATTTTTATTGTGGGATGATCTGTTGAAACAAGCACTTTATAACCATCGATCCTCATTGATTCCAAATACAACTGAGATTTAAATCTTATGAATCAAGACTGAAACATTATTTTTACTGTCAGATTTTGTATTTTGAATATGGGGAACAATTCAACTCTTTTTCCCTAGAAATATTGGTGATTTGTTTTCTATTTTCCTGTTCAATTTTTCCTTTATTCGTGGAGGCGGGAAAAAAACGTGTTTTTTTTCCATTATATGGATATTCATCAATTCGTAGACCGTTAAATTGGTATAAGTGGTGGACGGCTGGATTTTGTGATCTCTTTATTAAAATAGACACGACTTGGGAATAGAGTATGCAAATTATGTGAAATGTTCACAGTTACTACTCAATAACATTTTCTTTATCCCAATTATATTTTTTACAAAATGGAGCGTGCCATTTTTTTTTATCATACGGTCACTTTCTTTTTGACTTGCCATGTACTCATCTTTTCATCTGTGATAAACACAAATTGAGCTACTGCCATGGTCACACAAAAATAGAGTCTAATTGCCTGCCTCGTCTCCTTCCTAAATTATGTCAATTGCATTTGCATGAGTCGAGAAGAATTGTGTTCCATTAATCGCTATATGCTGTTTACGGCCATCACAATAAGCTATGCGGGCGATACGATGAGGCGTGCGCACTGAGCCATGAATCCTAAAAGTGCATCTCACCCACCACATTCAGTTTGTGATGTACAGCGCCCTTCTATTGTGTCGGCCATATTCTCAAAAAGGCTTATAAATGACGATGATGACGGCGGGCAGATTAACAGAAGATAGATCAGGCAAATATGGTTCATCAATCTTCTATTGACATTAAACAAAAATAAAGTGGCATTACAATTCAGCCTTAGCCAGGCCTTCTTCAGAGGTAAATGACAGAGGAACAAGAAACAAACATGTAGGGGACACACAAACATGCAGGGTTGGAAGGAGAATCACAAAGAGGGATGGGGGGGGGGGGCAGACCAATCCATATCTGGCTACCATCTCTCAATTTTTTGGTCTACATGTACATGTACAAATCTATATTCCATGACTGAAATTTTAAAAAATAAATCAATATTTTCTTGCTCCAAATTTTTTTCGAATCAGGTTTACTGAGGAGGTCCAATGTAAAATTAAAGTTGCATTTAAATATCCGTTAGTGGTCATTGCTGAAACCAAGGGGTGGCTGTGGAGTTTAGGGTCCGAGTTCCTATAACACATGAAACATCCACCTTTAACTTTTTACTTTTGTCAAGTTTCAACATGTTCAAGTTTTGCAAAAACTAGTACAAATTGTCGTACTCCTAAGTTAGAGTTTCTTCATCAGATTTACACTTTTGGTAGTTAAACAATATTTTCAAAAAAAAATATTTTTAAAAAAGTGGCAGAAATATATGGAGTTCATCAAATAAGGTTTTCCCCTTCTTTAATTAAAGGTTGTTTCCAATTTTTGATTGTGACAATAACGAATTCTGTTGCCATGTTGTAATTTATGGCATGAAGCAAACACGAAGAGCACTCGCATGACACAATTAAGCAGTTACAAGTGATTCCTAACTTTCAATCACTTCCTTCACATCCCCATGAACATCAACATCTCAAGGACAGACTGTTCAGCTGTAATTAGTGTCTTGTTGTTTATTTAGATTATTGTTATTTATTATCCGCGGTCTCGGTCTCGGACCATTTCGGTCTCGGTCTCAGTCTCGGTCTGCCTTGAAGGGGCTGGTCTCGGTCTCGGTCTCGGTCTCGCAACTTCAGGTCTCGGTCTTGGTCTCGGTCTCGGACTATCCGGTCTCGACTACAACACTGGTGACCCATGCCGAGTGGTTTTTCAAGTCCCGTATTGTGATTACTGTATCTTTTGAAAAACATCCTAATGAAACCAACTAAAAAGTATTTGGAAGACCAATTATTCTACTCAGTTATTAGACACGATCTTACCCCCACTTTTCTGAAAACATGCCCGATTCGACTGTTACGTTTTTTTGTGTGGGACAACCTGTAGGAGATGTGCCCTGCATGCGTATTGTCCAATTACATGTATGATGGTAACTGGATTGTAATTGAATCAGAAAGTTATCCTGAGCTAAGTGGTGGGCAACCCTTAGACTAGGGCAACACGTTAATGATTGACGTAAGTGAAATAAACTTGCAGGGGTTTCGTAGCAACAGCTTAAGGCCCTGTCACACTGTCTGCAATCTTATATGCGCTCTCACTGCGTCCTTGAAAAATAGTTGGGGCGCAACAACATGCAACTACTAGATCGCAGCGACAACTACATAGGTCGTCAGATGGGCGCCAAAGGGTCTTAATGGTCTCCGATGAGCGCAAAGGTCTTTGAACATGCTCAAAACAATCGCATCGAGTTGAACACATCGTAAGCGCGGGAAGAGCACAGTATGAGCGTAGCTTGAGCTTCTTTGAGACAGAAAGTTGTCATTTTCTTGCGTCCTCGCTGCGATTATTAAATTTATGAGAGCGCATATTGTGACAGGCCCTTTACATATGGTACTCTAGATACAAATTAAATGGTTGTGGAGAAATGAAATGGTTGTGGCAGAGAAAGCTCAAGCCTGTTTAGTGCTTATAGAAATACAGGTTGTCTCACAAAAAAAACCAGTCGAATTGGACATTTTCAGAAAATAGCATGTAGTATTCTAAATCATGTCTAATGCATTGCTGAGTACAATAATTGGTCTTACAAATGAAAAAATAGCTGGTTTCATTAAAGATGTTTTGTTCAAAAGCTACAGCAATCCCAATATGGGCCTTGAAGTTGGCATGGGCCACTCTTTTTATTTATCAAGTTTACAGATCAAAGCCAGTAGAGTATAAGTCACACGTTACTCTAACAAAGGAATTAAATCCATTGTGTGTTTCTCTAACTACGCTTCCTCACTTTCAAGGAAAGTGGCCCAAGACGATTTTCAACCCTTGGGTTCGAGGAAGCATAGCGTTTGTTCTAATGCATCGATTTGAATGAAATAAAGTTTGTATGGTAGATTGGTTTTCTGACTTGAAGAAGTAATTTGAAAATATTCCAAAACCCACATGCAACATACATGTACCTTCATTAATTTGTTTTTCGATTGTTAGGTTTTTGTGGGTCAACCTGTACAGAGGGGCTTTTCAATGCCATTTTCTGCAATTTCACAAAAGTTACCATAACAACTTCAATTTATGGTGGTATCGATATTTCCGATACTTAATTCAGCAACCCCAAAGGTTATACTTTAGAAAGCTCGGGTTCTGAAAAATTAAACATCTCAATTCTTAAAGGGAATGTACATCATTGGCTTTTGCTGTAATTTTCAGAAATGAACTATTTGAGGGGTTAGTATAATAGATCAAATTATTGTTACACTGACATGTTTGAAGTTTTGTTTTCGAAAATGCTGGAAAAACCAAGAACAATAAAAATGTTCAAGTAGTCTGGTTCCCTGACTCCACTGAAGATGAAATGGATCAATTTACAGATGCCGGAAAATTGTACGCTTAGGGACCAGTCTAGCTGACCTGCACCCATTCATGAACATAAAACCAATTAGCAAACAAAATTGGACTGAAAAAAAATGGTAAATTTGGAGCAGTAGTGAAAAATAGTTAGGTTTTTCCTACGGTGGTTGGCCGACCACCGTTGGAAATGTAAACAAAAATATAATTTTCTTGAAAATGACTTCACACCAGGTGCCATAATTTTACAGGATGCTTTGGACTGTCATTTACCAACATCCTGTAAGGTATTTCGTAAAAACTTGGTCATTTTATTTTTCGATGTTTGCAAATGTTGTATTTTCCCTTTACAACGTCTGACTTCATGCTCATTTTCTGTTGACAGGGCACACACATAACAAGACAAGCATGACTGCCTTTATGCAAATGGGTGAAAATAGTAAACCTGACACTGCATGCTAATTGCAGCACAGATGTTACGTTAATACAAGTGTCCAATTTTGTATTGCCTTTGGAATAATGCATGGGTCTAATAACACTCATGAATTATTTTTTTTATGAATATCTGCAACAGTCTGATTATGCACACTTTTTTGTTTTCCAGTATGTCAGTGTACGGGGGCAAAGTGAGCACAAATAGACAAAAGTCATCTGAAAAATGTCTCAGACTTCTGCAGTTTTTGACTCGGTTTGTATTCCAAAAAGGAATCTTGAATATTAAAACTGAAAGACACAATTTGTTATGAAAAACCTGCAGAAATTTGAAGGTCACTCAGCCAATTCATAATTGTTCAGTTCATCATTTCAAGTAAATACAGGGCATAATCTTGCTTCTTAAAAGCAGGACATTAAATTATGAAGACTTTTTCAAATATATTAAAATTACACTACATGTGTAGTGGCTCATCAGTGGATTTCACCTAGAATTTAGAAACAAAAATAGAGAATTTGTACAGAAAAAGTAACTTTTGATCATCATTCATTTAACTTTAAAATAAATACAGATCAGACGCGGATCCGGGTCAATTTTTTTTCCATAGGAAGTATCAAAAAAAGAGCAACCCCCCCCCCCCGACACCCGGCCATTTTATTTTTATTGGTAATAATGTCACCAGACAATATAAATATTACCAGACAGAGTTATTATTATTACGGACAGAGCCAGCTTAGTTTAGGGGTATGTTTACACTATTCTATGATGATAGTGTTAATAATCATCAGATTTGAACAGCGCCGCATTTGAAAGTATGGTACTCCCCCCCCCCCCCCACGTTGATTTTCGTAGTCCAAGTGTCCGGAGAAAAAACCCTGTCTACATTTTAGATTTTTTTTTTTTGCTGATGAAACCCCCCCCCCCCCTGCGAAAATTCCTGGATCCACCCCTGCAGATATAAACACATCATCTAATCTAACATTGTTGCTAATTGTCCATTCTCTCCCCAATCAGACGGAGAGTCCAGACCCCACTACAGCCAAGGCAGTCATTGACTCCTGCCATAGACACTGGGGACCGGTCAGCCAGTGGACGGTCAGCCAGGTGGCCAGACTAGGACCCATGCTGACCAGCCTGAACATCGAGCAGATCAAGCAGCTCAACGACGAGGTTCTCCCTGAAGTGTGAGTCTTAAAAAAAACACTATAAGATGCATAATTTTTAATGCTGTGAATTTGGGATACAATTCGGATAGGGAAGATGTACATTTTGTTTATATCTGGTTGTGCCCTTCACCCATAATTTGAATACTGTAGGCCTTTCAATGCTCTGTGCTGTCCGAGAACTTGCAGGAAAATTTCACAAGCTTGTTCGGGTGGGACTCGAACCCACAACTTCCGGCTTATAAGTGTTGGGAATTTTAAGAAGCACTGTACCTACATGTATAGCACTTTGTGCTGCGTGCTGTACAAAGCTTGTGAGAGAAACTGACAAGCTTTCTTGTGTGGGACTTGAACCCACGACATCCTGCTTGTACTAGCGCAGATGTCTCGTCGACCACTTGACAGAAATCAGCAGAAATCAGCTGGCTATAGGTCAGTCTGCATCATGATTGGGTATTGTGTGTTATAAAAACTAGCAAAACTCAGGTCCCAGCAGAGCACATAAAATTGTTTTGAAATTGATTCAGAATGGCTTTTTCACTAGAAGTCTTGATCTTCATGCATCTGGTTATATTTGCTAATGGTAAAATTAACCCCCAAAATTCTATCGTAACTCAAGAATGAAATCCAGTCTCGGAACTCTATTTTGCGTTTTGATTCCAGCATAAAGGCATTTGCAAGATTGGGCTTCCAAGGCCAAGCCACCAGGACCTTGGTGCTAAAAGCCAAGAGATCCTGGGGTGCCATCGGGACGTGGACCCTGGACAAGTTTACCACGCTCGGACCTCTCCAGACGTACCTCACTCCACAGGATCTCAAACAAATCCAGCCTGGACAATTAAATGTGAGCTTTATTGTACATCCGCTAATTGTAACCCCCCCCCCTAGCTTTAACCTCCCTGACCCTCTTCCCCCTTGTCACACCCCCTTTACCCTTTCCTCTCTCCCCCACCCCACCCCCGCAAATTGCAACCCTCCAAATTTCAGGTTTTGGAATTATAAGTGATTTGCACAATTTTACAGATCCATAAAGAATAATTGTTTATTTTATTTATATCAGTTCACAAGCCTTCTGTCATTGCTGGGGTCGCTTGACTTGGACAGAGGGCAAGCTAGAGCCGTGATCAACATTGCTGCCGGTTTGCCAGAATGGCGCTGGACATTGGAACAAGTACAGAGGTAAATTGCCGATTGATATAATAACCAATTTAACAGAATTTCTTTGTTATAACAAAGAAATTAGCTGGAACAGGGTTGTAACTATAGGCTATGTAATAGGCCATGGCGAAGGGCCATGGGATATGTGAGCAGATTTGCTGATTAATTATGCAGACAACCGCCTCTTGACCTTTATAGATTTTGACCACAATCAGGGGGCGCTTTCTATATCGGGTCTTCCGTCATTCACCAGTTGTCGCGTCACAGACATGGATAAAAAACCTAGACACTGCAAACAAAGGCTGGGGTGATACGCGCTCTGTATTACATGTATGTTGGTTTTATAGATCTGTGCCCGGCCGTTGTATTACAAAACACGTACTGCATTCAAATTGACCAATCAAACAAATAGTCCTGATTTGGGAATGAAATGACGTCACGATTTAGTAAAGTCGAATCGATTGGTTGAAGCGCGGGATCGCTTAAATCTGCATGCTAAGATATATCAAATGTTATATACAGGAGACTGGGCTCCATGGATAACGGGTGATACTCAGATTAAGGTTTCAACCTGCCATATCTAGATCACTATGTCACAAATTATGAATGCACTCGCTATCCAGCCCAGCACCCTCCTCCCCTGAAAACCCAAGCCATGTGTTGGCCCAGGCGGGATTCGAACTCGGGTCACAGTGGAAGGCGAGGATCAAGTACCGCCACGGCCAACCTGACTCCCCTTTATGGATAATGGACTTCATATGGGTAAAAAATTGTAACACTTCTTTACACATTTCGGTTGTGCAAGATTGATTAAAGTGCTGGTAATTCCAATGTCGCTCTGGCCTTGTGATGTTTAGCTCGATCCGCCTTGCAAGGTACCGCCAGTAAATGAAGCGTGACTCCAAATGGCTAGAAATCCACAGGGAGCTTCAATTATTTTTTACCAAATTTAAAGTATTTCTGAAATGAGACTTGAGACTTGGGATTTGAAATGTAATTTGTGATGTGTCCTTGCACTTGCAGGGGAAGATGTAAACTGCACAGTTAGGGAATAAATGGCAGTTTTGTGCAGATTTCATCAGTGCAATCTGCATCCTTGGCACAAGGGTGCCAGAATTTCTGAAAAGCTCACTTTAAATAAGTGAACATAATTGTCGCAATGCAATTCAAACCTTACAGATTTCACAGAGAGGTATTCTTTAAGGTTGCATCCAACGTATGCCCATCCCTTCTTGAAAACTGTGTCAAAATGATTGTTACATTTTGTAAATGAAGCAGATGAAGCAAAACAAATGTGATAAAGAAAACAAGACATTCAGGTCAGCAGATGCCTTTCCTTGATCACTTGACGAGTTTATTTCCAACACGCGATATACGCCATTTTGTTCCCTCTTAGAATCCTGCTCTCTCCTGGCTGCCCAAAAGCAATTTCAACAGCTGTTTTTTTCTTAAACAAGACTTAAGAATACAATAAGCCGAAAAATGAAGTACAGAAACAGCTGTTATACTGTTTATATTCTTTAAAAATTCATAACCTTGCAAAAAAGTTCTCCTTTTTCAAATAGATTATATCGCGTTTTGGAAGTAAACTCTTCACTTCTTATTAAGAAGCTGTGAGCTTAAACTATTGCTAATAATAGCAATGTCCTCAGGAAATATCAACCAGGAATCAATCTTAGGCAGTTTCATCGCATAATATATTTACTTGTCATTTTGTATTGTGTTGTATTGTTTTATTTTCCATTTGTCTATCTGTCACAGGGCAATCTTGCTACTAACCTATTTTTGCTATAAAGCAAATATTCTTGTGATTTTTAGCAAATTTTCACTTTATTAGTATTTGCCCTGCTTGTGAATTCCCAAAAAATTCACACATTTTTATGTTCCCCCAAAAACTTTTCGTTTTCGTCCCAGTCTTGGAAAGATGACAAGATTTCTGGATTCCAGAGAGCTGAGAGCTGCCCCCGCCTCAGCCTTTGCTTCCCCGGAATTGCTGAAGGAGCTGTTGCCTTCAGACGGACGTGGCCATCAACAGGTAAAGAATACAACTCGTAACAGTATACAGTCTTAATGTCAGTAAGACGATAAGATTTCTGCCTGCAGGACCTGGAGAAGATTGAATTTAACACTTCAATAACATGACTAGTGACAAATTTATTTGTAGCCGTAAGTCCTGTACAATCCTTGCCAGTCGCAAAGTTGTAATCCTCACGTTGAGTTCTCTGTTGCTCTTTTCATTTGTGCACGTATATTTGCCATCGCCACTTTCATATGCTGGACAATAAGTTTGATTCCATGAATATTGATTGCATGACAGAAAAAAGTGTGACCATCAAATAAAGATCGGTGGAAGTTTCGAAAGTCAGTGTATATTGTGAATATGAAATTGATGTCAGTGCAAATTTTGATTAAAAATTGAAACTATTGCAAATTTCAAATTTCGAACAAGTATCAAAGTAACTTTTGAATATTAAATGAGCCCTATCAGTGCAAATTATGAATTTCGCACAAATTATGAATATCACACATTTTTTTATGCTGCTTCTACTTGCTTTGTAGTGGGGAGTGTGGTCTAGTGGTTAGGGCTAGTGACTCATGATCAGAGGGTCAGCTAGGGTTCGAATCCAGCTGCTTGGCATGTTGTGTCCTTGGGCAAGCCACTTCACCTCCACTTGCCTCTCTCCACCCAGGAGTATAGCTGGGGAGTACGTAACATGGGATGGACTGGCATCCCATCCAGGAGAGAATAGAAATATTCTCTGTCGTTTCATTCTGAGTCTCAAATATGACTTAATAATAAGTCATAAATATGAGATATAAGTCATATTTATGTCTTAATTTTTTTTTTTAGTTTCTATTATGTCCTGTAAATGCTTCCGAAGATACCAAGTCTTGTAAAATTTGCTTTTATTTTCCCTACAGGAATATTTTGCTAGATTTTCTGGTGTGCTTTTTGAGCAGGCTTGTGAATATCAATCAAATCTCAACTCAAATTGTGACGGAGGAGTAGACAAATTATGCAAATTTTGACTGTCAAGAAGATGGTATTAAAATTCTCGGATATTGCATGACACTTTTTTTTTTTTTTTATCTGACAGAAGCGATAGGTAATCCAGTCAAATGAGTCTTGACCATTGAGAAGAGAAGAAAGTTATCTTCAAAATTAAGATTTTCAAGACGATCGTATTAAAATTCCCGGATATTGCGTGACACTTTTTTTTTTTTATCTGACAGAAGCGATAGGTAATCCAGTCAAATGAGTCTTGACCATTGAGAAGAGAAGAAAGTTATCTTCAAAATTAAGATTTTCAAGACGATCGTATTAAAATTCCCGGATATTGCGTGACACTTTTTCCTTTTTATCTGACAGAAGCGATGGGTAATCATGCAAGTCAAATGAGTCTTGACAATTGAGAAGGGAAGAAAGTTATATCTTCCAACAGTAAACGGCTTCACAGAATAATATATTTTTTTCATTCACCAGGTTTATTTGTTTGTTATTAATTCAACTTTGAACATCAATTTCACAGCAGATCGAGTAGAGAGTTTGGAGTCTTTGACAGTGAAGGTCATTGATTCAGTTGTATTTCTATGTGGCTGCCAAGTGTAGCTATATTTCTGTTGGCTACCAGATATCCATGTAAAAGGTACCTGAGATAACAGACATGTATTGTGGAGACTGCACGAAATCCCCATCCCTGTGAAAACTGCATGTCCTTTTGGATTTGTGTTACTGTATGATTCATGGCCGGTCATACTTCACATCAGGGTTCCTAAGCCACTCTGAAAATCATATTTCTATTATTCCTTAAGTCGGGGAAAGCGCAGGAAATTTGGGAGGAAAAAATCACCAAAAATTAGCAAAAACTCAGGGAATTTGACAGTGACCCAGAAGGGAAAGGTTTTTGTCATTTTCGTGTATCGCCTTGTGCCATGTGCCCAAGTTGTGTCCATTAATTGACTGACATGCTGTGGTGGCTTTTTAGTGTTTATGCAGTGTGAATATTACCTCTCTAGACGATAACCATTGGCTGTGCTACACCACCTCTCGACTTCCCAGCAACCTATAATTAAAGTTAAAATATCTCTCATGGAATTTTGGAAGTTTCCAAGGGGAAATATCAGGGAGCACTCACCTGGGAAGTTAAATTTTCATAAAGTGAAAAACTAAAAAAAAAACCTGCGAAATTTGCCAGAGTTGAAAAGTGCTCAACTTTTATAAAGGGACGAAAAAATGGGAGGGGAGGGGCAAAAAAATGATATCCCCCCTCCACTTTAAAAAGTGAGAGGGACACGTCCCACCGTCCCCCACTGATTGACGCCCATGCCAGTGCACTAGAGAAATTCACATAATAACAGGTTTCAACATTTCGATCCATCATTGGATAGACAATTTTCAAATTGACAGTCAATTATTAAACCCCTTTTTTTTCAAATCCTCACCACAAAAAAAAAATTGTTGATAAATACGTAGACAGAAGCTCATAAAGTCAAGCACTGTACGGTCTGTGAACCCTTATAGAAGTCTTGGCATTTTTGATTCAGTTAAAAGAATAAAAGAAGTAGGCCTAGGGCATGGAAAGCCTGACATTTAAACTCTCAATTTGTGAAGAAGGTTACATGTTGATCTTCCTGCAGGAGATATTACTGATTACCAGATTACCCTGATATTTGATTCCCACTGGGGATGCACATTTATCTCAGAGTAGTTTTCACTTCTAGTTTGCAGGGGATTTTCTCAGAATTGTTCCCCGGGGTTTCCTCCTGTACTCCCAGCTCTAAAATTTCTGCTCGTATATCTTTGACCTGAAAACTCTGGCCCTGAGGCCAAACAAATTTACCCGAGCAGCGAACCATTTTGTCAAGAAGTGATTACATGTATAACCAGGGCTCTATTTCAACATATACAATTTTGCCTAGCAAGTGGATGTGATTAGGTTAAATCCTTTCAGAACTGGCCATGAGCAGCATTCATCATATGACATGTCAGCTAGGAGCTTCTGCTAAAGCAAAATTTTCTTTGCTCGACCATTTTTGTTGTTTTATGTTTTTTTTTCTTATTCTGTAGGTCCATGTGATCGGTCCCAGCTGATATGACTTCTGAGTTTAATTTTTTAGATTTAACTATTCGGTCCAGTGCCATTTGCAATTGATGCTGTATGCATGTCAGTATGGGTCAATGGAGCTAATTACATCTGGCATAGAAATTTCGCTGAGCCCAGAATAGACTTGCTCAGCAAAACTCGGTCATCGGCCAGAATGTCATTGGATGTGTAATACTTTTTGCTTGTCAAGATAAAACGCTGAGCAGAAAATCCAAATATCATTGGATGTGTATTGCTAGTGGTAATGGTTCACAGGTTCTTTTTGCTTTAATAACTAAAACATATGTTAAGCAGAAATTTCTCGGTTACGAGCCAAAAATGTCATGTTATATGTATAATTGCCTGTGCAATGATTCACAGCTACTTTTTGCTTAGCAACAAAATAGAATAAACAGAAATTTCTAGGTTACGCCAGCCAAACGTAACTGGATGTTTACTGCTTTTGGTTCAAGGCTGCTTATTGCTTACCGAGAAAATATACTATAAACAGATATGCAAGCCCAGTACTGGAACACATTTTTGCCAGGGGGCACTTATTCCAGCGCCCCCAATCCAAAAAGTTAGGGGTGGACGGTGCTTGCAGCACCCACAGCACCCCTGTTCCCACAGCTTGGTCACCCAAAATGTCACGGGATGCAATTGCCTGTGATAGGTTCATGGCTGTTTTTTGCTTTGCAAGAAAATATATGCTTGGTTTTCTGCTTAGCATGCAGGTCCATGACATTTGGCTCCCTTTTTTACCCCTTCCTCCTCGCAGCAAACTAAGGAGATTGCCAGAGTCTTGAAGGAGAGCCGAGGAACAGTCAACGACTGGACAGCAGAGGACTTCAGATCAATGGGGAGGGCAGCCAGTGGCTTGGAGGTCAACGACCTGGAACAACTTGGTAATATTCTGTTTGCATTTTTTTTGGGTGGGGGCACATCCTTCACTATACTCTGAGTCACCCCAACCCTTCAGTGACCCCACCACAAAAAGAAAACAAAACAAAAGAAAACAAGTTGTTCTCGAGATGTACTAAATAATAAAAAAAAATATAAAAATTTCATTACAAAACCACATGATTATTATGATGTCACCTCACATATAACTCTCCCTGTATACATGCGAAGTTTCAACCCAATAGGACTTTTTCTTATGGAGATGACTTTAAAAAATTCATCTTTAACATGATTCATCTTTAATAAGATGATATAACATTAGTCAACGGCTGTACGGTGGGTGGGAGGGGGGGGGGTTCAACCCCCGTAACCCCCCCTTAAGATCCGCTGTTGGGATTTGGCTTGTGTATATTGTTGTTTCACGAATGATTCTTTTAAACTAAACTCTTTTTGATGGGATATATTGAAATGACAAAAATTTAGATTGGCTATTCTTCAAAAGATTTCCAATTTGGTTATTGACACATTTGATTGGTAATTGCTTCACATTTGATGATTGTGAAAACAACTAATTGCATTCTGAGATGATTTAGTGATTGATAATGACTCGTAATCAGTACTTTGAAAGCATCGTTTACAAATGGAATTTAGTTGATAGAATTTCCATGGCAGCTGTCCATTTCTTGTTGCATACTGTAGACCCAAGCGTCGTTCAAGGAGCAATAGCTGACATCGCTGATGCAGAATATTCTCCTCGCCAGAGGAATGTGTTGATTGAAAAGTATCGCGAGGCCAGAGGCAGTCGGGATACTGTGAGTTTGAAAACAGGAAACGCATTTCTATCCAGAACAAACCATCAAACATTTATTCCCCCTTAGGGAAAAAGGTCAAAAATAAGTCAGTTGAATTTCAAGGAATTACAAATTCCCTTTCAAAAGATTCAGAAATCCAGATCAGGCATACGTTTTGAGTGCACCGTTATCATATAAATGCGCCTTTTTGATTACTAACTCTAGATTTTTTGTAAATTTATGCAACATTCTCAATGATATTAGGACAAGATAACTTTTTTACTTTATTTACCTAAACAGCATCATTTTCATTTAAGATGTGTTTTTTTTTTCAGTCTTAAAAAAGGTTTGCTCAAATTAAGGCTTACACAAAATACCTGATAAAAGGATGCATGCCGTGTGGTTATTATTTGTACACTGCTTGGTACCAGAAGTATGATGGGGGTAATTTGTGTGGTTTTGGACCCAACTTAAAGGAGTGGAGTTTCCAATATTTTTTGTTTACACAAGGGGAAACTGACTAGATGCATTATTTTATTTTTTTTTCAACAATTTTTTTTCCAACAAATTTGACCAATTGGGGAATCGGCAACATAGGGCTGGAGAGAGCACTGGAACGGCAATCCGGAGGTGGCAAGACGCAGGTTCAAACCCTGCTCTACTCCTAGAACTATGAGAGCCTCATAGATTAAGAACCCCGCAAAATCCTTTTCAGCACAAAACACTAATTAAGTACAAAAACGTCCATCAAAATGCAGACATTTCCCACAGAACCGCTGCACAGTTTGCCCCCAAACTCCGTACTACACCTCATGACATACTCACGTAATATGCGCAAAACAAACATCGCTGGATTTTGTCATTTTTTTGGCCAAAATGATGAAAAATATGCCTTTCCGCACTGAGCCAGCCTGACACTTGAAACGTGCACGCATATGATCCAGGGATGATTTTCGGTTCGCTCGGAGCGCGTCGCCGGGGGTACGGTACAAGCGAAATGATAGTATGCGCATGCGTACAAGTGCAAGTACCGTACCCCCCCGCTCCGAGCGAACCGAAAATCATCGCTGGATCATATGCGTGCACGTTTCAAGTGTCAGGTTGGCTCAGTGCGGAAAGGGCATAGTTTTCATCATTTTGGCCAAAAAACCGACAAAATCCAGCGATGTTTGCTCTTCGCATATTACGTGAGTATGTCATGAGGTTTAGTACGGAGTTTGGGGGCAAACTGTGCAGCGGTTCTGTGGGAAATGTCTGCATTTTGATGGACGTTTTTGTACTTAATTAGTGTTTTGTGCTGAAAACGATTTTGCGGGGTTCTTAATCTATGAGGCTCCACTACCATAGTTCTAGGAGTAACCCTACTTCAGTCAATTTATTTGTTCAACTTTGAAAAACAAAATTTGTTGTCAGGGCGGAATGGCTTTTGAGGATGTTGCTGTTGGAGAAATTGCTATTTTCAGACGAACTATACTGTCAAATTTGAATTCTTAGGGGAAAAAAGGCAGTCGTATAAATGTCAAACATTTGTGGCTAAACATGGAAATATTTGTCAGAACTGTGTCCTGAATGTACTATACTTTTTGTCACTTTTTTCCCATTGCAAAGTCCATGAGTGCCGATGAGATTAAGGATTTTAAGATTTTAGGCTTTGCATGGTGGAGTATCAGTTTCGTTTTGGTTTGCGGTAACACCATGTGGTAATAACAAATTTGAATTCTTAGGGGAAAAAAGGCAGTCGTATAAATGTCAAACATTTGTGGCTAAACATGGAAATATATTGTCAGAACTGTGTCCTGAATGTACTATACTTTTTGTCACTTTTTTCCCATTGCAAAGTCCATGAGTGCCGATGAGATTAAGGATTTTAAGATTTTAGGCTTTGCATGGTGGAGTTTCAGTTTCGTTTTGGTTTGCGGTAACACCATGTGGTAATAACTACTGGTCAGTATAGATATTCAGCTCTGAAAAGAATTTGTCCTGCTTATTATCAACTTTTGCTAAGTAATTTTAGTTTTGATAAGGTTTTGCTGTTGGAGAAATTGTTTTTTTCAGGATACCTGTCAAATGTGAATTCTTCGAAAAACAATGTCATTTATAGAAATGTCAATCATTTGTGGCTAAACATTGAAACGTTTGTCAGAACTGCGTCCTTTTTCTTACTTTTCCCCTCATTTGCAAAGTCCATGAGTGCTGATGAGGTGAGACAGATGAAGGGATTGGCGGTGGGACTGTCAACCTCTGACCTGGCTCACATGGACCCTCAAGACGTTAGGGAGTCCATGGATGTCTTCGCTAGCAATGCCAACAAAATGAAGAAGACACAAAAGAGAGAAATCATCAAGCAGGTATGGGCCAGTATATGAGCCCTTGTATGATTGAGGGTTTGGGTGACAGTCCTGAGTAAATGTTGCAGGTGATTCCCCTTCGTTGACATTCTTTATAGTTTATGTCCTCATTAACATGCTGTGTAAAAGTCATTAACATTACTTGTTTTATGTTCTCAGTTAATGTTGAATTTTTTACTGGTGTAATATTGTCTTATAATGTCTTTTCTTAGTTTTATGGCCTGCCTTTAATGTTGTAAAAATTCACTGGAGAGGGTCACATTGTGGTGACTCATCAGTGGAGTGGGGAGAGAGTTTGAAAAGAAGAGGAAAAAGCGACTCCAAGTATTGAATGATGTCCAATCTCCCTTTCCATCTCCCCACCTATGCTGTTAAAATGCATGACCACGACTGGACTCTGGAAAAGTTCCAGAAACAGTTTCGGGGTTGATGAATCGCCTTTACTCTCTTAGATCCACCACTCAACAGAAACCTGTAATTGTGCCGTCTTTATCCCCAGTTGAAGGAAGCCCCAGGTGGCATCCAGGACGCCATCCAGGACATGGGAGACATGGTCAAGGAGCTTCCGCTGAGAGACCTGGACTCGCTCTGCACGGCCAACTTCACTGCCGCAGCCGATGAGAACTCCACGGGTGTCGCCGCGGCTGGACGCATGAACTGGACGGAGGGACAGGTAACTATACACCGGCATGTTGATGTTAAGTCTCCCCTCAAGTCCCAAGTCAAAATCACACATGCTGAACTGTTACCTAGGCATCCTGTCTTGTGGTCATAGATTATTACTTGTGGCCGGACGTTTGAAACGACTTGTGATTTTCTTGTGACTGGACTTGTGATGGCCTCGACTACAGCACTAACTACAACAGCTAATCTTTGATTGTAGTTGCTCCTAACTGAATCAAAACATGGAACTGCACGTTAATTTTTTTAATTCAAATCTTCAGAATTATTTGGCTTGGAGCAATTCTGTAACATATGCCATGTTTGGATCAGGACCAAATTTCTAGGCTCTGCTAACCGTAAAAGAATATCAATTGTTTTCATAGGTCTATATATAGGCTTGTGTGTAGGTGTGCAATGTATTCCTTCACAAAGGTCTTCATAGCAGGTTTAGTATGAGTCCGGAAAAGTAAAACAAAATGTCTGTTATTTCTTCCTATTTGTTCAGAGCATGAAGTTGTTCCGATGTTTCAAGGATGAAGTTCTTGGCAGCAGTGAAGGTGAGGGAGGGAGTTCAGCTGATCTACTCACTCCGGCTACAATCAGGTGCAGTGGCTTACTTCTGATTCCTGTTCTTGTAATCCTTCTAACCCTTCTGCACATTTTGAGTTGACTTGTGATTTGACTTGTGATCAGACTTATGATTTGACTTGTGATTTGACGTGTGATGTGACTGATGCTTGACTTGCAGTTTGACTTATGATTTGACTTATGATATAGCTTGTGATTTGACTTGACTAGTGATTTGACTAATGATTTGACTTGTAATTTGACGTGTGATTTGACTGATGCTTGACTTGTAGATTGACTTATGATTTGACTTATGATATAGCTTGTGATTTGACTTGACTAGTGATTTGACTAATGATTTGACTTGTAATTTGACGTGTGATGTGACTGCATGGTGCTTGACTTTTGATTGATTTGTGATGTTACATTTGATAAACATTTTTTATTTTTAAAATATTTTTTTTTAATGTTCTTGTTATTTTTTACTGAGGGTAGTCCATTTCAAATAAAAAAAAGTACTTTCCAAAGGAGCCCTTACACCTGACTAGTGAATTGACTTATGATTGATGACTCTACTAGATTTAAAATTATAAAATTTACAATTTACCAGATTTAAAATCTTAAAGTTTACAATTTCCATTGTTAGCAGTTAGCAGCATGTACATTAAGCCCTACAGGCCTATAATTACCCATTGTTCAGGGGAAGGATTTTTTTTTGCAAAAAGTAATCACAACAGAAAAAAAATATTTAACAAAATTAAAAAAAAAATCACTCAAAAAACCAAAACAAATCAACTCGGCTCAATGCACATGCATACTTAGGAGCCCATTCCTTACAAGCTTTATGGGCCCCTCCGCAGCATCACACATTTTCCATACTTATTGTTGGCTTGAACTTTGTTCTAAATGTTATTTCTGCTGTTCTCCAATTCAGTTGTCATTGATATTTTGGTACTATGGAAACAAACTGAACTGAAATTAACTCTTTCATTTCAGGTATATGGGCAGTATGGCCAAAGGGATGTCCTGCGATGACGTCGAAGGCTTTGTAGCCGATGACATCCTACCGACAGTTGGTGCCATGATGGAACAGGAAGGATGGTCCCCAAGGCTGGTAAGAATAAAATAGCTGGCCAAACTTAAGGTTGGGGGGGGGGGGGACAGGGGAAATTCATGGATACCAAAAGAGCCGTTGCACTGGAATTGACCGATTGTGGTAAAATCGCGTCAACGCAGCTTGTGAAACATTGCCCAATTACATATATACAAATGGACGCGAAACGCACAACGTCTGTGACAAACAAAACTTAAGGTACAAAATTTGCCAATGGGCGTGGCCAACTCGTCGATAGGTCAATTTGCTTAAAGGAATTAAAGCTATAGTCCATCATTTGTAAATAGTGCATTTTGTTCGTTTGAAGCAACAAAAGTGTTCAAAATCTAATGAAGGATACTGAACAACTTACTTGATGAAGTTTCAGCTCAGCTTCAGCTTCATATTCCGAGAAAAACAGCATTCTAGGATCTCAATTTAAAATCAAAAGTTGCTAAATCATGTTTCGAATTGTTTTGAATTGCAGCTTTACGCGATGTTGCGCACTGATCCAACGAATTATAGCAACCGCGCGCGCCTGTGCGTCGTTCCAATGCTTGTGCGCGCTGCGCCGAATAACAAAACGAACAACTAATTTAAATTTTCCTACGGTGCTTCTTAAGAAGCACCGTTGGAAATGCCTTCTTTCGTTGATTTCTTCAAAATGAGAGCTTGCCAGAAAGGATAATTTCACAGGGAGTTTAGTCCCCTTACTATCTTTCAACCAGGATGTTTTTCAACAATAATTACGCCGGTTAATTTTTTTGGATAGCTGCAAATGATGGACTTGGGCTTTAAGTGGTAACAATTCTAATGGCTCATTTGCATGTTCACACTTAAAGCACTTTTTTTGTTTCAGGAAATTTGTGAACAAGCTGGACTGAATTACAATAGCTGGTTATTCATCCACTACTGGCCTTTGTCTGAATTTGTACCATCGACCTTACAGAACATCACTAATATAAGAGAATATAACACATAATTTCTTGTGAAATACAAACTACAAACAAAATACAAAATCTCTGCCTATATACAATGGATAAAAGACAAAAGATGCAGGTTTCTTGTGGAAACTGTATGCATAGCCACAGATTAAGTCAGCCTCTTGTGATTTTTTCCTTCGGCCTTCACGAAGACTGTGAACATCATCAGCAGACGACATAATCCTGCATGTCACCCGATCACAATCTAGCATAATCCGCACTGACCATGGATAAATCTGCCACTCAATATGTTCACCTGATGAAGGGGAGAAGATTATTTGAGATGAAACACGTACATGGCCAATATCATCCACTCAGTCCTGACCCCAGAGAAAGTGGTCATTCCAAACCAACCAGGGCCAAATTTCATAGCGCTGCCTAGCCGATGTTGTGCTTACCAAAAAAAAAAAGCCTCTGTCTATTTCATGGAGACCGTTAAGTTAAAGCACAGCAAAAGTCCACTTAACCCCAGAGGGAAAAAGTTGCCTAAGTCAGTGAAGGTGACAATATAGAAGTCCCCAAAGTCTATAAATTGTTCTGTTTCATCTTAAGTGGAGTCAAGGAACCAGACTACAAGAACATGGTTGGTTTTCTTGGATTATCCAGCATCTCCGAACCCAAAACGTGAAGCAAGTCAGTTTAACAATATTTGCTATGACATACTAATCCTCCTAATCCATTTATTTCTAAAAATTGCAGCAACAGCAAATGTTCTACATCCCCTTTAAGCAGCAGCATGATTTTCTGCTTATTGTAAGCACAACTTTTCTGCTAACTGTTAACCAGCACTATGGGCCCAGGAGTGTACACATTGCAGTCGATGTTAAAAAATTAATATGTACAAAAAAATTTGTGGTGAAATTTATCTTTGTTAATATGTGCTATGCTAAAATTATAAATAGTTAAAGTGAATCTCAAATGGCATTTTTGCACAGATATCATCATTTACCATCACGAAGTGTTGATCAGTGAGCATAAAAATAAGATTCAATAGCATTAATTAATTACATTGTTATGACAAAAATCTTTCAGAGGGATGTTAGTTTTATAATTTTGTGGGTGTACAAAAACAGACAAATAACCATTTTTTATTTTACACAGATTTTTTTCACTGAAACAACAAAATGCAATTACTCTGCAAATCAACAAGTCATTGCTCTCCCGACAGAAAAAACGTTCTGTCTTGTCTCAAGAATAACAAACGGATGCATTACACCTGTGCTTACAAAACAGCACCAGTCGTAAACTCCCTAAGCTGCCTTTAATCAGATGGTATTAAGCAATGCGCTGTGACATTTCAGCCATTATATATGCCTCACTCTAGTTGCGTGCCATTTTGAGTCGGTATATCAGCTTACAGTAAGCAAAGAGCTTAAAGGTTTACCACCCACGCTATTATTGAGCTTCTACTTCAAAAAATAAATTGTATCTTTGAAAAACACATTTTTAAACTTTGGAATGAGACAATTTATGCATGCAAAAAGAGACACACTTTCAGTTATGGAATAGTTACTTTTTAACTTAACTATTTGTTTTCATAGGATGAAAACAAATAAAATAAATCCCAGAATAAAGTAGCCTTTTTCAGAGGGTTGCAAACACCCCCCCCAAAAAAAAAAAAATCTGTTTGAAAATAATCAAAAGTACAAGTTGAAAAGTCTGTAGAAAAAAACAAATTAACTGGTTGAAAGACACAAATAGTGCATCTTTAAAAACATCTACATCAGCGGAAACACTGCAACAGATTTACCTTAATTATCACAACATCAAGGAGAGATTTCCTACTCTAATCCCGTTCCTTAATCCGTTATCCTCGGCACAGCTGGATTGCACTCACCAGAAGATCAAGGCCTCTCTCTCCGCGGCCCACGACGATTACACTGCCGACTTCACTGAGATTGAGATTGCTGCGCTGAGGGGACAACTGCTTAAAGAGTTAAGGTAGGGTTATGAAAGCCACGATGATAGACAAACAAGGTTAAGTTTGCGTCAACATTGGACCGCGTGTCTGTGCAACAGGTTTGAAAGTAAAACATCTAGAATTGCATTGAGATGTTTTGTGGTTCTGTTCCATACGTCTATCTTTCTGCCATAATCCTTTTCTAAATGCGTTTATTGTAAAAGCATTCCCTATTCAAGCTATGCTTTCAAGGATTTCTCCTCCATCTGCTGGCTGTCATCATGCCCATGGGCGTCGCCAGGATGGGTCAAAATAATTTAGTATTCGGCTATTCGATACTGCGCTCGACCACATGTTTGATTATTCAAAACACGCTGGTCAAGTTCTACACGTGCCAGGGGGTGGGGCACTTGCCCCCCTCCTGGAAAAGCACAACAAAAAAAGGAAGAAAAAACGAAAAGAGAAAGAAAAGAAAAGAGGTGTGAAGTCATATTTACTATTAATTTAATACACATTTACAAAATGGGCGTCTGCAGGGGTGTCAATGGGCTGGGGTGGGTAAATGTCCCCCGCCCACCCCGCAAAAAAATGATAAACTGAGAATATGCTAGAGAAAGAACAACAATTTGGGGGAACAAATCCTGGCGACGCCCATGATCGTGCCTTCTGTTGTATTTTTTTATTTTCATTTTGCCAGAAAGAGGAATTTGTCGAAATGAAAATGAAGTGAGAGTGAGGTCACTTGTGACAGTTAAGAAACAGCTCATCATTCCAGCTTTAAAAAAAAAAAAAAATTGAAAAATTCGTAATAAAAAGCTGTATCCTCTCTGAGTGATCCCTTTTTCCTATTTTCAAGGTTTGCAACATTCCTAATATGTTGCTTTAGTGTTTTGACCTTGGGCATGATCTCTGGCTCAACATGGCATGTATGGGTTTGATTCTGACTAGCGCCCCTAGAACATAGACCTTGAAATAACGAGGAACTGCAATACTGTTGGTAGAGGTTGCAGAGGACGCAGGTGCAAACCCAGCTCCAGTCAATGTCATTGTCCAACTGAAAGTCAATTTGTTTTTACTGATTGCAAGGGCTGTCCGTTTCGAATGATTTAGTATTCGGCTATTCGAAACTGCACTCGACCGCATATTTGATTATTCAAAACACGCTGGTCAAGTTTTACATGCGCCAGCTGCTGTCATCATAGCACCAGGCCTTCTACACCATCCTTTAAAGAAAGACTGACAACGCACATACGCCGGCGCATCTAAGAACCGACTGTGACCCCCAATGGGGTGATACTCCAGAAGAGGCGTTGCCACTTTTGCTATCCGGATCTAGATCCAGCTGCAACTGCATGCCGCTATCAAAAGTTGCACACCAAGCGCGCCGGTTAAAATTGGGAACGCCGATCGATATTATGGGCTGCTGGAGTTGTTTTTTTCATTAAGTATTTTATAACATTAAAGGCCTTTAAGCTGCTGAAAGGATGAGAACAATGAACAGCTGTCGACAAAAAAAAATACTAAATAATGAAAGGTTTGCGGAAACACCATGTGCGAATAATTTCTCAACTAAGAGAATGGTTCTGAAAAGAACCGGAGGTATAACTCGACGTTCCGGTCAGTATGCTCTGACCGTCTTCAGGAGACCATCTTCAGGAGAGTTACTGTTGACAACAAGTGGCAACTGACAATAAAGTGCCGCAACTTTATGATTAAAATATGGTAACATCACAGTCCTGTGTGTACCTGGGTAGATTTTTTTTCTCTGAAAATTCATTAGCAAAAAGCTATTCAAATATTCGGTCCATGATCAAATATTGAACTAGTCTGTATAATTGGGACAGCCCTACTGATTGCAACTTGCAAGAGTCCTGGGCAAAACAAATCTGTGAGGGTTTGCAGGGGCAAATTGTATTTACTCGAGACTCCCTATTAAAAAAATGAGTTAGATCTTTCCAGAATTGGTGACATTTTGTGGGAGATTGAGAATCCTGAGATTTATCCTGAGATGATCAAAAAGTCTGTATTTCGGGAAAGCCTGCAAGAGTCGATCCTGGGCAAACAAAAATCTGCGAGGAGGGGGGAATTGTATTAGGCCTAACCCCTATTAAAAAAAATGAGGTAATAGGTAAATAAATCCACCCACTGCCTTAACGAGAATTGGTGACATTTTGTGGGAGGTTGAAAATCCTGAGATATTAACATCTGTTCGTCGACACAAAGTATCACTTCATCCACAATGTGCAGTGCACTTAATATTGGCCAATGACAATTGGTCATGTTCCATTTGACCCGTAAATCTACATATAGCCCTTTTGAATTTTCAGGTGTTTTTTTCTCACTTTAATCATGTTAATTCAGTAACAATGAATTCCCAAGAGGTGTACTTTATTGTTATTCCTGTGGATCAAAAGCCACCTCAAAGGTGGCTGTATTGCAAAGGATCTATATATTTGATCATGTGTGTTGCATGGAGAGGTTATATAATAAGACAATTTTAACAACTGTTAAAAGCAGGGAAAAAAAGGTCAACATTCAGAATTGTTAAATCATGTGCTTGGATACTGTAATTTCTTTGGTCTAGGAAGGCCACGTGTCTGGACAATAAAAATGCATGTCACACACTGAGGTTGATATCGCACTTGCGCGCATTGAGAGCGTGTGTGGAACCTGCCGGCGCGCTAGCTTTGCGCAATATGAGAACTGCAACGTCAAACGCTCAAAACATGTCCGGCAGGACATCAAAGCCTTCAGTTATCAAAGGTTACATCGCACTGATTTACGTTATTTCTCACACACTAAGTTACAACTATTTATCTTTTTGAGTTATTGATACGATTACAAAACGATTGTTGACTGCTGTGATGTGGGATATGCCGTTTTTAACTCCCTCTGGGTGCACTTTTTAGTACCCTTGGCTTCGCCTCAGGTCCTGCACCCCTCGGATGTTAAAAATGTCATATCCCACATAACAGCAGTCATTACAATTGTTAAATGTGGATGTTTTTTTATTATTGGCAGTGTTGAGGAACTCAACTCCATCCCTTCCAGCCACTGTGAGATGCTGTATTCTGAGATTGGCAACGAGGATTTGATAGGACTCAAGAGAGATAAACGGAAGGCGCTGACCTCCAATGCCCTGCAGTGTCTGGTGAGTTGAGGTACTCGTGGACAAGTTGTGGTGGATCGTAAGTACATCACGAAGACTTGTACTTCACGTGAAAGCGAAAGCGAAGCGAATTTCATAACATCAATAATTGAAGTTTCATTAATTGTGACATTTGCCACTGTCCTAACACTTTTGCTTAATTCCCACTCAAATTTGCGTATATAAACCGGCCTTAAGTCCATGCAAACATCACAAGTCCATTCACAATTCCAGTCACAATTAAGTAACTAAACTCCTGCATATATACACAGATGTCTGGGTGATAGGTTGGTTGCTACGGGTAAGGTAATTTTGGCCGTGCACAGAAAGATAGCAAAAATAGAAAGTACCATGTGACTTGCGCTTGACCAATCAAGACGCAGAATATGTGGGTGATGAGGCGTTATAATCCTTTTTGGCTTTGCATGCACGGTAATAAAATACATAACACCACAAATACCATGTGACACACTTTTGGCCAATCAAGAGAGAGAGTGTGTGCATGAGGTCAGTTGAAACATTCTAAACATGGCATCCATTCTAATCCCAGGGCGTGGATGGACAGGCGAACACCATCGAGCAGGATACCATGGATATCATCGGTAACCTGGCCTGCGACCTGGAGGCCGACATGCTACGACGCCTCTCTTCCGACGTCTTCACTGGTAACCTGTACAGCATGCAGAAATGCTGCCTGAATATTGACCAGATGGTGGTCATCGGGGAAAGACTGGTGCAAGAAATGGGGTAAGCAAAAAAAACCAATGAAGGTCAAAATTAAAAAAAAAAATCATATAAAATCACAGGATATGAAGTCATCATGACGTCACTTCAATTTTCATCTATAATACGTCCCTGTCCATGTACACACTAAGTTTCAACCCAATCCGACTTGAACTTGAGAAGATTTAGGGCTTCAAAAAATGCACCTTTAATATTTTTTTACGTGACATGTGAAGATGACGTGATGAAGTCAATGTTCAGTATGCATCCGCGGGTAGTGGTCTATGTGTGTGCCAAGTATAAAGTTGATCGGATTAATAAAAGTCCCCAATTCGTTTAGGAAAACTATGTACAAATCCTATGGAGTTGGGTCTGAAAAAGGAAAGGGAAAAAAGTCTTAATGAAAACAAGAGCTGTTTCAGCTGAGTTGATGAAACAGCTTAACAACTCATTTCTTTGATGTGACTCCTGAGATCATGGAATTATAAAGTTGTCTTTTTTAGAATTTTTCTTCAAAACTGTTTTTTTTTGTTTTTTTTCAGATCCCCAAATCAATGGATGTCAGACACCATATCTGACATTGGTCCCCTCCTGGTTTCGCTGTCTGAGCTGGAAATACAGAACTTGGAAGAAGTAAGTTTGAAAAAATGTCAATCTTTGAAATTATTATTTTTTTTTTAATTTCTTGAACGTAATCCCATAAAGGCAATTACACATCTAATTCCATTGGTTGCTAACTTAACTATACTCCTAGCACTATCAAAGATGACCATGATTTTTTTTTTCTTTTCCCCTGCACAGGAACAGTTTTCCTTGGTTGCAGAGGACGTGATGGTTCGCTTTGCCGAGTACAAAGACAAATGGAGCAGATATTGCGACGTTGATCTACGACCTCAAGACATATCCAGTCGGGAGGAGGGTTTCGTTACCATGGCAATCAAGGCCAAAGATGCGCTAGTTGCCGTGGCGCAGGCAGATGTATCAGGGAGAAAGAGACGAGGTAGGGAAGATATTTAGATGGAATTTTAAAATTGGTTTTTCGTGGGTAGGGATGTAGATTCTTATCTTTAAAAAAAAGAAATGAAAAAAAGACGCAGGCTACATTTTTAAAAGCAAAGTTTTGATTCATATTTGATCTATTTCAAGACCAGAATAGGCATAGGCCTACGTCAAATTGTCCAGTTTAAAATGTTGAGGACCTGTTTTTTTCCCCCAGAAAACCTGGAAAATATTTTGGGGATTTTTAGGGTTGAAAATTGAAAAAAAAACCAGTTGCTTCTTAAAAAAAATTATCGGAAAATTTTATTTTTGATTCAGTGATTGTCATTGAAGCACAAACATTTGTGTTTTTGAGAAGAAATTAACCAGGGTTCGGAATTATAGCGGAAGCCAGCTAGCCAAATGCTAGTCAAAACAGCGGCGGGCTAGTCAGCCTGGCTGGTGAGTCAAAAATAATTTGGCCAGGGCAAAGATGAAAGGACAGGAAGGATAAATCATTAAATTCAGAAAGCAAATCTGTATCAATTGAGTCTTATTTTATCAACGTTTTGAAAGGTTTGAATCATTAGATCTGTTCATTAAAAACAGTCTCAGAATTGAGCCTGAAAGTTTGCCATTTTGTATTTCAACAACATGTGCAGGTTCGTGAAAATGCCCGTAGGCTAGTTAAGAGACTGTTTCAGTAGCCCGGCTGGCTAGTGAAAAAAAGAGTTAAGGTCAAACTCTGAATTAATGATACAATACAAATAATTTAATGGTTTTGCATTGTTTCTTCCTCAGTGTCAATTTTTTTCAAGCTCTTGTTCTTATCTTTATTTATGATAGACTCCACATACTCGCCAACCTGCAATGAAATCGAGTCACTCAGCGATGGCAACATCGCATGGACTGTGGATGAACTAGGAGCCATGACAGTCAACACATTTGACAGTTGTGGATATGCACTGGGTGAAGTGACAGGCTTCTCGGATGCTCAACTAGCAGCGCTTCTAGACAAAGCTAAAGAGGTTTGAATTAGTTGATACTGTGTTGACTGTGGACAAACTAGGAGCTATCCCTCCAAGTTTGACAGTCAACGCATTTGACAGTGGTGGATATGCACTCGTTAAGTAAATCTATAGTAACTCAATTTTCTGTTCATCCCCTGTTACTTGTGACTTAGGCCTAGTCAGCATCTGAATCTCTTGTCTTGGCCGTCTTTCTTCTATTACAACTTTCTGAGTACAGCATGCTGACAATCCGCAGCTGTGCAAGACCTGTTTCAGACACAGCTTTCTTATTGACTTTTAAGTAATCGACTAGCGTAGCTGCCTCGATGCTTACATCCTTTCACCATTAATAATTCCCGAGGCTACAGCAAGAAACATGTTTTCGTCAAAATGTACCCTCTCATACTGCCTCTCCTTAGAACTGCCCACCGGGATCTTGCTTTGCCTATAACTGTAAACTTTCACAGTTCAAACAAAATGTGAACAGATACCTCCTGTCACTGTGAGTTCTTCCACTCTTTCTTTAGGTTTCTAGTTGGAAATCTACACCGGCTTTAAACTGCAGCCTCAGCCATACGTTCATTTGATCGATATCTTTGACTTGTGATGGTAGTTATACGTGTAAAGGTACCACTAAGGAGACACGTGTTATCGTAATTTCTTCGCACGATGGGAGACATCGGTCATTAGGGAGACATTTTCATGTCTCCCTAATGTTACAGCCCTCCTTTAGAGGCACAATTTTACTGTCGCAATTAGGTTATATTTGTTGCTCGTGGTCTAATTAGTAAACGTACCGAAATTCGTGGAAAAAGGACAAGAGAGTATTGGGTTAGGGCACATTTAAGTTTGAACAATTTTGTGCACAAGTCTATGAGGGTGTCTCCCAAATGTCCGATCCAGGGTAATTGTTATTATTATTATTATTAATCATTTCTGGTAATAAATCCAATGATTCCTCAAAAGTGCCCCAGGCACTGTAGCTAGCAAGCCTTAAGAAACCTGTAGAGAAAAGGCAATGAGAAAAAATTACAGTTTTAGAGGTGGGAGGAATATTAAAACCCCAGAATATTCTAGGGAAAACCCACAGAATCAGGTAGGGACTAAAAAAACCAATCCACTTGTTGGCCCAGGCGGGATTCGGGCTACTGCGGTGGAAGCGAAACCACCGCTACAACCTGACTCTCCATTGTACCAGATTACAACTCGTGTTGAATCAAAAAACTGCTGGTGTTACAGAACACACACTTATACTTGTATTGACATTTTGTTCCTTTTTGTTTGATTTCATCAGGCATGGGGACAGGCAGCTGACATGACACCAGACCAGATCTCCCAGCTGGGCCACATTGCATCCAAGTTCACTGCGGCAGAGATTGGCCAGCTCAACCTGACTGAGACAGACACTGTCTATGCTATTGCCCAATACAACATCTACACTTCAGATCAGGTAGGCCTATACAGCGACATGTACTTACCAAGCTTCAAAATACTAATTTGTGCAATGTTGTACTAGCAGCCAATTTTCAGGCATGCAACTTTTCCTTGGATCAGCTGATTTCCTCTTTTTTGCTTCCCATGTGCCATTAAAAATAGAAAAACACTGTACAAAGTCTGGGAAAAATTTGAATTTCCTCTTTTTTGTGTGATTTCCCAGTTGCATGCCTGAATTTTATAACAGTGCATAACTTATTTCATATGTAAGATTTATGATTAACAAATTTGCTGCGCAGCATGAGCAACATTTTTGAAAAATTGACAAATATTTTTTGAAGTCTTGGTTGCGGATAGTCACAGCTTTTACGATGTATTTTTTCCCCCGTATGGCTCTAAAGAAAACATTGGAATTAACTCTGTTTTCCTGCTCCATCTTGACCAAAGTTTTGTTCTAGTTTCTGTTGAATCTGATGATATATACATAAAACTTCTCTCATGGGTAGAACAGTTTATTTTGCCGAATTTCATGCAAAAACCTTAAAAACTCGGGAAAAGATGGGCTTTATGACGATCACAATAAGTCAGTAAAGTTGTTCGTGTTTGGTTTGTACGCCATGAAATAACTGATTAGGCCAAAAAAAAAAAGTCTCCAGTTTCTGGTACGGAGCTTTGCCCAAAAAGTGGTGCGGCGACGTGGCTTTTTTTTTTTTACCTGATTTTTTTGCTTCAGATGTCGGCTGATGACTGCAAATGGTGCCCGACTAAACTTAGTGCAAATATATGGGAGTCCAGAGAGGCCACATAAAGCTTATTCTCGACCATAACCCAATCTAAAAACACGTTAAAATTGTGCAGCAGCAGGATTCCAGTCAAACCAGTGAGTTTGGCGGTTTTGAGACATCATCTTTCATTGAAAAAAAAACACTTTTTCATTTTGCCGACGTGCATGGCTATGGCGACGCACGCACATACCAGAAACCAGAGACTTTTTTTTTTTGGGCCTTATCTCATGCCATTATTTGTTGAATAAGTCATGGATTATAAGCAGAGTAATTGTTGTGAAATGTGCCCTAATTAGTTGCACAATAATTATGGCTGAAGTTGAGTAGTGTGGTTAGGGTTTGTGACTCATGATCAGAGGGTCATCAGGGGTTCAAATCCAGCTGCTGGCCATATGTTGTGCCCTTGGGCAAGCCACTTCACCCCCCACTTGCCTCTCTCCACCCAGGAGTATAAATGGGTACCGGCATTAGCTGGGGAGCAACCTGCGATGGACTAGCATCCAGGGGAAAAGAAATATTCTCAGTTATTCATGCCAAGGAAACCGGGGATAAACGCCGGCCTGATGAGTCACAATTTGCTCGTGACAGACTCGACTACTTAGGCCTACATTAGTGGAGTAACTTCCCTTTAATTCAATTTTTTATTGCTCTGTAACTTGTGATTTTTCTACCCTTTGTTTGGTTTAGCTCAGCGCTGGTGTAGGGAGGTTCTCAGAGCTGAGTGGCCTCTCTGTCACCAGCCTGGATTCCCTGGACCTGACTGCCTTGGCTAACTTCCTCTGTGGTCTGACTGCGGTAGAGATGGAGGACATTGCGAGCATCGCGTACCAGTAAGTCAACTTAGAAAAATCCAACCACAGCAAGTGGTTTTTCTCATTGTCTTCTTCTGCTGCAGTTGTTATCAGCCTTATTGATTGTGCTAAACAAGCCTGAAGTAGCTCCTCAAATGTAAAACAGCCATTTTTTGTTTTGTTTAGTGTTAATAATTTTGTATCTTAAAAAAAGCTTTAAATTTCTTGTATCAATTGTTTTGCAAGATGATCATAATCATCACTTTTTAATTTATACATCTAGGGTGAAGTTAATTTTTCTCTACATTAGAGCACTCTTATCTTTTAATGTAAAATTTGTGCCTCTATAAGACACATGCCACAGAATTTACCTTGCCCAGAATCTGCCAACTCGGATTCTATTATTCTCCTTTTCATCTTGTTTTTGCCCTCAAGGGAGGCAGCTAATGCCATTGGTGAGCTAAGAAGCTGCGATGCAGGCCAGTGGGCAACCCTGAAGACCAAGGCAGTGGATGGGTACGGAGCCATCAACACCTGGATGCCGGAGGTCTTCGCTGAGGTTGGCTCTGTCGTGGGTACGTATAGCAAGATGTGTTCCCAGCCAATATGGCTCATCAGGCCTGCGTTGATCTCCGGTTTCCATGGCATGAAATGACTAAGAATATTTCTTTTCTGCCTGGCGATGCGATGCCAGTCCATCGCAGGTTACTCCCTGGTTAATGCTGATACCAATCCTGGGTGGAGGGAGGCAACAGTGCGGGTGATGTGGCTTGCCTAAGGACACTATATATGATGAGGAGGATTCGAACCTCTGACCCTCTGATCATGAGTCACAAACCCTCACCATTGGGCCACAGTCCCTAACAGTATGTGTCCATTCTCCCAAAATATTTTAACAGTGTTGTAGTTGAGACCACCACAAGCCCCTCACAAGTAACGGGATAAACAATATTGGACTTTTGATGAATTGAGTAATAGGCTCTTACTTGTAGAGACAGCTTTTTGGCATTTTGATATTTCTTATTCTGTTATTGTTTCAGCCGGCTTCACGACACAGGAGTTGAGTAGTCTATCCGATGCTAGCATCGCAGGCATCAAACCCCACGCGGTCTCGCTCATACCTCCACAGACGCTAGCTGTAAGTCTACCGTTTACTTAACATAACAACCTTTTTTTCGCAACCACGCACAACACATGAAGTCTTACGTACATTAGTCATTGACTCTCCACCATGCACACCTTCAAGTCTTAGTTACATTGTTCACATACAGTAAACTCCGACCAAGTCGACAGCGTATAACTCGTCATATCACTTAAATCGGCCATCTGACGAAAGTCCTGATCATCTCCAATGCAGTTCCATTGAAATTTCATTTCTAAGTCGGCCTTTGTAAGTCGCCGCTTTGCCTAAGTCGGCGTGTTACTTTCGGTCCCATTTCCTCAAAACAACAAAAATTCAAGAGAATAAGCTTTTTGATAATAATTTGGTAGGTTACTTTTGGGATAAAGTGATCCTTTATTCCATTAATCAGGGGTGGGACTTTTCCGGATTTTTCCGTATTTCCGGATTTTTAATCTAACGTCTGTGGAATTTTTTTGCGGATTCCGGATTTTTAACGTTTTCTGTTTCCGTAATAATATCGCCCAAAAACTTCTGGTGAAATATAGGCTCTAATTTACGATAATGGATGGACTGGTGACAAGTCTAATGCAGTGCGGTCAAGAACCTAATAGACATTAATGCAGTATGCGCAGTGCAGTACTTGAGGACCAGACTAAAAATAATTTTCAATGGTTTGCAGCACCTCGTGTTTGTATATCGCGTGTGGATGTGTGTGTGTATTGTGCGTGTATTGTGCAGTGACGATCGTGTGCTAGCAATTCGCAAACACATTGGTGTCAATATTGCCGCGATTTTGTCAAGGAATTCAAGAGTATGGCTGGAAGAACTGGTAATAAAGTGTCACTGTGGATGGAAATCAGTTTGAGCTGCAGTAGTGCTTTGAAAAATAGCCACCACCAACACAAAATTTCAAAAATGTTTTGGAAGCCTAGCTGGGACTGGAGTTTAACTTTTTCACCACCGTTCAAATTGTTTTGTGTGAATCGTTTCTCTCTGCAACATGCAAAAGTAATAACATCACACACAGAAAAAGCCTTTATGAATCAATCACATATGGATTATATTATTTAATGACCAGACATTTTTTCTTATTTTTCCCCCATTTGTTTTCTTTACTGAAGCGACAAAATTTGCTAACATTACAGAAATTACAGTACATAAAATGTACATGCCCTAGGCCTATATATGGACATACGTGCATGCATATAGATGTATACATGTACATCTATACAAGTACATGTACAATAATACATGTACATGTACATGTACATGTATATTACATGTCAACCGAAGTTCGTGGATTTTTCATTTTTGTCCAATCACACCCCTGATTAATGCTTTCTGTTTTGCAGGCTGGATGGAGTAGTGCCCAACTCAGCAAGCTAGACCAGCTGCAAGCAGAGGCAGTGACGGAGGAACAGCTCGCCGCCCTCTCCCAGGAGCAACGCTCCGCCCTCCTGGAGGCAGAGTACGGAGACGACATCAGCTTGGCTGAGATTGAGGAGACTACGGAGGTAGTTGTGGTAGAGGATGACGGAGACAAGGATGGTAAGTAGTGTTTAGAATTATTCCCATCATGGACTGGTTTTTCAGAGCCACGCTTAACTAAATCATTCGGAAGATTAGCATTAAAGGAAACATGCAGTCCAAAATTTTCATAACGTATTTTATTTTATATATACATTCATTTATGTGTATTAAATGTGAAATAAAAGCAGAACTGGTTCTGGTGTACGTTTAGTGTGGTAATTTGCCGTCCAAAATTGAACCCCCCTTTTTGATTTTCGCGGCAACTCCAAATGAGGGCGCTGTTCATGACATAAACAAAGGCAGAGAAATCCAGAGCCCGTAAATGACGTCTGGGTACGAGACGGATTAGCGACGCTACTGTGCTGTGTGTATGTGCAGCCGCCGCGTACCCGTACGTGGCATTATATGCACACGTACGAATGTGTCTACATGGGATATGTACAGTACACGTGGACGTGCCACGGTGCCACCGTTGTCGAATGAACACGACGACCGTCATGACCGTAAAAGTTCCGAAGACCGTCCTCTTCTTTCCTTAGCGAATCCGATGAAAATGGTATAGATTCGTCCGATTCGAATCTGAGTTCTAATGATTCAGACACTGACTCGATGTTTTTTTAGGGGCATGCCCAAGTTGCTGTAAAGACCAGCATCAAAGCACGACGGCTCAAAGTGCAGCGCAGAGGGCAGCGAACTCACTGGGCCCGGACCACTTTGCTCTGGTATTTACCTTCACTTTGGCTCTCCAAATGCTCCGATATTTCGGATTTACTGGAAATGAAGGCTTACTCCATCCTTGGTAGTTTTGCTACACCCAGCAGCCACACACCTTGTCGGCATGGCCGAAAATCGGGTGTTATTTCTCCTCGATTCCGAACGAAACACCAGAAAAACTTTCAGTGCCGCAATGTATATGTACATGTATTATGATGCACGCCGCAATGCCGGTGCCCCCGCAGCGCGGCAAGTCTCTGCCTCCACTCACGTCATACCCCTCGCGAAGTTTTATGTTAATGAAGCTTCCCTTTGTGGGGCGGAGTAGTTTGACCAAACATGTTCACAAATTATTTTCCCCCATTTATCTTAGAAAATAAACACCGCCATACACAAAATATTGTTAAGAACATCATCCTTTATTGATTTAAGCAAAAAAAATGCAATCAAAATTTTATTTCATGTTCCCTTTAAAGACTTTTTTCTCCTAACCAATTTTCAATTTGTATGTTTTTTTTTTTTTCTTAATCAGGTAATGGTGCAGGGAACCAATCAGCTGGCCTGGTGCCCACCATCATCATCATGTGCAATTTAATGTACAGAGCCATCTCTATAACATAGAAACTAAAACGAGGAGAGGACATCATTTACGTAATCAGAAAATGTTTCTTGAACTATAATTAGCTTTTCTTATCAATAAAGTTCGGTCCTTGAAAATTTAAGTTCTTGTTTTTGTAGAGTTTGAAATGTTCTGAATTCTATGTTATGCGTTGAGGTATATTCCAAGTGCTGCAACAGTGGATATGTTCTGAAAAACTTTTTTTTCTTTCATGCTGGCTATCGTTACAGCAGCTGTTATGCGATTTTCAACTGCTAACGTTACGGCATTGCAAATCACCATTGCGAATCTATATGACATTTTCAACTACCCGTCCAAACAAACACTTCGGTAGCTCGATTGATTGATCACACGTTCAACTACTGTGCCAGGGATCCTGGTTCAAAACCGCTGCCGCGCTGCTCAATTGTTTTTCTTTCAATAATTAACTTCACTTTCACATTTTTAATCATATTGTTCTTTTAATTTGAGTAGAATTAATTTTTCTTCTTTGTGGCTTTGGAGGATTTTTTTTAAAAGGGAATAAAGTCCGAGAACCATTTAATTGAATGATAGTCTGGTTCCAACAGCAAAAAAAAGACCAGCGTATGTTAAATACTATAACGTCACAGAACCAGACGGTTCTGTAACGATAACAATTGAAAATTGTGTTACAGCTGCTGTAATAAGCGCGGCTGTGTTTTTAGCATTGACACACATTTTCCTTAAAGGTGACAAAATGTCTGTTACAGTGTTTGTGACTGAATGATGCTGTTACTTTCTGCATGAAGCGCCACTTTATAGAGAGTAATTAGACACAAAAGTTGAACACTCAAATGCCTGAAGTCAGCTTATTCCTTGATACCTGCCAAATAAGCCCTTAATTTGTGTCGCTCAGTGTTGTACAAAACTGACAACATGTTGGTTTACTCTCTCATTCTGAAACCTTTTAGGAACACACTTTAATTAGTATAAATTCATGAATATGAAGTTGAATAATTTAATCAGCCATTTTAATTGAGTACTGTCTTTACAGTTGGAGAGAAAATATGCTATGCCGCCCTGCCAGAATTCCGAAGTTGTTTTTGACAGTTGTCATAAATATTTTGTTCTTTCAATTATAAAACATTTTATCCAAAAATATATTCTTAATTTTTGTGGCATTTTGATAGGTATTAATTACAGCTGCAAAAAATCTTAGTTACAGAATCATTATAGAATTTTGTTTAATATTTGAGATAATTATTATAGAATTTTATGAATTATTTGAAAACAACAATTGCCGATGATAAACACAGGTTGTTAATAAATTTGTTAACAGTCTGAATTGTACATAAATTTGTTCAGATGTTTTAAACATGTTCACATTTCAATAATATATATGTTAACATTTCAATATTCAATAACACAAATATGTTTTCAACATAAAGAAAATAAAGCTTAATATATTCCTTTTCAAACTCATAAAAAAGAAGTGTAGTATTTCAAATTAATTTAATAACTTTGTGTAATATTTAAACAGATATAGCTTAATAATGAATTATACTTTCAAGAACATGGTGTCGATACTGCGAACGAAAGCAAAATTAAAATGAAACATAAAATACATGCCAACATTTCTAGATCTACTTATTCATTAGAAATGACCTCATTTGAAAAAAACTCACGTCAGGACTTCACTTGAAGAAACAAAGATAATCTCCAAGGTTAATGTCGTCAATGTCTTTCATTTACCTCCAACAATGTGAGTTCATTTTTCCCTGAAAAGAATAATAAAAAATAGAAAAAGAAAAATTAATACATTTAGAATAATAATAATAATAGGACTAAAGATAATAATTATTACCTTGGATTGGACATTTGGGAGACATCCCCATAGACTTGTGCACAATTTTTTTCAAAGTTAAATGTGCCCTAACCCAATATTTCCTTGTCCGTTTTCCACAAATTTCGGTATGTTTACTAATTAGACCACGAACAACAAAAATAACCTAATTGCGAAAAGCAAAATTTTGCCTCTAAAGGGGGGCTGTGACATGTCTCCCTAATGACCGGTGTCTCCCACCGTTCGAAGAAATTATATCATGTCTCTTTAATGGTAAATTTACACTGACAGAACTTAATCAATCTGGTTCCAAGAAGACGTTGCAGTGCTGAAGTACTGAAACTGATGTTAGGCAAACTACTTCCTTTATAATGCGTGAAGCTAATGCAATGAATTCATGCTTGATTTGTGTGAGTGTTTTTATAGAAGGGAAAACTTGCGTTTCATAAGTGGTTTTTTTTCATGTCCAGTCTAGACCCATCGCAACCACATACAACTCACCCAAGTCTTATGTAATTAGTCATTGACTCTCCACCATGCAAGCCTTCAAGTCTTAGTTACATTGTACTCATACTTCTAAAAATCTACATTTTGTGTAGGGAGGGGGTCAATAGAATTTGGATAAAATAAAGAAGGCAGAAGCACAGCAGATTGAAATTAGAATAAAGCATAATGCTACCATAATGGGTCCACAAGAAGAATTGATTAGCAAATGTTGATTTGTATGGTGGTTGTAGCTGCAATGGCTGGTATACAATTCGCCTCGTGGAATGGAACATTTCATGTCACCTCATGAAATTATTCTTACCATTGCACTCACAAACATTCATTATTTATTTTATATAACAACTGAATAAATCCTCGTCATCTGATTGGATGACTTTTAATAGCCAATTTATTCAAGTTAAAAATTGGTTACAAGTTTGACAAGTTCAGAGTTATCATATTTAATTTATGCAAACTGTTCAACAGGTTGAGAACTATCATATTCAATTTATCTCAATTTTAAACTTTTCCATAAGTTTAGAACTTAAACAGTTCAATAAGTTCAGAACTTTTATTGTCAATTTAAACACCACAGCGCCACCATCGGCAACGTGCAGTGACAGTGCAATGGTACTTCTATTCACAGTGCAATAGTGCTTCCATTGCACTGTGCGCTGCGCGCCACGCGTGCATTGGTACGAATAATTCAATGACATGTGATCAACGATCCACCAGTCAGATGACGGGGATTTATTCAGGTGTTGTATAATATATAATTGAAGTGTTTTTTTCATGTCTCGTCTAGAACCATCAGTTCCATTATCTAAACGTTTGTCTAACATATCGTTCAGTGATCAACAAGTAAAAAGAAACTTGCCTCTGATTATTGCCTTTAGAAAAGCCCACCATTCCTGGGAAGAGACTGTTCTGTACACCGGCCTGGCCACGGCCATGTACAGATCACCCCACTGGACGAAAGGGTGGACAAACACCACACCATCAGAGGGTAGGGACTTGTAGAACTCAAACTTGCTTGCTCCGGACCATTTGTAGACGTCGATGGAACCTACACTGCTGACAGCGGTCAGATAGCAGATTTCTGCAAAAGTTAACCAGAAAATTGATATCTTGACGGATAAAATTAAGCATTTAACAAAATCCAATTTACGAATAACAAGCAAAGCTAACTTCAGTTCACCAATTCACGTCCAAGACTAGGCTGTGCTAACACGCAGTGGCTGTTTTTACACACAGGTACGGCTGACGGGTTAAGACATCAAGATTGCCTCGACTCGTCTCCGTGTGACGTCTAAACATGCTAATCCCTCATGTACACACACACACTCCGTGAAGTATGTAGAGGCGGACCGTGTGCTGGCCGTTGTTTCGGCCGTTGTGCATGGCCTATTGTACAATTTACGCTACAATGCACACCTGGAGTATTGCAACATATAAATATCGGACAAATACTGTTGAAATCACTCTTGCGAATCAGTGGCGTTTGGCTGTATATCAGAAGTTGGCTGAAAAGTTTTGCCTTCTGTAAAAATCAAAATTTTTGGCAAAAACAAACCCGGCGCAAAGTGGTTATAAATAGAATTAAGCATTAAATACAAAACTAACGGGGGGAAAGCTCTCATTTTAAGTTAACAGAGCCTTCATCTATAAACAGTAAGTACAGCAAAGGCAATATGTTAACCTCATGGGTGATGATATATAGAAATCACCATATGCACGTAAAACGGTATGCACATTTATGCTGTAAAATAGTGCTTTTATAAGGTTTAATAGTACAATTTTCTGTTGTTAAGCAGCACCATGAAATCAACTCCAGAAAAAGATCAACCAGCATAGCAACAAGTTTGAAGTAGATACCCCAAATAATTATAGCGTACCAAAGTGTGCCGCGTATTTGAGCATAGCTTAAGTGTGTGAAGACATCAAGGCGTGGAACAGCACATAAACCAGAACAAAGACAGTTGACGCCAGACTTCGTTATTCTATTGACCAAAGGCCTCTGGGGACTCCAGGTTCGACACACATACCAAGTTGGAAGTTAATATTGCAATATTTTTTTAAAGTTATCCCCAAGACACCATTTTATTGTTTAAACCATACTTGCGCTTTCACCTGTAGGGACCAAAAAATCAACAGACCTCTGGGGGTTTGTATTTAAAGGCGAACTCACGTACTAAGTTTGAAGTTTATACGCCCATTAATTATTGAGATATCCTGCTAAAACTGTTATTTTAACCATTACAACCTTGATTTTTGACCAATGGGGTCCAAAATCAATAGGCTTCTGTAAGTTTCAAAACGAACCCACATTCCAGGTTTTAAGGTGATATGTCATGTATCAAGTCATTTTTATATGACCCCGAGGACAACTGCTTGCCCGCACACACATGGCAATAATCTCAGTGATCGATAAACTCACTGTCAATCAAGAAGGCGTCCATCTGCGTAATTCCCACCGCCGAGATGTCCTGCCTCAGCGTCCAGCCCAGCTGCACCGAGTACTCGTAGACGGAGATGGGCTGGTTCAGATCGTAGGTACCGTGTCGACTGGACTGCTTCTCATTGGCAAAGAGCATCAGGGGGATGTTATCAATGACCATGCCCAGGACGTCTGAGGCATAGTAGGTCAGGATGGAAGCCTCCAGGACAAACTAGAAAGAAAATTGATCAGATTCCATAAAATCAGTCTAAATTTAAAGGACACCATCAGAGTTCGACCTTTACCTTTTTTTTCACTAGCCAGCCGCGCTACTGAAAGGGTCTCTTAAAGGGAATGTACATCATTGGCTTATGCTTTAATTTTCAGAAATGAACTATTTGAGGGGTTAGTATAATAGATCAAATTATTGTTACACTGACATGTTTGAAGTTTTGTTTTCGAAAATGCTGGAAAAACCAAGAAAAACAAAAATGTTCAAGTAGTCTGGTTCCCTGACTCCACTGAAGATGAAATGGATCAATTTACAGATGCCGGAAAATTGTACGCTAAGGGAACCAGTCTAGCTGACCTGCACCCATTCATGAACATAAAACCAATTAGCAAACAAAATTGGACTGAAAAAATGGTAAATTTGGAGCAGTAGTGAAAAATAGTTAGGTTTTTCCTACGGTGGTCGGCCGATCACCGTTGGAAATGTAAACAAAAATACAATTTTCTTGAAAATGACTTCACACCAGGTGCCATAATTTTACAGGATGCTTTAGACTGTCATTTACCAACATCCTGTAAGGTATTTCGTAAAAACTTGGTCATTTTATTTTTCGATGTTTGCAAATGTTGTATTTTCCCTTTAACAAGCTCGAGGGCATTTTCACTAGCCCACATGTTTTACTTTTATAGAGTGTCTCACAAACAACAATGTGCATGCATGTAAAACGTGTATCCTCAGGCAATCTTGTCGGTGTTTTTAATAAACGGATCTAATAATTTAACCCTAAACAGTTAATGAAATTAGACACAAACGTGATGCAATCAAGCTACATGAGTTGTTGGTAGGGAGTTTTCATTTAGAGATTCAGGCCAAAATGGGCCACTTCATCACATATCACATCTCTTAGTGAATGAAAGGTTTGCGGAAACACCATCTGCAAATAATTTCTCAACTATTGGTTCTAAAAAGAACCAGAGGTATAAGCTTGAGTTTATACCTCTGGTTCTGTTCAGAACCATTCTCTTAGTTGAAAAATTATTTGCACACGGTGTTTCCGCAAACCTTTCATTCACTAGTATCTCCACAATGCATGCAAAGCCTCAAATCTTACACATTTCCTAGTGTTCCGACTTCCATAATTTTGAAGTAAAGATGGTATCAGTATGCAGTTTTCACAGCAGTAATGCTGAGACTGTGCTCTTTTTAAATCAGTAAAAAAAAATTGACCAGGGTCGACAAACGACTCATTTAGCTTGATCGCATCACAAAAATTGATACAGGTTTGCTTTCTGAATATAATGACTTATTTCCTGTCCTTTTATCTTTGCTGCAGCCCAGTTATTTTTGACTCGCCAGCCTGGCTACTTAAGGTACAATTGGACTAGCCTGCTGCTGTTTTGACTAGCATTTGGCTAGTGGGCTACCGCTAAAGTTGAACCCAGACACCATTCATTCCATATCTTGATGTGGGAGGAGGTGGTTCTGAGGTTGCACATAAATGCCATCCAAATTATTACCCTTGAAAAATTAAAAACCCTTCTCATGATAAACAAGACTTTCTCTTTGTCTTGCCCCACCTGATGGGCGGTGTCTTTCCATTTCATGATGACAGAGGTGGTTCCCAGGTTGCACGTGAACGCCATCCAAATCATTGCCTTTCATAAATTTAAATAACACTACTTATCATAAGGCCAAAAAAAAAAGTCTCCGGTTTCTGGTATGCGCGCGTCGCCGTAGCCATGCGCGTCGGCAAAATGAAAAAGTTTTTTTTCCAATGAAAGATGATGTCTCAAAACCGCCAAACTCACTGGTTTGAATGAAATCCTGCTGCTGCACAATTTTAACGTGTTTTTAGATTGGGTTATGGTCGAGAATAAGCTTTATGTGGCCTCTATGGACTCCCATATATTTGCACTAAGTTTAGTCGGGCACCATTTGCAGTCATCAGCACACATTTGAAGCAAAAAAATCAGGTAAAAAAAAAAAAAAGCCGCGTCGCCGCACCACTTTTTGGGAAAGCTCCATACCAGAAACCGGAGACTTTTTTGGGGGGCCTAAACAACACTTTTTCTTTTTCTGACCCCACCTGATGGGCGGTGTCATTCCACAGCATGATGAGGGAGTAGGTGTTGCCTGGGTTGCATGTGAACGCCAGCCAGTTGTTGCTGCTGTGCTCCAGGTGCGTGACCGCTGTTGAACCAGTCGTTGCGATCTCCTGGAGCTGGGTGAAGTTCTCGTAAGTTGAGTTGTACTCGAAGACGGCCGAAGTTACGTTTTTGTCTCCTGAAAAATATTCAAATAGAAGTGATTCTTAGTGCACCTAAAAAAAATATTTGTAATTTCTTTTGATGGTGGCATTAGAGGGAGTATACATCATTTGCAAATATCGGAAAACAAAACTACAAAATTTTTACGAAAGACCTTACTAGGATGTTTTTAAATGAAAGTCTAAAGCATCCTGTAAAATTATGGCGCCTGATGTGAAGTCATTTTCAAGAAAAGTGGTATTTTGTATAAATAATAAGCAGTAACTATTTTTCAGCTACTGCTCCAATTTTACCATTTTTTTCAGTCCAAATTTTGTTTGCTATTGGTTACATGCTCATGAACGGGTGCAGGCCAGCTAAATTGGTTTCTTTACCTTACAATTTTCTGGCATCTATAAATTGATTCATTTCATTTTAGTTGAGTCAGGGAACCAGACTGCTTGAACATTTTTTTTGTTTTTCCTGGTTTTTCTAGCATTTTCGCACACAAACCTTCAAACTTGTCAGTGTATCAATATTTGATCTATTATACTATTCCCTCAAATAGTTCATTTCTGAAATTTACAGCAAATGTCAATGATGTACATTCCCTTTAATTGCAATTTACTTCTGGTGACTTGTGATTTACTTGTGTCTGACTTCTGGTGACTTATTGCATTATTGTGACTTGGGATGACTTGAGGTGACTTATGATTGCCTTGTGATCACTTGTGACAACTTGCGTTTAATTGTGATGACTTGTGAATGCATCATGATGACCTGATGATAAAAAGATCAGTCATTTCAATGTGGCAATTACCGCAGTTTGGATGATTATATATAATCGAAAAAGTGTAAACAAATAAGGAGAACTTAAATAAGTTTGTTTTCACTGAAAAAGCTGCTCTGCCCATGTCCACTTTCTGCCAGATTCCATCAAAATTTATTTGATTTTCATGATGGCAAAATGACCGAAGAGATAAATTTATTTGGGGTATTGTTTCTTGTTCTATTGTGAAGCACTTTGTGGAATCTTTTATTCCTATTGCGATATATAAAGGCTGTTAATATAATTATTATTATTCTACTACGGCACATTTCAGATTTCGCTCAAAAAAACCTACTTTATTCCCCATTTGGGGCGCCTGCAATCCTCTGAAAATGGGCTTTCATTTTGTGTACAACTAACCCGCCCTGCAAGAACCAAATTATTGTCTGGCAGCCAATCACTGGAATTTTGTGAAGAAATAATTCGATAACTTAACATCAATTGGTGTTTTTGTTCGATGTCTCATTCAAAAGTGAATAACTGATATTGCTAGGAAAGTATTAATTGAAAAAAAAAAAAAATTTTGAGGTGAAACTTGAAAATATAGCACAGGGAACGCATCTTCAATAAAACCTCCCTAACATTCTCCCTACCCCTCCCTAACATTCTCCCTACCCCTCCCTAACATTCTCCCTACCCCTCCCTAACATTCTCCCTACCCCAACATTCTCCCTACCCCTCCCTAACCACTTCCTAACTTTCTCGCTACTCCATTCTCCCTACCTGTAGTTGGATTATACTGGTTAGCCACTGCTAGGAAGAGAGTGTTGCTAATCGCAAACATGGCGGTGTCCACACCGTGTTGAGCCGACACGTACTCCTCGTAAGAATCGTTACTCATCTTCAAGATCTGGACCTGGTCATCGGTTCCCGTGATGGTCGTGCAAGCTGAGCTCTGAAAAGGTCAAAACAAAAATGAGTTACACCAAGTTAAACTGATCGGTCTCTGGTCAGCCTGTGCGTTGATTTTGATCATGCCCGTCAATCTTCTTCTTTTTTTTCAAATTTTCTGCGGTAGCTACAACAGCGCTCTCTAAAGCCGCACAGCCTCAAATGTTCGTACCAAGGAGCACCAAGGAATGGGGAAGGGCAAAAAAGGCAAATGATGGAGGGCACTGAGGCAAATGATAGAGGACACCAAGTTATATGAGGACAGAAGCAAAATGGTACCCACCTTGTCTGTACAATCCATGCTTGAAAAAAAAAAAAAAAATGCAGCGCTGCATCAATTCTGGAACTTTGGTCTGACCAGAGATTGACTATTTTTTTTGGGCTTAACCAAAGTTAAATCAATTGAACCAAGTTTAAAGTATTTAACTGAGATCCTCTACTTGTCTCATTTATTGGCTTAAAATTAAATGGCACTCACTGCAGTCAGAAAGCCGACATATTGGCTCAAATGCCGCTGTGTATTGTATTAATCCCATTTAATTAATGTTAGTAATTCCATAGTTTTTGTCTCAAATGTCAATTCAAAGTAAACTTGTTGGTAATTTTGTCTCTACCTGTGGACTCAACGTCAGTGCAATGAAGACGTCGTCCTCAAAGGAAAACAGCTCAACGCTTGAAGCCGCATCCAGCGGATCGTCGTAAAATTCGTAGCACTCCTTCCGGTTGTCATCCACGCACAGGTACAGCGTGGTCCCAACGCAGTCGTCCGTCTCCGCCTCATTGGACTCCGCAAAGGCGATGAGTAGGGCGTCCTCTATGTGCAGGCTGGCATAGTAGTGAGTGGCCACAGAGTTGTTGAGCTGGTACTCCTCCTCCCAGTGGCTGAGCTGCGTTGCCTGGCCTGGTTACCGGTGCAAATGGACAAATCTTCACATTCTGACCATACTGACCTACTTAAGGGAATTTCTTTATTTTTTTCCCAGCTCAGGGTTTGAGGAGTTTAGAATAACAAGGTTCTTTCAAACAATTCTGGAATATCTTTGAGCAACTTCGCTTGAATGAAGGATGGTTTGACTACAGTAGTCGACTACATGTATTTGGAGCTGGACCATAGGGCACTGTTACGTCGCTAGTTACCAACAGCCGAGCGCATCATAGCGCACAGCAGGAAGCAAGGACCGAGAAGTTCTGTGGTGACATTTTGACCATTTGACTTGAGGCGTTTGCACGTTGCTATCCGAAAGCAGGCGCTAGTTACGTCACGAATCAACCACTAGTTGAGCAACGGCCTCGCCCAACTTTGCTCTTGATTTCAGAAGTCACTCAAGCCAACAGAAATTGTATGCATCAAGGTTTTTTTTTAAATTTTTAAACTAAAGCCTATATATTGGTGGACTTGTCTTCCTGGTTTTAGAAGTCTTTGGAATATCCTTCTGGAACAAGGGTTGGACAATTAATACAGTAGTCACAGAGTTTAAGGGGGGAAAAAAGATGCTTACACATCACAATGGTTTAAAAAAACAAGACCAGATTGGCTATATTGTACTGGACCTTTAAGTCTCAGTTTAGGATATTAGTTCTACTCATTTAAAGTTAGTCAGTCAGCCAGTCAGTTTAGTCAATGGGTCTGTCAGTCGGCGACTCGGTCAGTCACAGGACAATGGGTTGGCCTTTCAGTGCAGCAAAATAGTGTGTATAAGACAAGTTGCAAACCTTTTACGGCAATTTGAAGGCTCTTTATCGGAGCACACATGCTTCTGAGAGTGTAGTTGAGTTCGGCTATCTGCCAATATAACATCTGGGTTATGTCATGATGGTGAGGAAGCAACTGGCCAACGTCGATGCCATCTACCAGACCCAGCACGGATGTGTTGGCCAGGAGTGTTAGCTCGTTGGCAAATGTCTGAAGTGGAAACAAAAGGGTGGAGAAAATGTTCATAGCTGTTCTTCCCTAAGGGGCCGTTCACAATTATCAACATTTTCACGAGCGTACAAACCGTACGCTGGGGGGGAGGGGGTTAATGGCCGCCGTACGCTTTGTTTTTTTTAAATGTCGATATGTTTTCTCGCCCGTTAATGCCCGCCCAACGCTTTTTTTATTTTAAATGTCAATCTGTTTTCTCGCCCGTCGCCACAGCCGACAGCCGCAACCGATGCCGATCGAGCACTTGCCGAGCCTGTCGCGCCCCGCGCCAGGTCCCGCATTGCATCCCATGAACGTATTGTGTACAGCATGCACGGCATTGTCCTACACACGTACATGAAAATGTACTGTATGTACATGTACATGTATAGTCCATATCCACTGCATGTTTTTAACGGCCGGTGTCACATGAAAATCCGACTCCTATGAAAATTGGACCCCTTTTTCCCTTTTATTGGTTCATCCCTCGCACGTGACAGGTCACTCTCCCCCATCCAAACGATCCTAAAAATAGCAAAGTATCGTACTCACGCGTGCGCACTACTACCAATGAGTCCACATTTCATGGAGTCGGATATTCACGCTACACCGGTTGAACAACACCGGCACTAGCTATGGCGGACAATAAATATTCTAGCCGTGCTGTTGGATCAATTGTTGAAATTCCTCATTCGACAAAGGATGTATTGTCCACAAGAATCCGATCAACAAATACATGGAGTTTGTAAGGGGCCGTTCACAATAATTTATAATACATACATCTTCATTCACATTGAATAGGGGTTCATGTCATGGCCAAAAACTTGATCTACAAAAGTTACAAAAACCCTTTAAATCACATGCAAGTGTCTATATATAGACTTGTGTGAAAAAAAAATCAACATTTTTTCCGTACACTTTTAGGGGGAGGGGGGGGGGTCTTGAAAAAGCGTACTCTTTGTACACTTGTGAAAATGTTGATAATTGTGAACGGCCCCTAAGATCGAAGTGCTTCACATTATTATTACCCCTGATCACTGGGCCAATGAAACCTTCCAAATACAATCCCATCTCCCTGGGGAGTATACAGCTCAATGCAGCCATTTTGGCGCAAGGCAGCTTGAATCAATCATAATAACCATCTTTGCCCTAGCAGGTACCCGATTACTCCTGTTGCAAAGAGTGACAAAGTGCCTTGACCAAGGGCACACGCACCATAGCCCCAGGCTGGACTCGAACCCACAACCTGCAGAATTACCCGCCGCAGACCACAAGTTCAATGTTCCAGACCGTGAGGCCACAGCACTCCACATGAAAAGAATTTTTTTTTTAAATTGAATTATTTTGTCTAGTGGTACAAAACTTAACCGCTTTCAAAATTTATGGAATAATTTTTATTTCCAAATCTCATTTTATATGTGGCCCGGCAATAATCCAGGGGGTTCTTTTTGATCAACAGAGAAGCAATAACCAATTGAAAGACTTTTTTAGAAACTTGCAAATGCACAAAATAAAAAAGGTATTTTTCTTTATTCAAATTGAATGCACCTATTGAACATTTGATACAGAAAATAGACATTTTTGAAGAGCGCATAACAGCAACTTGAATAAAAAAAGAATCCAGCATAATAATACATTATCAGCTTTTTACGAGAACATATTAAATCTGGCTCTCTGAGATTTACGTTAGCAAACTTGTTTTATTTTTACCTCTATTAAGCCTAACTGCCTACTGTCTCTTACTAAGCACTGGACCAAGTCCGCCGAAATCCATCAATCACACTGCTTCCAATGCATGCTTTGCTTTAGGCCTCCAGGCCCAAGTCTATCATACTCCATCAATATGTAGTCAAACCAGGCCTCCAGGACCAAGTCCCCCAAAAATCCACCAAAATTGGGGGATGGATTTTGATCGGATGGAGTTGGGAAGGTTAGGGTTAAAGAAAACAAATGAACACCCCAAGGTTTATTGATAATAGTCATGAGCTGGTTCATAATGGGATACAATGTTATGGAGACATTATTCCCAAGCAAATGGAACTCAAGAAAGCATTTTGACCTTATCTCCCGTGATGTTGAATTCGCCAACCAGGTGAACGATTTCTTTCTCAAATTCGGTCAGATTCACGCCATTGACGAGGCCGACCAGCAAACTGCCCTGCACGATGACGTCATTGGCAAACGTCTTGGAGCCCTTGATGGCATGGTTCCCTGTCCGGGTTACCAGTTCTGGATCGATGTCGATGCCGTTGACTGTCCCTGGCCCAGTGATGTTACCTGAATGAAATGATGGAATGAAGAAAATATATCCCCTCAGTTTTAAGAAATGCCAAAGAAATGAAGAAGTTCCCCAACTTTAAGAACTGCCAGGGCACTGTTTCACATGTGTTCTAGCAATAATTTTGATGCATTTCCATGATCCTCAATCCCTGTTAAAGGGAAAATACAACATTTGCAAACATGAAAAATAAAACTACCAAATCATTTTGAAATACCTTGCTGGACTGTTAGTGAATGACAGTGTAAAGCATCCTGTAAAATCATGGCACCTGGTATATTGTCATTTTCAAGAAAAGTAGTATTTTTGTATCAATTTCCAACGCTGATCGGCCGACCAGCGTTGGAAAAAAACTGGCTTTTTTCAAATACTGGCCCCAGCTGACCATCGCACTTGTTTGCAATCGATTACACACCTATGAACGGGTACAAGCCAGCTAGACTGGTTCCCTGACCTTACAATTCCCCAATATATGTAAACTGCTCTGTTTCTTCTTAAATGGAGTCAGGGAACCAGACTACAGGAAAATGATTGTTTTTCTTGGTTTTTATAGCATTTTCGAACCCAAAACCTCAAAAAAGTCAGTGTAACTATATTTGCTATATATTTCCAACCCCCCAATTCCATCCATTTCTGAAAATTACAGCAAAAGCAAATGATGTATATTCCCTTTAAGGTTGGTGCATACTCGCGCGCAAAAAGGAAATGTGAATGGAAATTTGTGACATCACAGCATATAGTCACACTGCGAATTCGCAAAAGTTGAACACATCTAAACACGGACAAATGTTGCAGCGAATGTTTCCTGACATCAAATCTGCTTTGCATTCACATTCACATCAGGGTTCGACTTGCGCGGTAGCCCGCTAACCAAATGCTAGTCAAAACAGCGGCGGGCTAGTCAAACTATTCCTTTAGTAGCCCGACTGGCGAGTCAAAAATTACTGGGATACGGCAAAGATGAAAGGACAGAAAGCAAACCTGTATCAATTTGTGTCTAATTTTATTACCTGTTTAGGGTTAAATTATTAGATCTAAAAACACTGACAAGTTTGCCTCAGGATACATGTTTTACATGTATGCACCTTGTTGTTTATGAGACACTCTATAAAAGAAAAACATGCAGACTAGTGAAAATGCCCGCAGACTAGTTAAAAGCCTGTTACAGTAGCATAGCTGGCTAGTGAAAAGAAATGTTGAGGTCGAACCCTGCACGTGCAGCATGAACAAGCCTTTACGTGTTGCAAAAATTCCTCAGCTGTATTAGTGTTAAAAAGCCAACCCCTCTGATTGGCCATTGCATTCTTCCATCAAAACTGGTTAAAATTCCACTAACCAACCATAATTTCTAGAAAATGAATTACTAAACAGACCAATTTTTCTCACCATATACGGTCAGATTTGTCTCGAATTCCCACTTTCCCTGAACAACCTGGTATGTGTCCAGCAGAAACACTACGCTGGCCAGCTGAGCTACGTCCACCGTGTCCATGAGGCCCGTCGTGGTCAGGTTACCCTGCACGCGGAAGCCGTTAGTGAACGTGTTGTCTCCTGTCAGTTGTTGGTCGGTGTGTTTCAGCACGGCTTGGACTGATAGGTCAATGCCGTCAACCAAACCTGTAAGAAGGGGAAATGGCAGTTATTGTAAACATTCTTTCTAGTAATGAAACCAAGGATTCTTAACCAGTTCACGTCGGCTGACGTGTTAACACGCACTGCCTGATTTTTAACGCAGGCACGGCTGATGGGTTAAAAAGTCAAGCCCGTCTCGACTTGCCTCCGGGTGAAATCTAAACACGCAAATCCCTCGTGTCTTTTGTACACACACACAAAGTCAGTGAAGTCTACGGAGGCGAACCATGTGCTGAGCTAGAATTGGCCACTGTGCACGGCTTATGGTTCTACCATTTACGGAGGCTGCACACCATGGAGTGTTGAAACACATGAGGTTTCAGCAAGAAACATCGTACAAATAGTGTTGAATGACTCTTGCAAATTAGTATTTGTGGCATTTGGCTGTACATTAGAAGTTGGCAGCTATATTTTGCCTTTTTCGAAAATCAGAATTTTCGGCCAAAATAATTCTGTCCCGAAGTGGTTAAAATGTGTACAGAGTACAAAAGTTTCAGAAGCTTGATGAAAGCTGAAGGGAGAAGATCATGAGGAACTGGCAAAAAAAGTTTTAATTTTCAGAGGTGGAAGGAAAACCCTGGAATGACATCCCTGGCAAAAACTAAGGATTCGGGCAGGGACTGAAAAATCCAATCCACAGTTTCCGGTGCCCAATTTCATGGAAAGGTGGAACACAGAAATGTGCGCAGTGAAAAAAAGAATGCTGAGCAAAAATGGGTCTCCAGCTCCAGCAATCAATATCACTCGTGACTTGTATTTGATTAATTTTTGTTCAGCACATTTATTTTCTAGGCTAGGATAAACTGGGTTCACCTATGAATTCTTAATGGGCAATCTGGGGTGCCATTGGGTTTCTCAACGGGTTTCAAAAATGGGTACTCAACTGTAATTTTTCACTCACCATTGACAAATAAGTGATCTTGGAATACAACACACTTAAAGGTTACGAATCTGGCTGGGATAAAATGGGTACATTAATCTCGCTGCAACTGGGTTTAATTAATGGAAACTCAGAATTAGCTATCACGTGATCTTGGAAATTTGATACATAAGGATATGAGTTGGGTGAGTTGGGTACTCGGCTGGGAAAAACTGGGTTAAATGCATGAATTCTTTATGGGTAATCTGGGTTCCACTGGGGGTACTCACCATCGGCAATCAAGTGATCTTGGAATACGACATCCTCGGCGAAGTTCACAGTTCCCACAATCTCCTGGTCGGTAGACTTCAACACAGTGTTGTTGAGGAGGTATGTCAGGTTGACCGTTCCTGCTATGACCTCTGACACCATGTTAGTCTCCACTACCAGCCGCTGGGCGGTCAGGTTGTTGGTGAAATCTTTGTCACCTGAGATGGTCTTTGTTCAAAGATACATAGATAAAAAAAAACATTGTTTGAAAAAAACTTTCAAAAGATATTTGAATTTTTTAAGCTCTGGCAGGAGCTTCTACTTGCACTTCGTGGTCGGTCGGTCTGTCCCCAGAAAATTGACCAAAAACGGGACCCCATAAAATATAACTACTATTTGATAAAAAAATTGACTAAATGCAATGCCGTCGTCAGTAAATGCACTCTTGACGAAACTTTTCGGAACACGCCCCTTTGATTCGATCGATGTGCAAACATGTGCACCTTTTTTGCATATGAAGTGAGACATTCCGGAACCGGGCCAGAGCTTACTGTGCACTCGATCACGCTTGTTTTTAAATTCTGCCATCTAAGGCCAAAAAAAAAAAATATTCAGTCTCTGGTCAGACCAAAGTTCCGGAATTGACGCGGCCACACGGCTTTTTTTTTTTTTTTTGCTTTTTTTTTTTTTTTTTCTTCAAGCTTGGATTGTACAGACAATTAAGGTGGGTACTATTTTGCTTTTTTGGTGTCCTCATGTACATTGGTGTCCTCCATAATTTGCCTTGGTGCTTTCGATCATTTGCCTTGGTGCAATTTCCCATTCCTTGGTGCTCTTTGGTAAAAAAAAATTGAGGAGGTGCGGAAATAGAGGGCGCTGTTGGAGCTACCGTGGAACATTTTGGAAAATAAAAAGATTGACGCGTATGATTAAAATCGATGCGCGCGCTGACCAGAGACTGACTTATTTTTTTTTTTGGCCTAAAGTTGACTTTTTTGTTTGTTTGTAAATTTTGGTTAAGTTTAAGAAAACAGCAAACAGAGATTCAGGGGCTCAAAAATCCAGCTGAATGCCATATAGTGTGTCCTTGGACAAGCCACTTTACCCCAACTTGCCCCTCGCCATCTGGGAATAAATAGATACCAGCATATTGGGGAGTAACCAACTTATACTGGTTTGACATCCCATCCAGCGGGAATAGAAACATATTCTTGGTCATGTCATTGGAACTAGGAGGTAATTAACGCTGGCCTGATGAGCCATATTGGCTCAGGAGAGACTATAGCTACCTGATCAGGACCCGACAGAACGGCGTCAGAATAGATGAACGTCAGATTGACTCCGTTGATCAATCCGTCCCCTTCCACGTCACCGTCGATGGTTACTGGCCCCTTGAAGACGGCTGGGAGGGTGATGGTATCGGTTTGGTTGTTATTGACCAGAACATCTGCCAAATCTGTTGGTGTCCAAAAATTTGATATGTAGAGTGTTATATCTAGTGTTAGTCAAGTCACAAGTCATTTTACAAGTGAATCACTTCATGGTCCATTCACAAGTCACAATAGACCTGCCGGTATTTTTTTCTAGAGGGGGCAATTAAGCACATTATTTCCCCAAATCCTTGTACTTACGGGGGACATTTGCCCACTGCACCCCCATTGACACCCCTGCGGACGCCCGGTTATGTGCATTAAAACAGCAATATGACTTCACCCCTCTTCGTCTTCATTCTTTATTTTCTCCTTTTTTGTTTTGTTGCTTTTCTGGGGGAGGGTGGTGGTGGGGGGGGGGGGAATCACCCCTTCTTGCCCCCTCCCCCTTGCGCCGCCCATGCTCATAGACATCCACCTTTCGTAGACAAAGTACAACTGCTTGTTCAACGGCACCAGGTGTGTGTTTTATATATATCAAATAATTATATCAAATTTCTTTGATATATAAGGTGTAGCCAAGACAAAATGATGACAAAAATGCCGATGCACGTGACAATCCATAGGAAGCAACGTCATTTGAGAGAGACCAATTATGGAATAGAGACATTATTAAGGAATGCCTTTGTTATTATTAATTCAAGGATTTGACTTGACTTGTGACTGGATGACTCAGACTGGTGATGTACATGGATTTCAATTACTATTCCCCCATTTTGCAGCCAGTCCCGTGACAAACACGGTAAAATTGCTGCGGTAGTGGAGGTCTCTATCAACAAGATGAATCAAATCCAGTCGTGAGCACACCTCATGCGCGCTGTATTCAAACTAACGCATGCGCGTGAGGTACGTTCAGAATTTCCTTGGTGGCGCTGCCAATATTGCCAAGACTGGATTTGATTCATCCTGTTGATAGCAACCTCGCTTGCCATGGACGGGCCGTAAAAGGGGAATACAAATTGAAATCCAAACTTGGACCAAGACTAAGTGAGGAACTTGACTTTAAAACTGGTTATCAGTAGAACTTTTTTGTTTAAATAATAATTTTCAATTATTCAACCAGAGTAAGTCATACAAAAGAGGGTAAGGATTTAAAGGTGCCAACAGCCCCAAACATCAAACCTTCAACAATTTTTCCTTTTTCTTTTCTGTCACTGAAAAGCCTTTTTAGTTTCAAAAAAATACTTAAAGAATTTTGCCGCGGCAGCTTTAAACTTTTAGTAAATAAAACAAACAAAACCCACGAAAACAACACCTCAAATGTTTGAAGCATATATTCTGGTAAAAACCTTTTTAACTTTTAGAGGATACATGGACTTGATAAAAAATATACTGGGATCAAAACACCAGAACCCTAAATTTGAGTTCGCTGGGCTATTTTAGAGTTTCATCCCCCAAAATACTTCTTTTTCTAAATGTCTATTTTTCGACGGAAAAAGAAATTGGCCCATGTTTAGTTACTGAACTAGTAATTTTAGGATTTTGAATAATGTATGGACTAGGAGCCAGTCTGTTTGCAAAGCAGATATGTTTGGGCCCAAAACAAAACTCCTCTTACAGAGGGTTGCAGACATCAAAAGAAATTTTTTTTTAAAAATAAAGTGAATGACCTGAAATGTCCACTCCATTGACCTCCATGTCCTCCAACATTGCAATGTCGCCGATGACATGCACACCGCCCCCTAGAGTCCACAAACCCGTAATGTTCTGGCCAGGACCTTCAAGCCATACCACTGATTTGTTAAACTGTAAAAAAAAAAGGAGAGCAGAATTTTTTTTTTTCAATTAACAAAAGAAAGAATGGTAAAAATGAGCAAAACCCTCGTAAATTCTGATGAAACAAAAATAAAAGGCAAAAAAGAGCCAAGAAATATAACACTGCTTCTGTTACACGAGCGAAGATCTAAAAGGAAGAAAATTCGCAGACAAAGCATCTGAACTGTCAACGTTATAGAAGAGATAGTTTTGAAGGCTACCTCTATCAGGTCGATATCGTTTAAGGTTTTGCCGATGTCCATGTTTCCGTCAATCTCTAAGGAGATGAACCACAGCGTTCCGTGGACCTCATCTCCACCGAGGTTGATCAGGACCAGGTCCTCGGAGGGTCTGATGCCGTCTACATAGGCATCAGGGGACAAGATAACATTATCTGGAAAAAAAAAAATCAAATTTGAGTTGAGTGCTATGACTACGTAGACTCCAGTTCAATGTATGTGGGCTTGAATCCTGGGCAAGACACAGTGTTGTGAGTACTTATACAATTTTTGGTACTCGTACTTGTAAAAGGTACTCGTACTAGTACTCTCAAGAAAAGAATTACTCGTACTCCTACTCATGACAAAGTACTTGTGTTTGTATTCTTGCAAATGTTCTCCTGCGAAAATTAAAATTGTTTAAAGGGCCCGTGTACTGTAATTTTATTTAATGCAGTCCTTGTAAATGTACCTTTGTGTCCCATTTAACCTTATTTTCAATTGTCATTATGCCATTTTAAGGGTAATTTGGTGCCTTTTTGGTTTTCATGCTAATGCGAATTTACATGTTCATGAGCAAAACTGTGATGTCATAATGATGACAGCTACTTGTGCATGGGGTACAGCCACTGATTGGGATGCTGGTAACAATTTTACAAAGGCCTTTTTTCGAGGGTGATTTTCTTAAGAAATCAATGTGCCAAAAATAATTGCACATTTTAGAATTTTTGAAGGGTTCTGGAAGTGCACCACCAGGGGTGAACTTGCAGACTCCATTGCCCCTCTACTTTCAAGTTCTCAATACAAAAACTGACCAATTTCAATGCCATATTTTCTATTTGTTGTGGGCTTACCTCCCCCATACCTTAGAACACTCCGGATACAGGTGTTTTTTTTACTTGTTCAAGATGTTTTTCTTTTGCTGAAATTTACTCACCGACAGTGATGTTTTTTGTGAATGTCCTCAGCCCAGACAGTGACTGGGCAAGTGTCCGAGACAAGTAGGTCTGGTTGAGGCTTTCCAGATTAACGCCGTTGATGAGATCGTCTACTGTGATATCCCCGATGACTGTGACATTTCTGAAGACAAATCACAGGAAAAAAAATGTGATATAACTAGAGCACATAAAAGTATCACATGACCTGTACATCATTGTATCAATTCACTTTTCATCATTCGCATCAATTCGCAACTGTTCTTCAGACGGACATGCAATCAGTAAGCTGTCTCACAGTCCCAGATCTACTGATTCCCTTCAATATGTTTTCATGAATACAGGGGGGTAGCGAGACCACTTTGATTGGAAGGTTGGAGGGGTGCAGACAACAAACTTGCCGACTGACTCTTCGTGCTGAAAATTTCCCTCTGATTATTGAGGGAAATGTTCAAAGTAGACAATCTTAGGCATTATCCAACAATAGAAGGTGCTCTTTGTTGCAGAATATCTGTTGATGGACGCACAATTTTGCCAAAAAGAGGATGAAGATTTTTCCGAAAACAACAATAAATGGGGAAATTAATGGGGGAATGGTACCGGTACATCCTCAATCCCCCTCCTCTAGCAATGCCCGTAACAGTTCATTTACCGACTGAGGCTCTTAATGCCAACTGAGTAAAATTATTGGGGGGATGTCAAACCCCTCCCCTTTTTGCTACGCCCCTGTAGAAACAGGCAAAGCATTAGGGTGTCCCTGCATATCAGCTGACATATTATAAAGTGCAAAGAACTTTGTTGATAGGCCTTATGCAACTGACCTATCGCCGTTTGCGAGCTAGCCATGCCCCTTAAACAACCCTGTGGATTGTCTGTACACTAAGTTTTGTTTGTCTCAGAGTTTGCCCGTTTTGCATCTATTTGTATATAATGTAATTGGACAACATTTCACATGCTGCGTTTATGTGATTCTAACGCGATTCTACGGAGATAGGTCAATTACGTCATCCATCAGGTTAGAGACCAACCAATAAAATCAAACAAAACAATATCTGTGTACAATTTCCGTTAAACCCACCTTGAAAATGTCTTCTCTCCAGTTATGGCACCGTTTGTATCTTTGAGAACCACAGATTCAACGAAGGAGTCGAAATGGATTCCGCTGACATTCTGAACAGTCAGGTTCTCAGAGAAGGCCAAGTCAGATGTGAACTCCAATGTACCTTAAAATAAAAAATAAAAAAATTGATATTTTCCTTAAAACACAGAGGAATTTGGAGAAACCATGAAGCAAAAGAGGTTATATCAATCTCGACAAAACACAAGTATATTTATACAGTATATTTATACAGCTGTAGATAGTGTGCAGCCAATGTCTTTGTACATTTGTCATACATTTGTTATACACCATTATGAGGTTTGATATATTTCTCATTCATAAAAACGACTACAGTTCTAAGTTGTTCTAGTGGCTTATTTCCAGACCATTGACAATGGTACGTGCGCACGTACACAGGCTTGAGATTTTTTTGACTGCCCCCTAAATTGATTTCCTTGCCTCCCCCCAATTTTTTTTTAGAGTCTGGTGCCGCCAAAGGTCAGTGACTCAGTCAATCAGTCAGTGAGTCAGTCAGTCAGTCAGTCAGAGGTCTAGCAAAAACCCCCCAATTAATTTTTAAAAATTATATAACCGACATACAGATCCTTGTCATTTGATTGGTGGAACTCATCACGTGACATTCGTTATTGCTCCCATTCACGCCCCGGCTCAAAAAGTACTATCCACCCATGGGGAATGGGAAATACTATTGACCAGTAAGGATCATGACGCAGTATTTGTGTGCAAATGCATGCTGGTGTGCGCATTCAGCGTTGCGCGTAGCGCGTATTGTTCCAAAGAGCCATCGCTACAGCGTTGGGTTCAAACATTTTTGTGAAGGGGTGGTTTGGAAGAGAGAAATACATTTTCCTCCAGTTTTGTATTGAAATAAAAGTTCCAATATATAAAATGACAAGGATCTATATGTTAGTTATATAAAACAAACAGAGTGGCTTTAAATTGTGAAATGGGAGGAATATTATCGCTCAGTAAAATCTGGACTTTTCCAGTTCACTCGGCTTCGCCTCGTGAAATGGAAAAGTCATGATTTTACCTTGCGATAACATTCCTCCCATTTCACGCTGAGCCACTCAACATTTGTAGAACATTTCACATCCAGACAAATGATCCCTTTTCCCAAATGATTGATTTCTCAATTTTCACATACCGCTGATTGTTTGATCTCCTGACAGAGTGACCACATTTTCTGCAAAATCCGTGACATTGACCCCATCCACTGTGCCACCCACCTGCAGCCCATTGTCCACTGCAAAATAAAAATACAAATAAATTGTGAAGAACTACACTTAATATTTTTCGAGGGAAGGACGGGGAGGGGAGGGGTGTTAAGAGCAGGCGCAGATCCAGGGGGGGGGGGGCACAAAAAAAACCAGGTCTGTCAAAAAACCTAATTCCAAAGAAACTCCTGACAAAAAAAAATGCAAACCCGCCCTCCCCCCATTCTGACACCCAAAATAAGTTTGCTAGGAATAATGTTCGACACTCCGACTTGCACAAAACATGTGATATACAAATGTAGTGTTAATAATCGTCGGATTTGAACAGCACCCCCATTGAAAGAATGGTACAAGCCCCCCCCCCTCCCCAAATTTTTAATTTAACGGAGGCCAAGTGTCCGGAAAAATAAAATGTCTACAATTCAGATTTTTTTTTGGCCGATAAAAACCCCACCCTGCAAAAATTCCTGGATCCGCCCCAGAAGAGGGAACAAAAAGTACACCCAAGAGCCCCCCAAAATGGATAAAAGATTATGCTGGATCGTGACTTTATTTTGAAGTATTTGGAAATTGTTGAAAACAGTTTCAGGATGGCATGAATTTACATGATTTTTATTTTACATGAAAACACTTTATGTTTTTCCTTTTTGGGGGAGAGGGGGAATTTTTAATGCAACAAATTTTGCAAAAAATCTGAAACCTTCCTTTTTTGGGGGGATTGGAAATTTTTAATCTTTTTTTAGGTCCAGGCACATCAAAAATGTTACAAAATGTCACTTTTGTTGGCTGATGCAAAGTGGGGGCTATTAATATTGGCAATGTCTACAACTGGATATCAACTTTTGCCCATAATGCACTGTAAAAAAAACAGCCTCTTCCTTGTAACTCCTTACTCATACATGTATTGTACTTTGCTCCGTTTGGATAATTGTAAGTATCATCAACCTCAAGTTTTTTCCTGAAGTTGCTTTCTACGTGTTCTTCAAAAAAATTCATTTCATTTTTTTATTAATAAAGTTTCAACTTGTATGTTTTATTCTCATCAAAACCCTCCTTTTTTCCTTTACTTTGACGTCTGCAATCCTTCAGGAAACTGACCTTGCAACTGGTCAAAGGTCACAGGGGAGGTGACCGACACTCCCGGTCCATCGGTCATGACTGCGTCTGAGTACAGGTCATCCAAATCGACCCCGTTGACCTCCCCGGACACACTGAGAGTAGAGGTCGTGACATCCGCAGTGACCATGACGGAGTCAAATTCTATATCACCTGTAACAAGAAAAAAAAAGAACAAGAAATAGAAATTAACCATTGAGGATTGGGGGGGGGGTTGGGGTTGGCAAAAGATAGCTTTTAAATTAATTTGCCATCAGTTTTAAAGATCAGTCACTTTAATGTGGCAAACATTGACTAATTTTGAACAAACATTCATCATCGTCGGTTTTGAGGCCGTTGTCCAGTCTGTTCTGGGTTGCCTGCTTTCTCCTTATCATGGCTCCCTTACATTGACTCCAACAGCTAGGGATGTGAGTGACCACTTATAAAAATAGCTGAAAACAGCTGGAAAAAAAAGGTGTAAAGAAGATGAACTTTGGAAATCTCCTACACTTTTGTACACAGCAAGTGAGGGAAAAAGCTGAAATCCAAAACAAAAAAAAGCTGAAATCAGCTTTAAAGCTGAGATTTCACACCCCTGCTCCAAGCAGACGCATGTCATCAGTAACGGAACTCTGCTACGTCTTGCGCAGATCGACGGCCGACGGGTGTGGGCCCACCAGCGACTATGTTGGTACACCTCTTGAGCCAGCTGGCATCTTCCTTCCTCTCCACGTGACCATACCACCTCAGCCTATGTGTCCTCAACACGACACCGATCCCCTCCACTCCAACTCTCCTCCTCAACTCCTCACTTGACAGCCTGTCAGCCAGAGATACTCCACACATCCACCTGATCATTCTCATCTCAAACATTGACTATATATTTGCAACAATCTACATCATGCCTGGCATAATGAGTGAAAGGTTGGACATCTTGAGAATTCAATGACAACAGAAGCATCCATGCATCGTGTATGTGAAAGGCTGAGGGAAACAAATACCTCTCATTTTTGGGGAGCGCTAGAGCCGTACCATGACGTATTGAGCAAACAGGCTTTTTCTGTTTGATGCCTTATGATGCAATTGTCCATTCTGGGCAGTTTGGTTTTTAGCACGGGGGCCGAACAACATTTTAATTCCCTTTGGCTAAAACTTTCCTGATTTAGTTTTTGATTCAGCAGATTGTTTCAAATATGTATGATCTACAAAATCATCAATGTTTGCAATATTAACATGACTGATCTTTAATGTCATATTTTCATTGATAAGAACATGTCAAATAATCATGAGAAAAATAAGTCAGCGTTTTGGATGGAAGCATGATCTTGAGAAGCCAAAGCTAACAGAGGCATATCTTACGAAATTTCAAAACCAGGAAAATATTACTAAAATTTTGAGGTATAAAACTTTGAAAGACAGACAAACCAATGTGAGGGAGAAACAAACAAACAAACAAACAACAACAGAGGATGGACTGACAATTTAAACAATTACACAGAAGTCATCGGGCCTCGACAAACTGCCTGTGACATTACCCGAATAAAGAAAGACAGACAAACCAACGTACAGGGAGAAACAAACAAACAAACACCCCCAGAGGATAGACAGACAATAAAATACACAGAATAGGCATCAGGCCCTGACAAACTGCCTGTGACATTACCTGTATAAAAACTTAAAGAAAGACAGACAAGCCAACATATAGGGAGAAACAAACAAACAAACAATAACAGAGGATGGACTGACAAACAGTTACACAGAATAGGCATCAGGCCCCGACAAACTGGCTGTGACATTACCTGTATAAGAACTTAAAGAAAAACAGACAAACCAACGTACAGGGAGAAACAAACAAACACCCCCAGAGGATAGACTGATAAAAATTATACAGAATAGGCATCAGGCCTCGACAAACTGCCTGTGACATTACCTGTATAAGAACTTAAAGAAAGACAGACAAACCAACTTACAGGGAGAGACAAACAAACAAACAATAACAGAGGATGTACTGACAAACAATTACACAGAATAGGCATTAGGCCCCGACAGACTGCCTGTGACATAACCTGTATAAGAACTTAAAGAAAGACAGACAAACCAACGTACAGGGAGAAACAAACAAACAAACACCCCCAGAGGATAGACAGACAATAAAATACACAGAATAGGCATCAGGCCCAGACAGACTGCCTGTGACATTACCTGTGATAGTCTGGGTACCATCGAGGGTGACAACGTCCTCCGAGATGTCCAGACCATTAACCGTCCCGCTGATGTTCAGGTCCCCTTTCATGACCACGTCGTCCTTGATCAGCACGTCACCGTCAATGGTTTGCACTGCAACAAGCTTGATAACCTATTCGTGTAAATTTACAGAATGTTAAAGGCATATAGGATCATTTGCAACACTGGTACAAAAACCTTGTGCAATTATTTCATCTGGCTTGCTGTCATTAAAAAGATCAAGAAATGTAGGGGATTTTAAACGATCAGTAAATTGACAGATTTTTTTGAATAAAAAAGAGTGCTATTCGCTTTTTTCACACTTCCCCCATGGGCATGCAGAGCCTCGATCTGGCAACTTTACACAATAAATATAACCGGTTCAGTGATTCCCGTGTCGGGGTTCAGATCACTGAACCGGCTATTTTTATTGTGTAAAGTTGCCAGATCGAGGCTCTGCATGCCCAATGGCGTAGTGTGAAAAGAGCAAATCGACACAATCATGTTTCGTGATCAAAGGTTGTGCATGGTTGTCACTGTTTTCTCGAAAAGTGTAATATGCACTGAGATGAAACATCAACAGGTTATAGGTTTTTTAACATTCTTCTTTGGATTGTAAGAGGTGTTATACTTTGGTATGCGTCAGTATCAAATGTCATGAATACATGGCTTTTGTATCAGGAATTCTGTGAAAAGATGAACAATTTTAATATTGGGTTTGCCTTTCATGGATGTAATCTTTAAGAGCAATACTGTCTGAGTTGTTCTGTGAGCGGATATATCCCCACTCTCCACTGACCGTTCGGTTGAGTTCAGGCAAGTCCACACCGCTGATGTTGATGCCTGGACCCAGCAACAGATCACCACTAATATTAACAAAATCCTTGAAGGTCTTGTAGCCTGTTGATTATAGATAACAGATGGTCATACAGACAGTACATTAAAAAAGGGAATTTTTATAAATTATGTAGCACATGTACCAAACTAAACTAGCAGCCAGAAAGACAAAAGTACGTTAGATCTTTTGAACATCAATGTGATACTCGAGTTCATCTCTGGTCCGCTTAAAATAATTCACAAGTCAGTTCACAAGTACAACCACAAGTAACATGGGATGAACATGCATGTGGAGTGCTATGGCCTCGTGGTCCGGAGCATTGCATTCGAGGTCTGCGGGTGATTCTGCGGGTTGTGGGTTCGAGGCCAGCCTGCATCTACAGTGCGTGTTCCCTTGGGCAAGGCACTGTCACTCATTGCTTCTCCCAACCCAGGAGTAAATGGGTACCTCTGAGGGCAGCGATGGTTATTGTGGTTGATTTAGCTGCTTTGCGCCGAAATGGCAGCATCGAGCTGTAGTATTTAGAATGTTTTACTGGCCCAATGAGCAGGGTAACCAAAAAGCGCCTTGTATCCTTTGGCAATTTGGCACTCTATAAGTCCAGTTATTATAATTTTTTATTACCAAGAAAGGCCTTCAGGTGAATAGCTTGAGACTAGCTTTTGGACTGAATTATGTGAGACGACTTGTGATTGACCTGAGACTGACCTGTGACTGACGAATGACTGACGAATGACTGACTTGCGACTGACTTGAGACTGACTTGCGACTGATCGACTCGTGACTGACTTGCCAGTGACCTGTCAGTGACCTGTGATGACCTGTGACTGACTTGTGTCTAACCTGTGACTGACTGGTGACTAACTTGTGACTGACTAGTGACTGACCGGTGGCTGACTTGTGGCTGACTTATGACTGACTTACGATTGACCTGCTATTGACTAACGATTGACTTGCCATTAACTCGACCTGAACAAAGGCACAAATCAACACCAACCTGTAATACTAGAGTCGTCATCCAATCTCACAAGGTCCCGCGATAGCTGGTACCCGTCGATAGTGTCATTGACAAGCTGCAGGTTTCCTCTGATGACCAGCCGACCTCTGACCTCCACCGGAAGGTCAATGACCTGGGGTCGAGTCAGTGAAAGGATCTGCCGCTGCAGTTTGGTCAGGTTTACGCCGTTGATCAACTGGTCCACGGTAATGTTGCCCAATGCTGAAGGGTTACATAAAAATGAACACGGAACTCTGAATATATTATCTCTTGTGTGTGTATATATTTATACCAATGTTTAGCATTAAACAAGCAAAAAGTAAATTTTGTGACTAAACTATTCTGTCAAAAGCAGACACTTCTAAGTGTATTTGTAATTCCAATGGATATCTAAAATTTATTATAACATTTTCGTACTGCGATTTGACTCACAGTTAACTTTTTTAATTTCTTCTGTAGAGGTGTTCAAGTTCGAGACATGCATAACCCAAAACTTAGTTTTGGTTTCTGTGTAATCATTAAATGCAAATTGGTAGAATTTTGTCAACAGAGCAGCAGTTTCAAATATTAAATTGCCATCATAAAATAAAGGATCTATATATTTGAACAATATTGAAAAAATATCCCATTTTTGGCCAGCTGCACACGTAGGTCTGTTTTTGCCAGAGCATATCACATTCATGAACATACTGAACACTCGTATTGGAGACTCTATCTAATAAACTCACCATCTACATTCTGAGTAAAAGTCTTGACCCCCGACACAGTCTGCAATGAAGTGTTAGAGATGCTGACCGTTGTGACTGGCAGCTCGCTGATGTCCACTCCGGCCAGAGTGACCGTATCATTGATCTCAATGTCGCCGGTCACTGAGATGTCCTGGGTGAAAGTGACCGAACCTGGGGGAATAAAATCATTTGGTTATATGGTGTCCGATCCATGGATGATGGTACGTGGGTATAAACCCTGACGGGGAACATGGCGTTTGTGTTCTTGGGCAAGACACTTTACTGCAATTGCCTCCCTCCTCCCAGGAGAATAAATGGGTGCCTTATGTGAAGCTAGAGACCAGATTGCGCTGTTCTCACCCAGTGGGCACATGACGTTGTTTTAACGTTGAATGTTGGTTGAAATGACGTCACGACGTCGAAATACCGTAAAACAACGTTATTTCAACGTCACTTTTGCGACGTTGATTTTATGTTACAGTTTGACGTTGTTTCAACGTCGAATAAATGTTGAAATTGCGTCGCGATATTGTCAACCTAAATTCAATGTCTATCCAACGTCGGTTTTGTAACGTTGTTCCAACGTCCATATTTCGACATTAATCCAACATTGAATGTTGGTTGAAATTGCGTCGCGATATTATCAACCTAAATTCAATGTCTAGCCAACGTCGGTTTTGTAACGTTGTTTCAACGTCCATATTTCGACATTAATCCAACGTTAAATGTTAGTTGAAATTGCGTCGCGATATTATTAACCAAAACTCAATGTCTATTCAACGTCGGTTTGGTAACGTTGTTCCAACGTACATATTTCGACATTAATCTAACGTTGGATAAATGTTAAAATTGCGTCGCGATATTAACAACCTAAAATTAACGTCTCTCTGACGTCGGTTTGGTAACGTTGTTCCAACGTACAGATTTCGACATTAATCTGACGTCGAATAAAAGTTTAAATTGCGTCACGATATTGACAACCGAAATTCCATGTCTATTCAACGTCAGTTTGGTAACGTTGTTCCAACGTACAGATTTCAACATTAATCTGACGTTGAATATGCGTTTAAATTGCGTCACGATATTAACAATGTTAAATTCAATGTCTATCAATCGTCAGTTTTGTAATTGTTCCAACGTATTTTGACATTATTCTGATGTTGGATAAATGCTTAAAATTGCGTCGTGATAACGACCTAAATGTACCAACGTCGGTTTGGTAAACTTTGTTTAACATACGGATTTTAATTAGTCCAAAGTTGAAAAAATGTCGAAATTAAGTGCGTCGCAATCAAACATATTGCATTGCTTTGAAATTGAGTATCCTCGCGGTTACTTCAACGTCAGTCCTGCTGTATCAATTAACGTATAATTTTAACTATCAAAGTGCAAAATATTATGTCAAGAAATATAAACAAAATAGCCGACTTAATTGAACTTTGTGGCCTTTTTTATGAAAACATATTATTTGTCAGCACGCCAAAGCTGTGACGCTAGCCAATCACACGGCGCGTAATTTGTTCTACATTCCAAGGTTGTGACGCTGGCCAATCAGTTTTCATGTACTCTCTTTGAATCACGATATGGCGCGCAAGCATATGACCGTTACATATTTCGACATCATACTGCAGTTGTGTGGACGTGTAGCGTGCAGCCGACATCATTTTACTCAAATAACAGGTAAGAATTTTGCCATCAAAATTCGTAGTTATTGTTATGATGTTGCTTAGACATACCTGACGTTTATTCGAAGCACTTACTTATTAATTGCAACCAATTTCTCCCCAAAACGATAAACAAATATTGACACATCACTGGGGTCGGGGACACTGGCATGCATGGTCACTGATGATACCGGCGTCCGGTACGTATGGGAACCAGGTCGACCGCATGCATCCCGGCTCTCGGAACAGTGTATTGCTGAGCTGTACTAAAACGGGTTCAATGGGAAAGTAGTGAGAGAAATCCTGAGAAATAATCCTCCATTGGCGTTTTGAACTGTACAGTATAATGGACGTGTGACTTAAACTTTCCGAGACGATATTGTTACCATGAATAAATGTGGCTCAATTACTGGATTTCCTTTGTAATGAAAAGTTGTTTCTGAGGAAATAGAAATTGCATTTTTTTTCACTTGGTAGACCTTATGGACATGAAATGCATGATGATGAAATGTACTTAAGCCTACCTGGTTAAAAAAAATAATAACCAGGAAAAATATAATTCGATTTTCTGCACTGTAGAGTTTCAGTTTTCATGTAATTTTCAGGCTAAAAAGTAAAAATGGATCGTCCAAAAGTGATTGTAGAATGGAATGCAGTATATTTTCTCGAGGTCAATTACTGCCATACTGGATTTCTTCGTACAGCTACACAGCGGTGATAGGTCGTGGGTCATGTACATTATACCGTTTTACTTCCCCTGATTATTAAACCAGGTGGGTTATCTTCCATAGGGAATAGGCCTATCAAGTGGGGGATAAACACTCCCGATTTCGATTTCACATGTTGCTATCACCACCCCGGTGCTCTTGTACATGTACAAGTCACAAAACGGAGGAAGTTGCTGGGTAGTTCCTTGATCCTTTGTGTAAAACTAAAAGTTGCTGTGACAATAGTGAGAATGCATAACACAAATTTCTGTATCAAAACTTTAGGTAAATGCAAGCATGGATAATTATACCGCTGTTTGTAGCCTGTGCTGTGAATGGTGCAATAACAAAATGGACTCACGGTGCAGGGAGTGAGTAATTACGTAAATGTATTGGCCTAAGTAATCAATCATTGCATAGGCAGGTGGTATTTCTACATAAACTTGTTTTTGTTTTGTGTAGATACTAGACATGGTTTGCATATTTTTTGGGGAGTATGCAGAGTCTAAGTTTGGCAGGTAGGACAGGTAGGGTAGTTAATCTCACTTTTTCAGCTTCTGAAGAAAAAAATCCTTTTCAAAATTCCAGAAGAGTTTACAAGACCCCACAGATGACGAAACCCCACTCAGCAATGATTCATACAGGAATTGAGGAGGAGCCAAAGTCAGCATGGATTGTCGAACCAGTATGGAGGAGTTATGTATGACTTTCGAAGATGCTTCAGTTTGAAATCTTTCGGACAGTACTCGCAGTGCCGTAGCTGGTATGTATATGCCGACAAAAAAAAATTCAGGGCTAAGTTTTATGGCAAAAACCGATTATTTTATTCTTAAGTCAATAACACTTGCAGAGATGTAGCTCTGATTGCAGTCATCGCACATAAAAAAAGTGGTATTCAAATCCATTTCTACTTGTGCGAACAACAGACACAATGGCCAGTTCATTCAAAACGTTAACAAAACGCAAAAATGAAAACAGATTTGTGGCTATATCTTAATTGAGTGTTGGCAGAAGTTTCGTCACAGTGCATTGTATAATAACTTGTGTTTGTTTACACTCTTCCGTTATCTTTTTTCCTGATGGGTCTTTGCTTTTGTCTCTGAGCGTTGTTTTTTTTCTCATCCAACAGGTGCATGACCAAGTGATTGAAGACAGTTCAACAATGATGGGCAGAGTGGAACTGAAAAAAAGCAGATGAGGAGACGGACCTTTTCAGTTTCGCAGGTAATTTAATTTTCTTTGCCAGATTTAATTTATTTTGACCAATTATTGATCTTGGTTAAAATCTCATTGTGTGGTACTTGGTTGTATGGTTGATAATTGCTGAAGTGTCAGGAAATACAAGTGGTAGTTTTTATAAGTGCAAGTTTAATAAAAGGAATCATTCTGTTGATTTTTTGTACACAATGTCAGCACATAAAATGATGACCAAACGTGTTGTCGCTTTGTTGAAACTAATATGGTTTATGTATGTATTTCTCTTTGTTTGTGTTTGTAACATTTTCGTTTTTGAGGGTGATTTGGTTGTGTCAATGAATAAAGAGATGGTTGGGGAGGAAGCTTGCAATTCTAAAATATTACACTATCTTTTATTTGTCTTTTCTAGCGAGGTCTAGTAACTTCGTAATCGGGCAAGGTGATGGATGTTGCTGCTTGTTGAGTTTTTCATCTCCTGTCAAGTTTGCGCCTGAAAGAAGAGGTGATGGAGGGACACACTGAGGGCCCATGCACCTTCACATTCAGTCGTACCTTTGGACTGTGTTAAATATTTCAATATTGGAACAGTTGATTAATAGTAATTGTTCAAATACAGTAAGTTGCTCTGGAGTGGCTGGTATCTTTCCGTAAGTGTAACAGGTAAAGGCTCTTTAAGTGATGGAAATTCAACCTCTGCCGCATCTTGTACTTTTCATCTTGAAACTTCCACGTTCGAGAAGTGGGGGACTGTTATAATAATTATATACAGTACATGTATTGTGCATTATTTAGTTATTACTGTTGATTCTTGGTTGACCTGTTCAAATGTTCAATTGAATTATTTAGATTAATTTTGTATGAATGATGCTGTTTGTTTTATTATTTTCTATTTGATAGTTTCTAATGCTTTTGCCCAAGTCTGCCGCATAACCTCTTGCAATATTTCACAAGAAAATTCATAGATATGATAGAATAGTGCTGCAGGTAAATTTGGAAAACTAATATGAATTGTATGCAAATGAAAAAAAAAGTGAATTTAGACGTTTAAAAATTGTACCTGTATGCTTGTTAATTCGTGTTATATTTCTGATGTAAATGCACTGGGCAGTGCTGCATTTCTTTGAAAAAAGAATCAAATTCATTATCATGTATCTTTTTAGAGACTAGTACCCTCGTTTAGGCTATAATGCTGTTGGAACAAGTCAATCTAATTCTGAATTTTACTATGTATGGATTAATTACTACTTTGTTGAAACCTAAAAGGTGTTGTATAAGCTGATAAGGTTGGAAGTTAATTAATAAATACACACATTTTTTTATGGAAAAAATTAAAGTGATTGATAAAGAATTTCATTTAAATTTAAAGTTATTCAATTTCGACATGGATTTAACAACACTCCTCAGCTTGCAAATTTATTTAACATAGAACGATTGGAAAAATGCCAACATCCACCATTATCAGTACATTCTGGCTTTAAATCTTAACACAAACCTTAAAATATTTTGATTCAAGAATTGCATTTATTTAACTGTGATATTTCTAAGAATAGGATGTCATTTAATGTTGATTATTTATACGTTGATTGAACATCATGTCAGTGCTATTTTAATGTAGAGATGTCGACGTTAAATCAATGTTGAAATGTCTACGTTAACTCAACGTTGTGATCTTAACGTTGTTTCAATGTCGACATTTCCACGTCGCTTCAATTTGCAAATTCAATCATTAATCAACGCTGAATCAACGTAGAATCTCCGACATTAAATCAACGTTGACATATCTACGTTGATTCAACGTCATGCTTTCCACGTTGGTTTAACGTCAGCATAATAATGTCAGATCAACTTGCAAATTCAATCATTAATCAACGTTGAATCAACGTAGAATGTCCGACATTAAATCAACGTTGAAATATTTACGTTGATTCAACGTTGTGCTTTCCACGTTGGTTTAACGTCAGCAAAACAACGTCAGATCAACTTGCAAATTCAATCATTAATCAACGTTGAATCAACGTAGAATTTTCAACATAAAATCAACGTTGAAATGTTGACGTTGATTCAACGTCGGCATTTCAACGTCAGAAAAACTTTCAAATTCAATCATTATTCAACGTTAGTTCAACGTCGGAAACTGACGTTGTTTCAACGTTATTTCAACGTATTTTGCCCACTGGGCAAGCTGCTGCAGCAAAATGGTCTCAGAGCTATAGTAAGATCGAATTTTGCGTCGGGGTGATGTAATTCAAATTAGGTTTTGCAATTCACCGAAGTATTAACACTGTATTCTCAGTGTGTTACCTCCCAAGGGAAAGTTGGAAAAAATCACTCGGGTGGGACTTGCACCCACGACCTCCTGCTTTCCAGTGCAGATGTTTATTACTTCTCGACCACCGAGCTAACGGGATCTTAAGAATAGTTAATGCGGTACCCGCTGCTATGTACATTAGTCGGTGAAGGGCAAAACCTAATTTAATTTTAATGTGAAAGAATCATAAATATTTGTATAGTATTTTAATCTTCTTAGGCATCCTGAAATCAATTTGTTTTTAGTTTTCAGGAAATGCATAGGTTGGGGAATGGAATTTCAGGCAGGGTAGTTTCCAATAGGGCAGATTATTTTGAGAAAAATTTCAGTAAATTGTAATTGGGTTGAAACAGAATATTTTGGATGAAAATTGACGATTCAATTCTTGGAAAGGAGAGGGTGGGGTGGAAAGGCAGACATTTGAAGACTGAGGTCCCTAGCCTAGCTACCAAACTCAACTCCATTTTACCATAGATATCTTGTGTGTCGTTTATCGTGACAACATCGTCCGGTATCTTCAGATCATTGAGTCGACCGTTGATCGTGATGTCTCCCTCCACGGATACATTTTGCGCAAACCGGACCGGGGTGCGGATGGTCCCGCCGGGGGTGCGAAGCAAGACGAACTCGGAAGGCAGGGCGCCGTTGATTTTGCTGTTAGCACCGATGTCGTTTGTTGCGATGAGGTTGCCATTGATGGATTTGTTACCTGCAAATTGTTGACAGAAATAGAAAATCGTGGCTCCGCACATGATGACAATGTGATGAGAACTTGTGGCAAGTTTTGTAAAAAGAATTACTTCTGGGGAGAACTTGCAATCCAGATATAACCTGTGCAAGTGCATAATAAGCTCTGGCCGTCTGGCATGAAAGTCTTGCATGGAACCTTTCAAAATGATTCCTGCCTGTCTAAAGATTTATTAATTTGAAGGTTTAACACACAAATTTCCTTAACCTGTGGATTCATTAGGCTGAAAATGCAAGAAGGAACATCCGAACCTTTGCTGCAACGTCAGTCCAAAGGGCTCATAAGCTTTGATATTGTCAATTAGGATTGTAGAACTGTATTGTCGATTTGAATTATCGAACCTTATCGTTTATTCGGACTATCAAAACCTTCGCAAGGGCGTCATTGATCGCTTCTCAAAAAAGACATACCATGGTTAAAAGTATTGCGAGCATGACGCCGTAATGGACTCTTTTGGATTCTAGACGCTCTGTGGTGCAATCTGAGGCGTTTTTGACCACTGTTACCAAATTTTGGGAGCAAAACGTTATCATTAAAATATCACTTTGGAGTTTGGAGTCTTTGATTCAGTTCATATTGTGAGCTATAGAATCATATGTAGGCTAAAAGGTGGGGGGGGGGGGAAAACAAACAATATCGTTTTCCCCACACTGTAAAAAGTGGAGAACCAACGTACAACTCTACTCACATACGGTTCTGTTAAGGAGAATACACGAGAAAGTGCGGATTCGTAATTTAAGAATTCACGAGGCGCGAAGCAACAAGTGAATTTGTAAATTAAGAATCCACACTTGCGAGTGTATTCTTCGACTTAAACCATTGGGTCAAAAGTAGTATTGTCATTAACAGTCCAGTGAGTGGAGATGAAAAGACAGTAGACTTGCATATCTCGTGTCGAGTCGTGGCCATTAGGGTAATTTACAAGGGAGTTTTTCGAGGCTCTATACGTAATCAATCATTGTGGCGTGTTTAGCATGTGTATTGCCACACCCGTACAATTACCAAGTCATTCTGTGTGTAGGTTCCTTCCGTCAACATGGATAGTTCAGACGACGATTTCTTTCTGACTCAAAGTAGTTTTTGCAGTGACGGCGGAGAATCTGACAGTGAAGATGCATTGGTAATATTCGGAAGGAAAGTTTTCACGCAGATAGTCCTATTAATGCTCATTATGGAGAAGTACAATCATTATTGTCCGACATGTTCAAAGTGTGGATTAATAATTCCGAATCTACACTTTACTAAAGAGTCGTAGTTCCGAATCCACACTTTGTGACCGGTGTAACAGATTCGTAGTTCCGAATCTACACTTTTAACAATAGTAAGATGTCATATCAATGTTTAAAGCAGGGGACAAACCAGGGGTGCAGTGGTGAGAGACGAGCGCTATATACCCACAAGGGGATAAAACAGTTGAAAGACAGAAAGGAAACAACAAAAGAACAGCCTACAACTCACCATAAATGGTCTGCGTTGTGTGCTTCAGAACCGCACTGTTGTCCAATTCCGTAACGTTGACCCCATCCACGAGATCAGTCCTCAACTCACCCTCAATGTTGACCCCACCCTGAAAGGTTATGACCCCTGACACGATGCCTCCTTTGGTCCGAGACACTGCACCAGACGCAAATGTGGACAGGTCAACCTGGAAAATTACGTTGAAAAAAAAATATGCACAAAAAAAGAGCTTGCAATCTCAAATGTGCCAATGAAAGCTTAGCATAATTTACTTCCAATAGACAACCATTGTCAAATATCTCAGATTTATTTTTATGGTGGAAAAAAACTTGAAACCCCCCCCCCTGAAAATATAACCGTTGATTGAATATGGACAATGTGTGCAAGTGCATCTCCCAATGTTGCCAAGGTGGGAGCATAGAGAAAGGACACAGAAGGAGTCTCAACTCCAGAACTTCAAAGTGTTATAGGATCGCCACCGCGCTCGAAAGCAACAATAGAAAGAACGTGGCGGCCAGCCTGCTCAGTTGCTCACTAAGCTAATCTCTGTGTAATAGAGATCCGTGCTCACTACTGCTAGAAGAAAGAGCTTGCATTGCTATGTGGATAGTGCCATGGTAAAACGCATGCGCAGTTGTCATACATGGCCAAAAATGAATGATTTTGAGAGCGTTTGTTCAGAGTTGGCTAATACTGGGTAACAATGTGGTCAACCTCACTGAAATAATCATTTCATGACGAACAAAATGCTCTATACTTTTAGTGAGAAAACTTTGGAAATGTCCCAAAATATTGTATTTCATGAATACTGTTTTGCCAATGAAAATTTTCGAAAAGACATGATAACTTATCGGGAAAATATCAAATCATCTTCAAATAACAGGAATAGAGAGCGCTTTCAAGGACCAACAACTGCACATCGATAACTTGAATTCTTAATTCACATCTAACAACTGCGCATTTGTTAAAACCTATCTTGCAGTAAATAGTTTTTTTCAGTGACTTGCAGTGAATCAGCAATTCAGTCAATGACTCAGCAAGTCAGTCAAAAAAAGGTCTATTTATAAACTCACTGAATCCACTGTCTTTCCATCCGCCACAATCGCATCCTGGACAAGTTCCAGGTCGCGGCGGACAGTCTTCGTTCCGGCCACCACGTGGTCCAGGTGCGTGGTGACAACATCCGTGGTCAGATTCAGCCCGTTGACCTCCCCGTCCACCCTCACGTTGCTGGTGAAGGTGGTGGCATTGGTGAACGTGAGGAAGCCGTTGGCAGTTTGCGTGCTGCTGATGGTCATAACATCATCTGCAATCATTAACAAAACATATTTATGTAATTCGTTTTTTAAAAGGATGAAGGAGAAATTCATAAGATGATAGTCAGAAGGCTAGTCTTGGGGCTAGACGTTGTTATTGTTTGATACGCAATAACCTGCTGCCGTAATAACCGGCCACCCCCAGATGGCATATCACTACCAACCAATATCACCTACCAACCCGTCAGAACAACGTCTAGGACAATTCCTAAAAACTCCCCCCGAAAATCGGGGAGACTAGTGCGCATGCGCGACTTCTGCAGGCAAATACGGTCCATTTTCAGTCCCACACATACCACACACAACAAAAGAGCTGACCAGTGAAGTTGCACACATGTTTTGCTGAATCTTTTATCCTGGAAGAAATTTGAGAGTTTGCTTCGGAACTATACTTTGAATTTTTTTTAAAATTGTGCGCTGCATATATATATTAGGCCAAACAGGTGTGCGCATTACACAAACAAAAGGAATTGGCCTAGACATTGTTCCGACGGGTTCATGGGTGATATTGGTTGGTCGTGATGGCACCCTCTCATGGCGGCAGGTTATCGCGATGGCAGGTTATCGTGTATCAAACAACATGGGCGGAAATCCCGGGGGGGGGGGGGGGGGGGGGGGGACAGGGGGGACACGTCCCCCCCATGAATTTGGTAAGGGGGGACACAATGTCGAATGTCCCCTCCATGTTTTCATGTGTAGGTATAGGTGGGTGACCAACCATGGCAGAGTCTTAGGGAAAAGCCTCTTTGATACGTCGCTTTGTGGCTGAGAACCAATTTGGTTTTCTTGTCGGTTCGACCACGGCTCTTGTACGCCTACCCACGTACATGTACTGTACGTGCGTGTTGGTTCATGCGGTATACGTTATACACAATGTTGCCTGCGTACGTCAAATAATTTGCTACTCCTATACAAATTCGGCCCCACTCCGGCCCGCAATCGCTATGGTAGACTTGATGACAAGTCGTTAGACTATAGTGGTTTATGTCCGTCATCGATCAGCGCCAAAATCCGCATACCACCGCCGTTCATGCAACGTCAGCGCTACAACCATTCATGCAAAAGTCATGTACTAACGCGCGGCATGGTCAGTCTGTGTCTAACGACTTGACTAAGACGTTTTCAAGCGAATATTCATATATGCATCGACTGCAATGCATATGCATGATGTTTCCATAGCGAGGGCCAATAGTAGCCCATCTGGCTTACGAAGAAACACCATTATGGGGGTAATTATTACACGATCATTTTCAAGTTTCCATTTTATTTGGCAGTCCTGTTTTTAAAATTACAGTAAAAAAGCGTATAACATTGTAGATAATATACGTACTTTTGCAACTGTCTTTGAATAAATGGAATTATGGAAGTTGAAACTGTTACGAATAATTGTAAATCCCCTTCAAAAAATGAAGTGCGCGCCGACTGTAAACGTAAGCTCCTTTTGGCACATGTGGTTTGTTGTAGTTTAACTAATCACCCCGAAAACGAACTCGTTCGCGGTTTGTGCCCATTTTTAAGGTTACAGAACCGCAATGACAAAATGCCCGATGCACACAATGAGGTTTAGAAATATATTGTTGCATTATCAAGGGGGCCATGACCCCCCGCCCCCCCAAAAAAAACCCACGAAACCAATTTTTTAATTTTTTATGTGACATCGCAATAAAGGCAGGCAATGAGTACACCCCCATCTTTTCCTAAAAAAAATTGGTTAAAGTGGTCAGAAATTGCCTCAAATGGCATCACAGAGCATCTAGAATCCAAATTTTTTTCGGGGCCCTTAAGCGGGCCCCGAAACCCCACGCCGTAATTTTTTGGACACACTTTTTTGGGGGGCCCCCCCCCAAAAAAACCTGTGTTCTGGATCCGCCCTTGCGGCGGACGCGATTAAAACCACTCATTACAGACTTGATTTCAAGTCTGTCGCTATGGCTGCCATACCCCATGGCAATATTACGAGTGGAAAGTTGTCCGTTCAGCCTGTGACTTTTTGTGAGTAATATAATTTCGGGGAGAAAAAAAAAACCTGTCCCCCCATGTTCAAGGAGCGATTTCTGCCCTTGTCAAACAAATAACAACATCTAGCATCTACACTATAAGAAGCTATAAACTTGTCAGTGCCACATTGCAAGGTATCACTCTGATGGTCACAATACGGTAGCAACAATTAAGAACAAACTATCAAATTGCCAGAAAACTAAATTCCTCTTTTAATATTGAGTTTTTCCACTCACCAACATAATTAAAAATCACTGTACACTCAGTGTTGTCCAAGGACTTGCTAGACAAAAATTCACAAGCTTGCTGGGTGGGACTCAAACCCACGACCTCCTGCTAACTACTGCAGATGTCTTACCGCTCAACCAATGACATTAGAAACTCAACTACACTTAACATATTTAAAACTAAAATTAAAATGTACCTGTACAACTGCTCTTTGTAAAATACTTATCCGTGTTACCTTACCCCTAACTCCCTAGGGGGTATGCAAAATCGTTTATTTGGAGGATTCAGGACTGTTACAGCTATTGAGTTTGTTTAATCCTTATAAAACTGTTGTACAGACAGTATGCTATAAGGTTTGTAAGAATTGTTTTTTTTTTTGATTTAGTGTTTTGTTTGTCGGAATGCTTTGTCGTGTTGCTGTCTGTCCGTCTGTCCACTTTGTCTTGTATGGCATCCCCAGCTCAAGTAACCGCTTACCGGAACATGCCTCCAGTTTCACCTTTTTTCAAGTAACTTCTTTATATCCACTTGCTTTACACCGAGTGTTAATCTATATTTAATTATTTTTTATGAAATGTGGAATGGAAATAAATTTGAAAGAATTGAAAAAAATGAATTGAACGAGCCTTCCAGGGTCAGCTGGCTGGTTCGAATCTGTTATAGCAGCGGAAAAACTAGTTATTACATTTATCAAATTTACATGAATAGCATTATTTTACCTGGGACATCTATTCCGTCTATCTCTCCGTTCACATGCAGGTGGGCGTTAGACAGTGACACGTTCTTGCCAAACGTCACCTTGCCATCAATCGTCTGGTCTCCGGTCAGCTTGACCAACGTGTCGTTCAAGTTGGGAATGTCAATGCCATTTATTTGATCATTGCTGGTGGTCGTGGTGACGACTGTCGTGTTTTCAGAGAGGAGTGTTTGTGTAAAGACCAGCGGGGCTGTTCAAAATCAATATAAGATTAGTAAATTGAAAAATATGTAATATATGGCGAGCATATATAGGGTGAAATTACAGGACGTCAGATATCAACTACCCATGCATTTCGTCAGTCGCAACACGGAGTGACGAAGTCCATAGATAATATGTCACTTTGTTGTGCACCCAAAGATTTGAAAAAGTAGCAGTCAGTAAATTTCAGGAAAGCCTACATCTCTGCTAGTTTTTACATACAAACTGTGCCCCACTTTTAAAAAATGTTCTGCCACTGATATCTCTTTGGACGAATTCCGTGAGAGATCACCATATTTGGGCATGGAATCATGATGAGCTCCACAGCAAAGCCGTACGAACTTGGCACTCAATTTTCTCCAAATATTTTACTTTTTTGACAAAATGTTATGGAAAAATGTGTTTATAGCCCAGCTTCTTCGCAAGTGTTTATTCATACTGGCTATACTGCAGTATTGGTTATATGATAAACCAGAACAAATCAATAAATTACAATGAAAAAGCCATTATTTTGTGTGGTCTTCTGAAGCAGTATCATGCACCATTACAGAGTTATATTTGAGAGACCGGAATTGTCAAATACCCTCAAGCATTTCATAATGTTGCTAGATTTGTCATTATCCTGACGCCAATTACTTACAGGTTATGTTTTCCACTCCACTGATGGTAACGACGTCATCCTTTCGTGGTAGAAGTCTCTCTAGTGTGTTGTCGATGGAAACACTGTTGTCAATGACTGGCTGCTCAATGTTGAAGGAATAGTCCTGGTTGATTGTCAGATTCTTGACCTTCTGAGTCTGTTCAGCCACAACGACGCCTTGAAAGAAATAAAAAAATAATCATAAGAGAATAATAAAGTATTAGGGACAAAGACAGAAACTGACCGGAGCAGAAATACAAACTAAATCATTAAAGCTACAGTCCATCATTTGCAGCTATCCCAAAAGTAACTGACGTCATTATTGTTGAAACACATACTTGGTTGAAAGATAGTAAGGGGATTAACCCCCTGTGAAATTATTCTTTCTGGCAAGCTGTCATTTTGAAGAAATCAACGAAAGAAGGCCTTTCCAACAGTGCGTCTAAAGACTCAACGTGGGAAAGTTCCGTTAGTAGTTCATTTTTTTTATTCATCGGATCTGTACGCGACATCACGTAGCTGGAATGGGCTCAATGAGAACGTGTCTCTGATGCTGAATTCAGGCCCAATTCAAAACATGATCCAGCAACTTTGATTTGAAATCGAGATCCTAGAATGCTGGTTTTTTTTTAAATATACAGCTGAAGCTGAGCTGAAACTTCATCAGGTTAGTTGTTCAGCACCCTTCTTTAGATTTTGAGCACATTTGTTGCTTCAAACAAACAAAATGCATTAATTACAAATGATGGACTGTACCTTTAAAGGGACATCATGGCCTTGAATGCACCCAATTGGTCCAAAAATTGCGTTTGAAACAAAATTATGTTATTTGGAAAGAGCATTTAAAAGTAGGATATAAACGTCCCCACAACCATCCTTTAAAAACTGGGCGTTTGTGTGTCATCCTTGCGAGAACCATGCGAGAATGAATTTTGGGGGTCACAATCAAGTTTGTCCCAGAAATATCAAGCTGCGAGTGCTAGTTGTGAATCCTGTCGCACAGTGGTTGGCATTCTGCTAACATGTAAGAAATAGCATTTGTGTATTGGTGCTGTGTGTATTATGTGACACCGTGTACGTAAATTACGTTGAATAGAGACGGCTTGAAATACGTATGCTTATGCCACAAAATGTCTGCAGTATCCGATGTAAACCAGGGAAATTGCATCTTTTCTCAGGATTAGTAAGACATGAGGTTTATTTCCTTTCAAACAGACCTTTGAAATAGGATAAGTATGCAATCCAACACATGAAATTTTCTAGGAATTTCAGGCCGGAATGCCCCTTTTAAGGGTGATTCTTCAGAAATTAAACTTTAACTATTTTGGGGGGAAAATTTTTTTTATTATACAAATGATTATTGTACACAACAGTGCTGCTAATAGTAAAGGCGTTTTAATTAGTAGAGTTAACAAAATATAACTGGAAATATGTGAAATGCCAAAGAAAAAAATACTAACTTGGGAGTGAAAAACTAGAGCCCACTTGTGCGGTAGTTCCATGAAAACAAAAAAGTTAATTTAAGATTGCCCTTGCTAAGAAAACTGTGGGAACATACCTCTGAAGACCAGCTTGGAGACAACGTCTTGATCCCCTGTCAGCTTAAGAGTGCCCTCAAGTTTGTCGTTGAGATCGTTGATGGAGGACGTGGCTGAATCAAGCCGGTCTTTGAGGGAGCGGAGACACTTTGTTGTAGCAGATACTGGGGCAACTACAAATCAAAAATTTCAAGATATTCTGTAAGTCATCAAAGATTTTAAGGTTAGCATGGTAAAATCAGCATCACAGTAACTTGCAATAAGCCATTTTAAGCGAGTTAAATTTGAATAAAATCTAGAATGCTGACTTAATCCAATGCTTTGCACATGTTAACTTTGCTTTCTCCAGACCAAAGAGACTGTTACTATATCGCGTGAATTGAAGCAAGCCTTATGCTAGCAACCCCAGCTCTGGCATGGTCTGGTGTCTTTGTGCCATTCTCACCCATTGTGAGCAATGTATTGGTGTTGAGCGTCTCTTACGTAACTATGCAAGAGCTTGCCCCGAATCATGTGATTAGCAACGGTGTCTTTGGTCTGGAGAATTCAAAGGTAAAATGTGCCAAGCATTCTGAGCAAGTCAGTGTACCAGACATTTTTTCAACTTTAAATCCCGAAGGGTGTAGGTCATTTGTAAATGATTGACAATTGGCTTGTGAGTTGACGACTATAACTTGAATGTACAGTTTGGCTTTTGATAATAGAGTTAACTACAACGTAACCTATTTTTGGATTGAAACAAAAATTATCATTAAATTTCCTTGAAGCACTTTGGTCAAATTTCATTGAATGGTCATTCAAAAATGAATCAAAATTTCACTCTTTGTAAATTAAAAAAAATGGAGATAAAAAAACAATATTTGTCAAATTTCATTAAGTGTTTAACAACGAATCAAACTTTCACTCTTTCTAAATTAAAAAAAGGATATAAGAATTATAAATGTCCTTAATGTGTATTCTTTTTGGTCAAATTTCATGACATGTTCAAAAACAAATCAAAATTTCACTCTTAAAGGGAATATACAACATTTGCAAACATCGAAAAATAAAACTACCAAGTTTTTGCGAAATACCTGAATAGGATTTTGGTAAATGACAGTCTAAAGCATCCTGTAAAATTATGGCACCTGGTATACTGTCATTTTCAAGAAAAGTGGTATTTTTGTATCAATTTCCAACGCTGATCGGCCGATCAGCGTTGGAAACAACTGGCTTTTTTTTCAAATACTGGACCCAATTGACCATTGCACTTGTTTGCAATCGATTACACACCTATGAACGGGTACGAGCCAGCTAGACTGGTTCCCTGACCTTACAATTCCCCAATGTATGTAAACTGCTTTGTTTCTTCTTATATGGAGTCAGGGAACCAGACTACAGGAAAATGATCTTTTTCTTGGTTTTTATAGCATTTTCGAACCCAAAACCTCCAAAAAGTCAGTGTAACTATATTTGCTTTATATTTCCAACCCCCCAATTCCATCCATTTCTGAAAATTACAGCAAAAGCAAATGATGTATATTCCCTTTAATGTTAAATCTTTTTGTTAATGAACTACAAGGATCTTTCGAAAATGCACATGCATTTTAAGTCGTAACTTAAAGAAACCTAGATTGAGAAGAAGACGAAATCTTTCAAATTTTACAAACCATATGGCAATTCCTGACTTGGGACGACCTTAAAAACATTCGTGGTTCCGTTCCAGTAATCGCTGGATTGTAATTGGCTGTCGGTAACGACAACAAACAAGCCATCCGGAGCTTCGATACTCTGGACGAACGCAACTCCTCTAACGCTAGGGATGTCCGTAAATTGTTCATCACTCGGGACCCACTCTGCGTTCACGCTGAATTCGTAAATGGTCACATCCTGAAATTGCATTGAAATTGCAAAAACATTTAAACAACTTTAGTCAAGATATTTGTGTGTACAAATTTATGTATATAGTTAGGTTTATATGTCACTTTAAAACTGATTGGGCGAAAATGTTCGAACTGCTACATGCCCTGTTAACTAGTTTGCGTAGGAGAACGTGATAACACACATTGGCTGTTTCTCTGCGCAGGCACGGCTGATTGGCGAAGACGTCAAGATTGCCTTGACTCACCTCCAGGTGACGTCTAAATACGCTAATCCTTCATGCCTTTGTGCACACACAAAGCCTGAATGTCTACGAAATTATGCATTTATGACAAATGACACTGAAAACAGTTGCACGTTTGAATACGTGCAAGCTGTGGCTCAGCCTCACCTTGCAAGCATACAAAAGTGCAGCTCTTTTTCGGTGGTAGCATTTGTCATAAAGTGCATAATTGTGTACACATTCTCGCTGTTTTGGGCAAACAAAGTGAAGGCTTCATTGCTAAGGAATTTCTGCACTGATCAGACGTAATCTGAGCAAGATGTGTGCAGTAGTTTTTGAGTTATTAAAAAAGTATTGGGGGGGCTTTCTTTTTTGTTGAGTGTATCACTGATTCAGTGCTTTAATTGGTATATTTTTACTAAAAAGATACACACAAATATATAGAAATAAATACACAAATATATATCGGATAACAGAGTTAACAGCGGTCATTAAATAGAAATGTAAAAGGCCTTGTGGGGATGTGCAGATATTTGTAAGGCGTTCTGGCAAAAATGAGATGGAACTGCAGTGGCTCAGACTGTCATTGAGAAAAACGCAAAAAAAAAAAACAAATGGGGTGAATTTTTTTTTGATTTTCAGATGTACTGATATTTGTAATCGTTGATATGTCTACTGCACATAGCTTCAAGAAATAGTATAAAATCGTGGAATAAAAGTGTTTTTAAGGAAACACAATTGGCATCTTCCATTTTCACAACTACAAAACTGGAAACATTTATTAGCCTTTTTCTCAGTGCTTTTCTCTTCTGACATGTCAATAAATGTGAACTTTAAACAGCCATAACTTGTCAATGGAATGTCTGTATAGGAAAACTTTGAGTATTGTAATGACAATTTTGTTCTCTTTCTTAATACCTGCAAACCCTCTTTTCAACCTCTGCCCAGTTTGGTCTCATTTTGCCTGAATGCCTCACTTATTTGCTTTTTTTCCCCCCAGCAGATGCTACCTTGAGCTTGGCTGGCTAACCATGAGACCTCTTATGTTAATCATTATTTGAGTTTGATGGTGTTCCTTTTACATTTAAAATAGTTTTCTCTCTGAACTGAGCCAAAAATTTGTTGGGAAAAAAAGGATGTTACCTGGAAGCTTGACAGAATTAGAAGAATCTCCCCGTTGGGAAGTTCCACATCCTCCCACTGTGTGGCGCTCTGTGTCGGGATCCGCTGGTACTCAATAAACTGCACACCTGGGGTATATAAACAGAAAACTAGATCTCAAAACCGCATCATTTTTACCACATTATTTTTGCTTTGGTTTCCCCAAGAAAATTAGGGGGAAAAAAACGGAACCATTCCTATCAAGTTTTTTGAAAATCTAGAGTGAATTCTTTGTGATATTTCAATGAATCTGCTATTGTGGAGTGTCATGGCCTAGCGGTTAAGAGCACCAGACTCATGCTCTGGTGTTTCAGAGACAATAGTGATGTGGGTTCGAGCCCGCCGGGTGGACACTTGTGCCCTTAAGCAAGGCACCTTACCACTATTGCTTCGTCCTTCGGATGGGACGTACAGCCGTAGGTCCCGTGTGTTAAATGCAATGCACGTAAAAGAACCAAGTAACATTTATCGCTAAGAGAAGGGATTTGCCCAGGTGTTTCTGGCCTCCTGTTAGTACTCCCATGTGGAGTTCTTAGGACAAGAACCAACCAAGAACCAAGAAATTGTAAATCATGTTTTCTGCCCGCCTAGACTAACCAAAGAAACGAACTTGAGAAAATCTTATTATTGAGCCTATTTTCCGAGTGCACGCTACTGGCCAACAGTAAGATACAGGTTGTCTAAACATATTTAGAGAGTATAGTCCATTAGCTTTTCAATAATGTAAAAATCTTTCCAATCGGGTAAATTTGATTGAGTTATGGCGATTAAAATAAGTACAGCTTTTTCATTTTGTCCACGGTGACTTTCGCAATAAGAACGTGGACTGAAACTTTCATTTGTGAAAAGAGGCTACCAAATAGAGGGCAGAGACAGAGCAGCAAACTTAACATCTAAGACGTTAACCCAAACAGTTCTTTTCAGGACTACCATTATTTCCAAAAGGATAACAACCATTGTTGCAAAAAATAAAATGAACAAAATAAATAACGAAAGATTGAAACATTAAAAATAGCAAAAATCACCCAAAATCCATTACATTTCTAACAAATGACAATTGAGACCATGGACAGATTGAAAAATCGGCACTTATTTGGAATTGGCCATAACTCAATAAATATTCCTACACGATTGGATAGATTTTTTTATTGTTGAAAAGGTAATGGTCTATACTCTCTTAATATGTATATATATTTGCGATGTATTTGTTAAAAGCTGTCAAAAAGAGGACACTTTATGAGGTTTTTTTAAGACACTCTTTTGGTCAGCATGCCCTCAGTCAAATATACCCGTTATGGGCCATACCAGCAGTGGCAAGAAACAAGATTGTTTGTTATACCACGGTAATAGATCTTGATTTTTTATTGGTCAAGAACCGAGCACGTGATGTGCCACAAACATGTATACATTTATTCTGTGTGAGTGGCGTACCCCGTGGTACATGAGTGATGTACCCTAGGGGTACATGTACATTACCTTGATCGTCCCCACTGTTGAAAGTGTTAATTGTTTCCACCGCCTTGTGTAATACAAATAGCCTGGGTAAGAGGCTTCAGACAGCGCGCACACGCGCGTACGCAAGTCTGATGGACGCGCATAGACCATGGTCGCAGCTGTGATTGTTATGTAACAAGGTAGGGATTAATGGATTGGTCTATTATAGGAAAAGGGCAAATTAATTTGTGTTCCTGTGCAATGAAAAATACATTCTGTGCGAACATTCACGGTGCAGTAATCGCGGATCTTTTCAAAATAATACTTCTGCTATTGCTGCTGGGGGAAATCCACAATTTCAGATGCTTGGCATCTATTATCATGGTATAACAAAACAATTGTTGCCTGACGTGATTGGGGTCCATATGTTTTCTGCACTCTCGGTTGTACAATATTAGTTATCCCGCGAGCGTGAGTGGAACAAGGAATACTGTAGTGCGAGGCTGAATATGTGGGGACACAGACGCACTACATTTTCCGTGTTCCACGAGCGCGATAACGAATTTATCTTCAAGCAAACTTGACGGGCAGTAATGTTAGACCATTGCTTTACACGAACCTTTTAGCGGTTTAGCGCATGCAGCTGGAGTGTCGCACGCACCTTAGAATAGCGCAATACGCAGGGTGCGATATGGACTGTGCAATATATATAGCTTCATATCACACTGTTGTTGCCATGGATCGACCAATCAGGATCAAGGATAAAAGTTTGCTTGAAGATAAAACACCGGCCCCATCACATATACAGTTCAGAAAATTGAACAACATAAAAACAATGTTGTGTACCTGTCCACCAGTAAATGACGGAGTCTGTCCGGTTGTCTATCACCCCATCTGGCGAGACTTGCTGGTAGTTGGCCACGGCTAGGTAGTAGTCTCCATTCATATAGAAAGTCTCTATGCCCACGGGTGCGCTGGTGGCCAACGTCTGAACCTTGATGAGTTTGTCTGTATCTCCATTAAAAAAAATTATTCAAATGAACAATTTCCAGCCAATTTCATGTTATTCACGGGTAAACTGCAAGTCAAATCACAAAACCGGTTAAAAGCAACAGGGCATGAAGGGGCACACCTAAAAGAAAGGCTGCCATGCAAAGAGTCTATGGAGTACAGTTGGGGGTGACCGACCGACGCCATCTTGCCTGACTGCAATTTATTGCCGCAAAGTGCGGCCACTGCGTGTGCTTAGTACAAATCCCCTGGTGTACGTGCGTCACACACAAGGAACGGTGCGCGTCAACCAGCGAAATGTCCCGCCCATGGGACATCGTTGCTAGGTAAAAGGGCGCCCTCTTTCGTCTGCGCACGGAGCCCATAGTGATTAACAAGATATTTCTAAGTAAATTTCCAAAGCTCACGAGTGTCTAATTTGTAAAAAATACTCCCAATATCATGCTGCCTGTCACTGCCAATAGACATTTTACGTTACAAGTATCTCAATGGGTATTCTTTTTATGCCTTTACGGGTAGTGCGGCAATCGGTTGAAAAGAAAAACATGGGTACCTGGGTACCCGTTAAAGAAAATCAACCCAAAAATTTAAATCACGGAAGTTGCTCTTCTGATTGTTCATAAGGGTCCACACGATAATGCAACTACATGTGTCAATACAGCAAGAATCAAGTGAAGAGTGAGCTTCATAGGTTTATGAAGTGCACCTTTTGAGAGTGTCATAAAATGTGAAATATATTTTGTTTTCTCGAGTAGCCTGGTTTTTATTTTGAACGTTCCCCACAAATGACATACCGCACCTTTCTCTGAGAAGTAATTTGTAAAGTCGGGTACCCGATCCTTTAATCTGGAACCGGTTCCTGACATCAACAGTTGGGGACATGGATACCAGGTCTGATACACAGTCCTATAATCATTGTTATTTAATTTGGCCATAATGATTGAACAATAGGTTTTCTCATGCCTATCCCAGTGACACAAAACCATCACCTTCTGACTCTGCCTTAACGCATTCGTTATTGGGACTGAGTTAAACACATACAATCCATATTATGAATTAAAGCCCGAGTCCATCATTTGCAGCTATCCAAAAAATAACTGGCATATTTATTGTTGAAAAACATACTTGGTTAAAAGATAGTAAGGGGACTAAACTCCCTGTGAAATTATTCTTTCTGGCAAGCTGTCATTTTGAAGAAATCAACGAAAGAAGGCCTTTCCAACGGTGCGTTGGAAATTTCCCTTAGTTTTTTTCAATAGGCGAAGTGCGCGCAAGCATTGGCACGACACACGCGTGCCTGGTTGCTATAATTCGTCAAATTGGTGCGCAACATCGCGTAGCTGCAATCAGCTCAGTGAGAACGTGTCTCGGGCGCTGAACTCAGGCCCAATTCAAAACATGATTCAGCAATTTTGATTTGAAATCAAGATCCTAGAATGTTGTTTTTTTCAAAATATACAGCTGACGCTGAGCTGAAACCTCATCAGGTTAGTTGTTCAGCACCCTTCTTCGGATATTGAGCACTTTGTTGCTTCAAACGTGCAAAATGCACAATTTACAAATGATGGACTATACCTTTAACACATTTGTTATTGGGACTGAGTTGAACACATACCATCCATGTTATAAATTAAAGGATGGTTTTAAAATACAAGCGTCCCAATAATAATCTTTATAATATATAATATTGTTTCTCACTTCCGACTGGCGCTATTTTGGGCTCCTGGCCAAAGAATATTTTTTTTATTTCTGCCAACCTTATCTGGAAGCCCGCTTAAGCCATATGTCACACATTTACGGTAAAGCTACGAATATCCACGGTTTACCAAGAATCAATCAATCACGATGAACCATCGAGATTCGTGGAGAAATTGACTTTCTAAGACTGCAATATGGTTTCAGGACGGATAGCCACAACTGTCCTACGGTTGCTCTGCGAATACACCACGGTTTGTCAAGAATATGGACGGATTGTGGAAGCATATCGAAGGGGATTAGTAAGAATAATGACGTTAACGCCACGGTTGTCTGCGATTGGGCCAAAAATATCCTACGAATGAAGCATACATATTCGTAGTACAACCTGAGCAGAATCCAGGCATATCCGGGCATATCCGTAGGACATTCATAGAGATTTCTACCACGAATGAGCTACGAATCTCCAAGAATATGTATGAATAGCCACAAATAACGCTACGATTTAGTACGGTTGTCCTACGGTTGCACTAAAGATTGGTTACTTCAGAGAACCAAAGAAAGTATTACGTATTTTAAAATTTCCTTACTGGTGTCAAACTTGTAAACAATACTCCCGATGTCATATCGTCCGTCGTTGTCAACATACTGGGCCACAATGATGTAGGGTTCCCATTCCATCTCCATGTACACGACGGCAGTGGCGCCGTAGGTCTGAACGCTAGTGATGTGGTCAAAATGGGCACCGCTGAAAACGTACAATCTACAGCAAGACAAGAAAGGGGACCCAGATGGAGTTCATATACAGGGGTTCCAAAAAAAATAAAAGATAAAAAAGACCATCAACAGCCCTCTTTTTCACAGCCTATACAAAATACATCGCAAATAATGATACATATTTAGCATGTTTAGAGAGTATAGGCCATTAGCTTTTCATTGGTCGTAGGTAAATCACAAGTCAAAAATCCAGTCATAAGTTGAGCACAAGTCAATTCACAAGTCTGGTCTCAAGTAACAGGGGTCAGTAGTCGAGTCCATCACAAGTCCTCCAGTCCAAATTAAAATCACAAGCTATTCAAATAATGAGTCTTGAAAAACGCATTCCTTTGTTATTGTTCATCCACTGTTACTTAATTGTGACTGGACTCGTGAATGGGCATATGATTTACTTGTGACTAGACTTGTGATAATAATAATAATAATGCGCATTTATAAAGCGCGCGTATTTACCATTATTGGTGCTCAAGGTGCTACATCATTACTACCCTGCTCAGTGGGCCAATGAAACATATAAAATACCATCTTAGCTCCCTGGGGAGTAAACAGCTCGATGCTGCCATTTCGGCACAAAGCAGCTAAAATCACCCACATTAACCATCTCTGCCCTTACAGAAGCAATGAGTGACAAAGTGCCTAATTGAGGGACACGTGCCACGGGATGGGCTCCACTTGTGATGGGCTCCACTACATAAAATTGAACAAAATAACAGAGGTACATTGTAAAATGCCTTTGTCGTGGTTCATTTAAAAAGCTTGTGACTAGAATTGACCTGATTGGGACTGGATGTCTTGAAATGGACTCCTGAGGACTTGTGAGGATCAACTTGTGACAGACTTGAAATGGACTGCATTACAACACAAGCTTCATATGAATTGTGACGGAGGCATTCCTTTGTCATGTGCTGCATTCCCTATATTCATTGTCCTATGATTCACTGGTGATTTGACAGGTGTAGGACTCAACTACAAGTCTGGCATCATTTGAAATCAAGATTTAAAACAAAGTTTGGCATATGAAATGGTCAGGACTCAGTAGTGACTATACACAAAAAGCTCACTGTTGCAGTCACTCACCTGCAAGCTGTTGCAGCAATTAAGAACGACACTATAAACTCTAAAAACTTTGCCTGTCTGAAACCAAACTCTAATTGATCCGGGTCACTCTTTTTAGACAAGTGTGACTGTGGACACCAGTCTGACGAATGGATGCCTCGACACTGTGTGACCACAACTCAAGATCTGAGAACTAAGTGGGGAACGCAATGCTGAAACTTACTCTAATTCTGTCTGGTATTTGGCGTATGCATCCTCCCGCATGTTGGCCAGCAGCAAGTAAGTGTCTCCCTCGTAATCGAAAAACTGGAAGTTGGATGCGCCGTGCGTCAGAATCTGCTGTACGGGGACGACGTTTTCGGTCACGGCATCAAAGCGGTAGATGTTGGACAAGCCATCGTATGTTCCTGGATCTCTTAGCTGATTGGCTACTGCGATGTAGACGTGACCGCTGATGGTAAAGGTTTCAATGTCCGATACTCCGTAGGTTGGGAATTCGCCAGCTGAAATCAATTATTAAAATGGTTTTTTTTTTACAACTATCTTTGGTACCTGAAAGATTTATTCTAAATGTAATTCATATTTCTGGTTACATATTATTGTTACTGGAGGACCAGAGGCATAAAAAAGGGGGCGGGGCATGGCCACAGGACCCCTGTTCGAGGGCTGTGCCCAAACTTGTTGCCCCCCCCCCCTCATTACTATTCTATGTAATAGACAATGGCGAAAGGCATGGTCTATAATTTTTGAACAGATTCGCTGATTAATTATGCAAGACAACCGCATCTTGACCTCTACATTTTGACCAATCAGCAGGCGCTTTCTATATCGGGACTTCGGTTGTTCACCCGCTGTTGCATCTAGACATGGATAAAAAACAAAAAGGCTAGACACATCAACAAAGGCTGTAATCACGCGCTCCGTATTATGTTACGCGACACGCGCGCGGCTGTTTTTGTATTAAAAAACACATTCGAATTGACCAATCACACTTTTAGTCCGGATTTGGGAATGAAATGACGTCACGATTTAATTAGTAAAGACGACTCCGATTGGCGGAGGCGCGAATCGCATAAACCTGCATGCTTTGACATATCAGACGTTATACAGGAGACTTGGCTCCGTGGATAACGGGTGATACTCAGACTACCTCATTACTGGGTGCAAGGCAAAATAAGCTTTATTGTAGAACTTGGATAAAAGAAAGGCAGGAAGCTGAGAAGGCAACACACTTATAGCATAATTGGACACGTTGAAGCGATGTATCTTAGCCGTGCTGTGGTAGGATCCATCACCCTCTTGTTTCCTCCCGACGATGACATAGACTTGCGGGCCGACAAAGAAATGTTCCACCACCGTGATGTTGTCTACCAGTAAAGGAGACTGGCCCTCCAAAGTCCCTGCCAAATCTGAAACAATCGGGCAAATGAAATTCATTTAGCGGACACGAGATGGTCAAGAATTGTTTAGAGTATGGGTACATTTACCCTAACAGAACTCAACCCATGAACCCCAACAGCATGTTTTGTTGGAATCTGTCAGGATGGTTACAGTACAGTACCCCTAAACTGACAGTCTTTTACATTGGGTTGGCACACCTCCAGGATCCAAGTCATGTGTGTGCAGTTTCCCATATGGTGTTGGAATTTGTCAGGATGGGTATATATGGTTCCTAGTAAATCATGCTAGGGAGTTAACCGGTTCGCGCCGGATGACGTGTTTATAACCCGCAATGGTTTTGTGGTATTCGGAACGGATGACAGATAAACACGCAGGGAGCGGGGCCAGAAATATCTGCCAGTGACCCGCTAAAAAGAGCGAGGCCAGAAATATGAGTGTGCTAGCTGCCCGAGGGTGATCAACCCGCCTGGCATTGCGGTCCAGTGAAAAGTAATCCTGCGCCTCTTTCTGTTGTCAAAACAATCCTGGCGCGAACTGGTTAAGCAGTAGCTGAGTCCATCATGATCACAAGTCAATCACAAGTCATCCAGTCCCGAGGGCAGTCACAAGCTATTAAATTGGAATATGTCAAAAGCATTCCTTTGTTACCATTTACCCTGTTACTTAATTGTGGGACTGTGTTATTAATTTCTTGTGACCAAAGTTATGATGCAAGAACTGCATGCAAAAGCTGCTCTGGGCTGGGAAACATGTTATTGCTCGCATAATTCCTCAACTTGAATTAGGCATGATTTGTAATGTTTGCCTGTTTAAAACCAGTGCAACAGTTCTGGCTGGATCACGTTTTATACAAATTTACCGCTGTACACCCGCATATGATTCCGTGTCCGAGTGACATCGTGGTAAAATTCCTCCTCTAGCTTCAAGTTTAAACCAAATATGCCCACACAGACTCAACTTAAAGGGAAATAAATCATGGCTTTTGTACAGGACTGAACCCGACCGTTGCAGATCACTCTCGACAGTTCCGGACCACGTACGCTGCGCTGCACATGTACAAATTCATCATTCACAATGCACGCGTTATGTCACGCCTTCATCATGTAAACTGCACACAAAACTGCATCATGTGCATGTGTGATCCGCAACTGTCGCATGCAGGGATACAAATCTTTCGGCGAATACGGCAATTTAAATAAATTCAAATGCCAAAATCATTATCACTTAATTAGTGATATTTGAGATTATGTCCAAATACAAGAAAACCGAATAGTGAAGATAAAATGATAAATGTTGGCTACGTTCCACAGGAAACCAGAATTTCGTCTTTTTTTTACGTGATTCCTTTAACAGGCAGTTATATACAAAACAAGCGGACATTTCGCCGAACTTGATCGAGGATAATGTTTGAGCAATTTTTTTCCCCCCGACTATTGCAAAATGATAGACCTTCAAATTGGTCAAAAAAATTTCGAAAAAAAAATGTTTGGTTACAGTTAAGTTGAATGAATTTTTATTTAAACATGTGATCCGGAATGTTCAATCTAGAACTGTCGCACTGACTGCATTATACAATTATATAGGTTGACTTTAGCCCCATAAATGTGGCCTATTTACTGGACTGCCTCCGTAAACATAGGCCACACATCCACATGTACAATAAACGTGTCGATTTTGCCAAATTTTGATTTTCACATATAGGCTTACTTTTTACGTTTTTTTTGCTTTAGAAGCATTCTCACCCTCTATATAGGCTAATCAGAAAGTGCTGCCTTCTTCAGATGTCCATTTTTCGTGAAATTTCCAGATACATTTGCACACGTTTGCGTATCAAAATTTCAACATGAAATTTCATAAAAATTAAACATCTGAAAAAGGCAGCACTTTCTGATTAGCCTATAAGAGGGTGAGTATGCTTCTAAAGCAAAAAAAAATCTACAAAGTAAGCCTAAATGTGAAAATCAAAATTTGGCAAAGTCGACACGTTTTTTGTACATGTATGTGTGGCCTATGTTTACGGAGGCAGTCCAGTAAATAGGCCACATTTATGGGGCTAGGTTGACTTGAGTTGCTGAAAATATGGTTTTTGTTACGAGGAACTATATAGTCTCTGGATCGAACAACAGTTTGAAATGCTGTTCACTTGTGAGAAATGAGTAAGAAAAAGAAAAGAGAGAAATCACCAATGTCTATTGATCTTCGAATCCGTTGATGCTGCTGTTGGAATGAGCGATGAACGTTGGCACGGAAACTCTCCACCTGCCTATCAAGATGCTCCCTCAGATCAGTCAACCCCCAGAAGGCATCGGTAGGCGTGGTCGAATAGCACAGGTCAAGGGTCACAAGGCCAATGAGCAAGGTCAGATAGGAGATGTTTGCCATTTCTGTGGAACATTCGGAAACCAAATTGGAATATCGTTTTAAATTTTGAAGTAAACGTCAAACGCCACTGTGGGTTTTGAAATGGACGGAGGTTATAACTTTTTGAAAAAAAGGTGATCTTGGGATGATACTGCATTCTTGTCTTCATACTTCTCTAATATTGTGTATGTCTTTATAGAAACCTTTTACAAGGCATCAATTTGAATCTTTTAAAATTGAACTCTGAATTCTCATACCTTGAAATGGAAGAATGCAGCTTAAAAGTCTGCTCCAAGGTTGTTGACTAACAATGCAAGGAAGACAGCGATCAAGGTAGAATCACACAGGACCAGCACAACACGCACCAGGTAGGGCCCGACTGCTCCAAGGGGGACCAACACCCACCAGCTCCCATCATGCAATGGGCCTGGCATGACTGACTGCTTGGGATTCTAAGCATTCCAAAAAGGCTTGAAATGGCCAATGTTGCATTCTTGTACCTGTGGCTAGACAAAAGACTGAGGACATTTGAATATGAATGGATTAATGGTAAAAGTATGTCCACAGCTTTTAATGAAACACAGTAATGTGCAATAGGGAATTCCAGGACATTTTACAAGCATTAACTGGTTGCCTCAATGATAAAAAAGAAAAGAAAAACAAGGCAGAGAAAGTTGGAATTTGTTAGGAGAGGGGGCGGGGTTAAGTAGGGGGAAGTTAGTTAGACCGATTGTTGGAATAATGTGACCAAATGTACATTTCACTATACTTATAATGTGATGGTATATAAGCTGTCGACACATGTAATGCCAACCACATTTCATCTCCCTTCCATTCCCAAACATCTTAAACACATAAAACTAAAGGGGAATATTTCAAAATCACAAGGGACCACTATTTGTTTTTAGTTGGCTGAAAGACCTGTACAAGACTCTTAAAGGGAAATTTAAAAAACAGAAATTTTACTTGGGGCATATATTTTGTGCAACTTTCTACTCCTCTGATACTTATGAAAACTATGCAACATCCCTTTTTTGCTAATTATAGGGCCCTTTAAGTTTAATTCCTCAATTGAACTTAACTTCAACAAGGTAAGAAAAGTTTCCAACAGTTTGTGATAAAATGATTCACTTTAAATAGAAACTTCAAATGGCATCCAATACAGGTTTTAAATTGATAAGCAAAAACAGGTATCTTATTTAAAGCTATAGTCCATCATTTGCAGCCATCCGAAAAGTAATTGGCGTAATTATTGTTGAAAAACATACTTGGTTGAAAGATAGTAAGGGAACTAAACTCCCTGTGAAATTATTCTTTCTGGGAAGCTGTCATTTTGAAGTAATCAACGAAAGAAGGCATTTCCAACGGTGATTCTTAAGAAGCACCGTAGGAAAATTTAAATTAGTAGTTCGTTTTGTTATTCAGCGCAGCGCGGACAAGGATTGGAGCGACGCACACGCGCGCGCGGTTGTTATAATTCGTCGGATCAGTGCGCGACGTCGCGTATAGCTGCAATTCAAAACAATTCAAAACATGATTCAGTAACTTTTGATTTGAAATTGAGATCTTAGAATGCTGTTTTTCTCGGAATAAACAGCTGAAGCTGAGCTGAAACTTCATCAAGTACATGTAAGTTGTTCAGCATCCTTCATTAGATTTTAAACACGTTTGTTGCTTCAAACGAACAAAATGCACTAATTACAAATGATGGACTATAGCTTTAAATTTGGCAAGTAAATATTGTGAAAACGAGAATGTAGAGGCTACTGTGTGTGGGCAAGTATTGTATTTAAATGGGAAAACAACTTTACTTCACAATGCACAACTAAATATTTGACAAAACTAACACAATAAAGAAAAGCTGACAACCAAAGATAATTTGTTGGACAACTTTTTAATTCCGAAATTCCTCTCTTTGTTTGTTTGTTAATCTGTCCATGTCTATGGAGTTTTAACACTGCCCATTGGCAAACATTAATTCACGACCTTGTAAAATTTAGTTAGGGTTGCAGTTGCTTCTCTGAAATCGTTAACATTAGATAAACCTAGAACAAAGGACTACACATCAAAATGTTGCTTGACCAGTTGCAATAAATTATGTCTATCCTATGCTATGCACTATGCTGTTTGACCAAATAAAACAACTATTTCACACAAAAAACAACAACTTTTTTTATAAAAACAAACACATTTTGCCAAAATTGTTTTGTAATATTTGGGAGTTAGGAATCAATATTTATTTTTAAATGTTCTCACAATTGTAACGATAATATATTTTTACAAAAGGCTCAACTTCACAAGGCCAATGTGTTTTTAGTGCGTAACAAATGAAAACAAGTGAAAATGATGTGCAAAATAAAATCATTCCATGAAGTTTTGATTTGTTGCATTTTTTTATTAATATTATTTTTCTATTCTACCAGCCTAATGAAGTTAAGCCCTGAATGATGACAAAATCTTGGGGAGCACAAATAAGATTTATAATTAAAAAATATATTAAACAAATTGCTGAAAATTTCACAGACAAAGTGTACAGCAAGTAACATGATAAATTATTGAACACATTAAAACACCGCACAGTTATATCTGCGAAAAAGGAAGCATTAAAAATACAGCACTTACATTGAAAACATAATCAATGATTGTGTGGAAAAACAGATATTACTCATACCATAGCTACGACATTACCTGGGCCCAATTTCAAAAAGATGGGAAGCATGTAAACTTTTTAAGCACAGAGCAGGCAGCTTGATTGCATGGTTGTGCCAAGCTGAAAATATTGGTAAGCGACTTTGTGTTTAGCAGCATAAAACAGGACCAAGTCTGCATTGCAAGGTACAGTTTCAAATCAAACTGTTAAGCTATTTGCTTACGAATGGTTCCGAGTTAATGTCACACATGAAAGTCCGTTTTAGCTTTTCTGGCTTACTTAGCAGCTTTTTGGAATCGGGCCTCGGGTCGTGATTTGGCAACGAGTAAGTTTCAGGTTTATACATGAAATGACTATAACAGCAAAAATTGAGTATTTTTTTGGGTGTACACAATGTATATTCTGGACAAAGCAACAGTTGACGTAAAGTTCCTTTTAATGTTGGAACGTTAAGAAGAAACAAAGTTACTTCAAGGTGTTAGGAAGTCTCCACAGTTAACACAGAAATAAAGCCACTTCTTTCTTTATCCTTTTCAAAAAAAGTCTGAACAATAAATGTGAAAATGGAAATAAATTTTATTTCAAAAAAATGGAATAAAATGATTCTGAATCCCAAACACCCACAGAAAATCTTTTGGAAGAAAAGAAAAATGAAATGTTGAAGGCCGCTCAGTCCCTGGTATTGTAGAATGAGCTAAAAAAAAAAAAAAAACTACCGAAGAAAATTTTTGTTCTTTTCATCAGAAGCCAGGCAGGGGAGCAGATCCGTCTCCTACAAGGCACTAGTTAGCCTCGTCTGCATTTAAGAAAATTGCATCATCGGAGTCTTTAAATACAAAACAATATCTGCCGGAGCTTCTTATGAAATGAACATCTTTTTGTCTTCAAGATCAGAACTAAAAAATGTACACCCTATTATTAACTACTGCCAAATTTTGCTACAATGTTTGATTTTCTGACGGTGGTGGTCCAAAGAGCGCAATACCAGGGAAGATCAGACGGGTGGAGATGATGGAGATTAAAATGACGATGATGTGGGGTTGCTGTGACGACGTCTCTATGGAGACGTGGCATTATGAGATTGCTCTACAGCTCGTCCTTCTTCTGCTCCCCGTCCTCCTCCTCCTCTTCATCCTCTTCGTCAAATTCTTCATCCTGATAAATGGTGAAAACAAGTAAACAAATTTGTTATTTTCTGTTGTAGATTTAAAAACACTCTAGGTTCATGAAGCACCATTATTGACTCCATGCGTAAGAGCCCCATCGGTGTAGAATAAGATCTGCAGACACTTTAGTTTTCCATTTTTCAATTAAAGGGAATGTACATCATTGGCTTTTGCAGTAATTTTCAGAAATGAACTAGTTGAGGGGTTAGAATAATAGATCAAATATTGTCTAACTGACATGTTTGAAGTTTTGTGTTCGATAATGCTTGAAAAACCAAGAAAAACAAAAATTGTCCAAGTAGTCTGGTTCCCTGACTCCACTAAAGATAAAATGGATTAATTTATAGATGTCGGAAAATTGAAAGGTAAGGGAACCAGTCTAGCTGGCCTGCACCCGGTCATGAACATGTAACCAATAGCAAACAAAATTTGGACTGACAAAAAAAAATGTAAATTTGGAGCAGTAGTTGAAAAATAGTTAGGTTTTTCCAACGGTGGTCGGCCGACCACCGTTGGAAATGTATACAAAAATACTATTTTCTTGAAAATGACTTGACACCAGGTGGCATAATTTTACAGGATGCTTTAGACTGTCATTTACCAACATCCTAGTAAGGTATTTCGTAAAAACTTAGTAGTTTTATTTTTCGATGTTTGCAAATGTTGTATATTCCCTTTAATGTTAAATGAAATTGTGTCACTGAAGATATTAATGCGGATCTGCTACATCCACCCCTGTGTAAGCTTGGTGGCTGACTGGTTACTTCATCTGCACTCGCAAGCAGGAGGTTGTGGGTTCGAGTCCCACCTGCTTGAGCAAGCTCGTGAACACTTTTTTCGCAAGCTATCAGGCAGCATTGAGTAAACAGGGCAGGGGTGTGAGTGACCACTGATAAAAATAGCTGAAAACAGCTGAAAAAAGGTGTAAAAAAGCTGAAGTTTGGAAATCTCCTATACTTTTGTACACAGCAAGTGAGGGGGAAAAACCCTGAAATCCAAAACAAAAAAAAGCTGAAATCAGCTTTAAAGCTAAGATTTCACAACCCTGACAGTGATTACTACATACATACATAGACGTCAGTTAAGGGCAAAATCTAACATCAAAAATTTACATATTCCTAGATGCAAAAACTTCCATAATTTAAGATACTAAGAGCTCTTGTGCTGATGCAGGTTGATTTCTATCAAGATTTTAATGTGTCTTTTTGTGCAATCTTTATATGTTTTTGTTTTACTCTTAATTTATATTTTATAATTGTCTTTTTAATGTGCACCCCCATCTGTGGGGAGTCAGGTCTCTGGACCATAGTGTTTGCTTTTGACTAGCCTATGCCCAGTTTGGCGGTGTGACTTGTTTATATGGCATGAATAAAATAATAATAATAATAATAATGAAAAGCACATATTTCTTCTTACATCGTCTGGGCCTGCACCATCAACTCCTCCAGACTCCAAGAATTTTGTTAGATCCTCCAACGTCCTACCACCATTGTAATCAACAACCTGCAGACAAACAAGGATTCCATAAATTAAACTAACAGGCTGCAAATTAAGATGCCGAAAAGAACTGGCCTAAAAGGAAAGGAAACATCCCTGTCAATATTTACACTTCTGAATGCTGTA